GGGTGGGGTGGGGGGAGGGCACAGAAGGAGGGGGCACGCGACGCACTTGTACTGCACGATGCCGATCCAGCACGCCTTGGTGCCGTTGCTGGGGCTGAGCCAGACGTCGTCGGCGTCCGTGAAGCGGATCTCGATGGGGAAGTGCGGGCGCAGGCCGGCGGGGTCCGCGTGCTCCTCGTCGAGCCACGCGCGCAGCGCGCGGAGGCACGCGGGCGCGCGCTCGTACGGGACGGCCCACTCGGTCGTGAATTGCGGGTACTGTGGGCGTGCGCGGGGGCGGGCCAGTGTGCGTGTGCGTGTGCGTGTGCGTGTGCGTGTGCATAGGCCGTCCGGACATCCGGAAGAGGGAGCGCATAGGACGTCATGTCAGGTCATGTGGTGGAAGCGAGAAACAGAGAGAGAGAGCGGGAGGCGCGCACCTTGCAGTCGAGGTTGAATATGCGGTGGCTGGCGTCGACGGCGACGGTGCTGCCGGACACGAGCCACGCGCCGAGGCGCGCGGTCCAGGGGTTGAGCGCGCGCACGAAGCGGCCGAGGAAGAGGAGGAGCTGCAGGAGGTGGTAGCCGACGAGCGAGTGCCAGAGCCACGTGTAGACGGGCTTGGCGGGCTGCGGAGGGCGCGCGCGCGGCGGGTGAGCATGGCGCATGGCGCATAGAGCAAAGGAGGGGGCGGGGGGGCGCGTACCTCGTACGTGCGGCTGGCGGCGCTGACGCGCACGGTGCCGGCCTGGGGGAACCACCAGAGGCGGACGTGCTCGGCGGAGCGGGCGAGCGCGTCGAGGTCGCGCACGGCGGCGTCGAAGGGGACGGAGTGCTGGACGTCCTTGAGGCGGAAGGCGGGCTCGACGTCGAGGGTGACGTCGAGGATGAGGCCGGTGGCGCCGAGCCCGCAGAGGGACGCGAGGAAGAGGTCCGGGCGCTCGGCGCGGGAGCAGCGGACGCGCGCGCCGTCGGCGAGGAGGAGGGTGAGGGCGCGGACGTGCGTGGAGAGGACGCGGAAGGCGAGGCCGGAGCCGTGCGTGGCGGTGGTGACCATGCCGGCGAGGGTCTGGTCGGAGATGGAGCCGAGGTTGGACATGGCGAGGCCGGCGGCGGCGAGGGCGGCGTGGAGGGCGTGGAGGGTGATGCCGCCCTGCGCGACGACGTAGCGCTTCTCGGCGTTGACCTGCGCGGGGGGGGGGGGAGCAGAACGGGGGGGTCAGCAGGGGCGTGCGCGGGCGCGGGCGTGCCTGGGGCGATCGGAGCGAGGGGCGCGCATCTGGGCACGGAGATCTCCCCGGGGGCATGTATGACGAGATATGGCGCGCGGGCAACAGGGCCAAACACGCGCGATAAGAAGGCCGCGAACAAAGGCCGCGAACAAGCACAAGCCCGAGAACAAGAAGGCGCACCTCGATGATCCTGTCGAGCTTCTCGGTGCGCAGCATGTAGCCCGACGTGCAGGCGAGGTCGCTCGGGCTGTGGCCGACGCCGGCGGCGCGCACGGTGCGGCCCTCGCGACGGGCGAGCTCGAAGACGAGGGCGCAGTGGTGGGCGGACTGGGGCTCGAAGACGGCGCGCGGGGTGCAGGCGTAGCTGAGGCCCCAGTTGACGAAGGTGGCGCGGGGGTGGCCGGGGGGGACGGCGATGGGGCGGAGGAGCGCGTGGAGGGTGGGGGTGGGGATCTGGGCGAGGGCAGCGACGGAGGGCGGGTCAGCGGCAGCGGGCGGGTCCATGGCTCACGGCGGGGGCGAGGTGGGCGAGGGGGGCGAGGGGCGGGCGTGCAGTGGCATGGCAGCGGACGGGGTCGCGGGTCTTAAATAGGGCGAGCGCAGAGAGAGGCTGATTTTGATTGGAAAGAGTGAAGGAGGCTGACGACTTGGACTGACTCGATCGATGGCCAGCGGTCGTCGGCCCACTCCGAGCTGCGTATGGGCGTGGCCATGATTCATTCATTATACTATCCCCGTCTCTGACTTTGTTCCGGGCGACACGCACCCGCACCCGTGTGCATCACTCGCCCGGCGTCACTACACAGATATGCTCCGCCGATTCAGAGCGGCTGCGTTGCGAGCCCCCGGCCGCACGATCGCTGGGAACCCCGCGCCGCCCGGTGAGAGCCTGCCCGTCGAACGCCCGCCGCGCTCGCCGCTGTCCGCTCCCTTTCTCGCGCGTGGCTGCCACGTGCGCCCAGCTGCGCGGTCCCCAGCACGCCGCCTTCCCCCATATGCCGCAATGCCCACTAGCCCCTTCCAGCAACGCCGCGCGCATGGGGGGCCCACCCGCTCTCCGCCACCCCAGGCGCCGATCGTGCCTCAATGGGCCGAGCGTGACAAATCGGGCATGGCGTTTCCTGTCGCTTTCTCGCCCTCGTACGCACGCAAGCGTATATCAGCTCATCCCACCCTTCACGCACCGCCCACCGCCCCATCCCCTCTCCCTCCCCCGGCACGCAGCAATCGCAAGCACTACTAACGCAAAACACGCCCGTCCCCGCGCGCCTCCCAATATCAATCTCCCCCCGCACACCCGTCGCCGTCTTCACAGAACGCAAATTCACAAATTCACAAATTCAATTCAGCTCGATCACATCGCATCGCACCGCGCGCGAATCTCATGATGGGATGGGACGGATATCTCGCCCCTAGTGTCTCGTGTCTCGTGTCTCGTGTCTAGTGCTGCTGACTCTGAGTCGCCGCGCACGCACATGGCAAGGTGCGTCCTGCCTCCTGCTGTTTCAAAATTCGGCCGCGCGCTGGGCGCCATCGGCGGCGAGCTCCTTGTCATGCGCAGATGCAGATGCAGATGCAGATGCAACGGGCGCGCGCTCAGCTGGCTGAGCGCGAGACCCAGCTCCGTTATTCCCGTAGATGGTGTCCACAGCCTTATTGGATTTGCGGTCCCCTTCCATCTTGCCTGTCTCTGTGCGTGCGTGCGTGCGTTCCCAGCACACACCGCAGTCGCAGTTGCAGTTCCGGGCTGTCCGCCGGCGCAAGGCCGGCGCCCGCTGCGGCAGGCTGTCCTGCAAAAGAAAGACAAAACACAGAAACATGGCGGATCGCAGACGCGGTGGCGACGGCAGCCAGGCAGGCCCGCACCGCGGCAGGGCTGCTTCTGCTTCTTCACCTCGGCGTCCTGGCTCGGTCTGTCGGTCATCAAACCGTGCGGGGAGCCAAAGCCAAAGCCAAAGCCGAAGCCGAAGCCAAAGCCAAAGCCAAAGCCGAAGCCAAAGCCAAAGCCAAAGGCCAAGCGGCCGTGTCGCGCTTCCCCTTTCCCCTTTCCTCCTGTTCCTGCGCCCCGTGTTCTCCGGGCGCGCCGCTAGGCCCGATGCCCCCCCTGATTTTGCAAATGGGCGATTGCGCGCGCGAGCCGCTGAGCCTTTTCTGGGTGCGCTGCACCGTCGACCGAGGGCGATGGGACAGGGCCGTGCAGCCGCCCTGGTGCTGGTGTCCTGGTGCTGGTGCTGGTGTCTTGGTCCTGGTCCCAGCTCGCACCGTCGCGCGCGCACTAGTGTCTCGCGTTTCAGCTGCGTGCGATCGTGCACATTGGGCGGGAGCACAGTGCGTCCGGCAGGGCCGCCCGCCATCGATCATCCGGGTCCGGGGGCTGCGTTGTCGGGGTCGAGACGATCTCGCGTTGCTGCGTTGCTAGTTGCCAGCGAGCCGTTCGGCGTCCGGGTGGCACGCGTCCAGCGTCCGGGTGCGGCTGGTGCGTGCCCCCATCGGGCGGCGCGGCGCATCGTATAATCCGTACACCCCCGAAATTCGTATTCATATACACTCGCATGCGCAGATGCGTGCATGCCGGCCTCTCTCGCGCTAGAAGGTGCCTGCATCGCTGTGGGGACGTCACCAGTGATCGTGATGTCGCTATGCCACACAGCCAGCCAGCCAACCAACCAACCAACCAGCCAACCAGCCAACCAGCCGGGCAGCCCGCGCACGTCAAGGCCCGGCGGCAGGACGCATACTTGGACGCATATGGCCAGATGGGCTTGGGCGCCTGCCCTGTGATCCATCTCTCTATCTCTGCCGTCATTCGATCATCCGTCCGTGAAAGCGGTGCGATCTGGTGGCGGGGTGGTGGCTGGAGGCCGGTGGTGGGTGAGAGGGCCCCGGAAGCAGGGAGGGGGACCCCGGAAGCAGGGAAGGGGACCCCGCGCGCGGAGTCCGAGTCGGGGTCACAATCACGGGTGGGGTGACTGACTGCTGGAGGATTCGAAAACGTGCCATTGGAATGCGGTGGGGTTCCGCTCTGTCGGCTCGCATCGCCAGTGCAAGTGGCGGGCGTTTTTTGGCGTTTGCGTTTACGTTATGGCAGAGCAGCCCCTCTCCGGCGGCGCCAGGGCTACACAGCATGCCGTAAGGCGAGCTCAGCAGATGCTGGACGCCAGATGCTAGAGGGGGCTCGAGTGATCCGTTTTGGCTGACTGATGGGCCGAGTCGGAGCTAGCGTCGTCGTGACCAGGGCGTTCGCGCAACAGTTGCTCGAGACGAGCCTCAGGCCCTCCCTTTGTCTCCTTCTTTCCGTCTATCCAACCCCCACCCCCCGCGCGCGCAGCTATTGCTATTGCTATCTCTATGCAGATCGCGCGCGCGATGCATGGTGCATGATGCATGATGGACCGCCGTGTCTGCAGCGAAATCGTACATACTGCGGGCGGGATCCGGAGATACCGCGAGGCACCGCGCAACGACTAGAAGTCTCGCACGCAGCAGGCAGAACGCGCCGCGGACACCGGGGCCGCGCGGACAAGGGCTCCTGTGCGGCCTGCGAACCGCGGTGGGTCTGTTGGTAGATCCTGTCAAGTGCGCGAGCGCGAGCGCAGGCGCGGGCGCGGTGCCTGCCGTGTGTCCCCCCGCCGCGCCGGACGAGAGCACGTTACGACATCGCCCCCGGGGTGCTGGCGATATTGCAATTTGCGTGGGCAGAGCCCGCCCGTTGGGCGTGCTAGCAGCGACGGCGCCCGCCATTTGTCGGATTGGACTCGCGGCACGCTCGCGTTCATGTAATGTGTACTCGTCTAGGGTGAGAAAACGCGCTGACAGTCGGGCTGCTCGTGTGTGCCGGCATGAGGGCATCGTCGTTCCTGGCATCACGATCATTCGCGGGGCTTCCGACGCATCCCCCTGCGGCGGGCCATCTGCATCATCAGTGGCGGCGGGCAGCTAACAGCTAACTTAGCCTCGGGAGTTGCGTCCGGAGAAGAGAAGGCGGCACGCGCCGCGCGAGGACTTAAGGGGGTGGGGAGAGGGGGGGACCTGTGGATCATTCCGGCGGAGGATTCGGACATGCTTGCACGCTCCGTTGCGGTTTCGGCACGAGCGTTGCGAACCCGTGCGCATCCAGATTCGAGTCGGACAGGCTGGCTGTCAGGATGACGACCGCGGTGCGGCGAAAGCCGAGGAGACCGGCGATCTGCTGAGGCACCACTGCCCGATCGCGGGGTGCATGTTTACGCCAGCCCAGTAGCCCCTCCTCCATATGACAGCCATGTCAAATATGTCGTGCCGCGCTCGCGCGATCGCGAGATGCTGGAAGATTTAGACCCCAGCATGCTGTAATCTGTTGTGCTAATCAATGGCCGCGGCCGCCCGCCCGCTCTTGGCCCGTACAGGTACAGCGGAGTGGAATGGAATGGAATGCATGCGTTGCGATAAGATCGCCGGAAGGGCGGAAGGGGGGTTTCGTTTCAGCGATGAGGACGCGTGCGGCAGCGGCCGAATCACGAAGCGATGATCGAAGGGCATGTGCGCAGAGACGACGCCGTGGCTGCGGTACCAGGGCGCGAGGCTAAGAGGACTGAGGGATGGCCGCGCAACTGCTGCTTACGGCGCACGGCTCATACCGTGGATGGGTCTTCCATTGCTAGTATGTATTAGATTGCCCGCCCCTGTTCTCCAAGCAGCAAGCACTAGCCGCGGACCCTAAAACCGGGGGGTTGGGTCGTCCGGATGGAAGGAGGAAGGCAGAAACGGGATGACGCAGTGTGCTGGTGGAGTACCTAATACCGCCCGTCGGCATTATCGACAGAACGCTTCTGACTGAGGGCGCGTGCGTGCATGCTGCCGAAGAGAAGTGGGTGCGGTTTGTGCATCATACCCCCTGATATTCTGCACCGGTCTGGTAAGTATTGCACCTTCCTTGTGAGTCAGGAAGGGTGCTGTGTGGCAGCCGGACACTCTGTGAGGAGCGGCTAAGACCGTGATAGAACCCCGATGCAAGCCAACCAGTACCGTGAATTGGAGTAGTCTTATTCTCCGAGCAGCATATCAGAGCAAGCACATTACCGTCAACCACGTTGCAGACGCACGACACACTTGATATTGAGCGGCATGACCCGCTCGGATTGTGACACACCTTATTGTGTATTCCAGGAATGGCGATGCGCCGATCCTCTTCTGGCGGTCATTGATCACCGCATGTTGAGTTGGCCACCTTTCATCAGTGCGAATTTGCCTAGTTAATAAACACTGCAGATCACTGAGTCGAGTTGATCTACGGTTCGATATGCCGCCAGACCGCCGCCGGCGCACCAACACACCTAAGACGCGACAGTGTGATAAGCATTGAAAGAAATCTCCCGGAGACGGGACAATGACGACTTTGCAATGTTGTATGGTCTTGTTTGTGTGTTGCGATCTTTTTCGTGGCAAAGTCTGGGCACGATTTGGACCGTGGAGAGCTTCGCTCTAGCGAACAGCATCAGCAAAAGGCAGGATTGCAGGTAATTCCAAACTATAATAACAAATTGTGGTGAATTTTACAGGAAAGAACCCGATTGCAATGGTCTGGCAAATAATCGTAAACTCAGATATGGTATTTCCCCCTTTGAGGTTGCGCAGCCATATATAGGACTATGGTCGTAGCTATGACTAGTCATGGCTTCGTAGATCCTAGATCTGGCCGCGCATTTCAACTAGGCTTTTGCCGATGAAGAAGAATCTTTGAGCGCGTACGCATAATGGCGCGTACATTGCTGTCGTTTTTGTCGAACGGGCTCCTCCTTTAACGTTGAAACCAAGAAGCTTGGAGTGACAACGGGCAGACATCGCGAACAGGCCCATGCCATCGTAGGAGCATTTCCTAACAATGGGCGCTGCAGGCACACTGGGCCTGAAGGATATCGCGTGGATATCGACGTATCGGCGAGAAAAGCATCCACCTGAGCTCGTGCAGGAGTGCCTGGGATCACCCGTCAAACAGGGTACCCATCTCGCACCACGTGCCTATTCAGAATGGAGATTTCGATGAACAAAACTCCTAGCACGGTAAACCCAGAGCCTTGTCAAGCAGCAAAATTCGCGGCGCTCGGACCTCCCGAGGTCCCCACGGAGAAATACAGACTCGTTGCGCTTCGTGTTCCGAGTAGTGAAGATATCGGAAAGCGTACCTTCTGATGATAGTTTTTGGGTCGCCGCATGTCCAATATCGGACGGGAGGAATAATCTCGGCGCGAGCTGTGGCAAGGTGTCTGTCCCGGGTTGCTTGGTTATAGCATCGATTTCCGTCGCGGTGAGGGAACCAGCAGCAAGAGCGATCCGATCGCCGTGTGAGAACACAGGAGTGGCCCCCCAGAATAGTCGAGACATGACGTATCTCTTCTTGGGCATATGTTCTGTGATCCATAAAAGAGGCGAGTGAACTGCCTTCTGTGAAAGCCGCTGACCCAGCAGATGTAACAGGCACGAGGCTCAATTAGACGGTGCTGAGATAACCAGTCGTGCAGCGGAGAAAATGCGGGAGAAGCCAGAGGGAATCAGAGAACGTCATTTTTGAAATGTCGGGCATCGACTCCAATTCGTGGCACCGATGAGCGTGGCGACATCGATGTGGCTGAGGCTCACGCCACGTGTAGGGTCACCAGCGACTTTGGGACCGGTTGTGTGTGAACGCAGAGAACCAGCGAAGGAAGATCGACATCCGTATTCGCGACAGCACTGAGGGAAGCGAGCTTGAGAGTCCTGTGTGACAGATAGGCAAAAAGCACCGGCTTGTCGCAGAGCCTCTGCTTCTGCCAGTCTGATAGACATGCAGCATTGGCTCTGAATGAATAGAAGCTGGTCACTGAATTTGTATGACCGCTGACGACGGATCTGGTTTTTTTTTTCCTGCGGCCGATTGCGCGGTTGTGGCGCGTGCTCGCGGTAAGATATGGAGTGGCTAGGTGCCCTTGAGAAGATGTGGTCGGCAGACATGCGCGGGTAGGCACGACTACGGCCAGATGGGCACGCATGGAGATCACCGTGGATATAAAATTTATGCGATACGACGGAGTGCTGCCAGCGTGAAACAGTGGTGTCAATCACGTCCTTTGAAAGTTCGCATAGCTCTGAGCGCATGCAAATAGAACAGACGACCAGAGAACGGCAGACAGTGACACCACCCTGAATATGCTTTTTCACAACGAGAATGGCCATCGATTAGTTCCGTGATGACTCACCCGATGTTGATGACTCGCACGAACGCGGCGGAGGCTCAGAGTAGCGGACTTCGGACTTCGGCGTGCACGGGGCACGTTCTGGCTTTCAGCTGTTCGGTATTCATGGAGGAATTGCACCCACTACGCAACGGGCTATTCCGCATGACAGTGATTGCCAAGGGCACGAGGCTCCAGAGCAGCCTCGCCGAGTCGCGAGCATTTATGCTAGGTCTGGCTCTGCGATAAATTTCAATCGAGCGTGTTACTTGACGATCTGGACGCGGAATGCGTTCGGAGCTAGGATACCAGGCAGCAAAGCGGAAGAATGTCTAGTCAGACAATGAACTTTGATTAGTACTTACCTATGTGATTACGTAAGGGCGCACATTCGTGATCCGCGAGCTCGCGTCCGTTGTTCACTTCAGTCCACGCTTTGCGTTCTGCGATGTCTGCCTCGATGAAACTGGGGGGGCGTCTACGTAGTATTGCGGCGACATGGCCTGTAGATCCGTTCCGCCCTAATCTCCAGCTTAAGAATTTCCTCACGTCCTTGGCCGACCATCCCAATCTCACACCGGAAGCCGTGAGGGCGGCCCATACCTTGCAAGATAGTCAATTGCAGAAGAAGGTAAACATTTCCGCACCCTCGATTTGACAGCTATACCCATGCAACTTTTATCCCCGCAGTATCCATTATCTGACCATATCCTGAAACCGGCCTCTATGCCGCATCACTACACACGACTCGTCGAAGGTTTCGAAAAGAGCGCGAAAGGGATTGGCAGACCTTGGTGGAAAATATTTTTCGGAGTATGGTGAAGATGTCAAGCGTGAGTACTTGCAGCTGTATTCTGACGACGTTCTATGATAATGACACAAGACCCCAACAGACATGCCACCTTCCTTCCAATGGTCCTGTCAAACGCTGCCAATGCGTGGGAGTTCGAAACTCCGTGCGAGTTCGTGAGCAACTCTCGTGCTCTTACACCCTCTCGAGGCTCGTCCTCGCGGCTTCATTCCCTTGCACTGTCTGTTCAGAATCTTCAGATGGATGTTCTATAGATCTCGAGGTATCAATGGGCACAAGAATCAGAGAAAAAGCTGCGGTGGGTTGCGAAAAGGAGGCTTGTGAACGCGGTCGCGGCAACTCCCTACCACTGGTGTCGCGCACGATTGAATTCACGTCAGCGAGGCCTATGCGCAGCATGCATGCATCGCTAACCTACTCCACTTCTTGTGGAGAACGCGTTGTCTAACCGCATCTCGGTAGGCAAAATATGCCGATGCCGTAAACCATTGAAGTTGCAGCTTCGCGGGAGAAGCAAATATGCTATTTGGGTCCTCCGACCTCATATGTGCTCTCCTCTCACGTCTAGAATCCTCCGGCTATCCAAACGTTTCGACCGCTAACTCTGCGATCGTATTCATCTGAATTGATCCCGCGGGCACCCAGGTCAGTTATCCGACGGCTCTATCTAGACGCGATAAACCTGCACGCGCGAGACAGCTTGCAGTATTCGCATTAATGAGGTGTAAACTGGCCAGGAGCCGTTTCTCCGACCGAGATGCAGACTAGAGATATACAAAGTGTACCGTAGAGTTCCCAAGGTACGTTCGTCATGGGATGCACCATCAATGCCGAATGTATCTAGAAGATCAGTCCTCTAAGATCTCATTTTCACCTTCCCTGGCCTATTACAAGTGCCCAAGCGTAAGCCTGCGCCCGAGATGATAAGCAGATGCAGCCCGTGGTCCAGACTCACCTTCTCGACCAGCTTCCGCCGCTTCTCCCGTGTCTTCCGCTGTACCTTCACGTACTTGCCCAATGGCGTGTCGTCAACCTTGACACTGCGTTCCCATGTCTCCACCTCGTTCATGTGGCCGGGAGCGAACGTGACGCCCTTCCGCTTTTGCTCGGCCCACCGCGCACCCTCCTCAACGCGCTCAACGAGCCCCTTCGCCAGACCCGCCTCCTTTGATTTCCAGGGGGACGACTTGGCCATTTTGATCGTCTTCTTGAGCACCATGACGATGGGCACGACGATTTCAGGGAACGCGATGCTGACTTGGACGGGCGCACTCGAGAGGTACTCGGCGAGGAGGTATGTTGCCTCCTCGGCGAGTCCTTCGTTGTAGACGCGCGTCTTCAGGTACTGCTGCGGCGCGCGGATGTTTGTCTCGAAGTCGAACTGGCGCAGCGTAGACGCTTTCGGTTTTGATGATACCGAGAGCGTCGACGTGATGATGGGCAGGATGCATGGCGCGAGGGGTACGTATGCATGCGTGTGCCGGGTAAGGTGCAGTAGAGAGCGGATCATGTGGAAGTGGAAGGGATATGAGCGTGCGTTGCGGATGAGTCTGGGACAGAAGTTAGCGGGCCCCGAACACATAACGACACGTCGATCGCGACGACGTACTTCATAGCTCCTAGCGACACCTGCACCAAGGGGTAAATGAGGGGCTTCAGCTCGCTCTCCTTCCCATTCCTATCGGCGAGGGCCTGCTTGTCGCACGCGCGTGCCAGCACGATGGCCCAGAAGTCGACGCAATGCACGTATTGCCAATTGTATACTTGCTTATACGCCTCCTACACAGTGCACGAGCGGCTGCATGAGCGCGAGGGGGTATGGCAAACTAGCAAAGCGCATAGTGCAATCAGACAACTTACCTTGCTCTTCACCTTCGTGCTGTTCCGGAGGTGGATTGCGAGCTGACGGATGTATCCAAACGCGTGCTGGTACGCTGTCGCGTGGTCCAGGCAGTAGAGCTCCGATGCCGAGTTTTTCATGAGCGTGATAGACGGGAGCGTGTGTGCGCTCGTAGACTTGCATGAGCGGACAAGCGTCAGATAGGTGCTCTGGGCGTGTGGGGCGTCATTGTGCGCACGCGGTAAAAGGAAAGCAGAAAGGACGTACCTTAAGGACTATGTCCATGATCGACGCGTCTGTCGCTGAGGCGAGCTTGCGGACGGCAAGGAATGCGGCGATGCGGACGCTATCTTCAGCGCTGGCCCAAAGGTCTAAGCATGCCTTGCTTCCGGGGTGAGTCCGCGCTCTATTGGCGAATTGGCTCGAACGAGAGAACACACCTTCAGATACGCTTTGACAGACTTGCGGCTGCTCGTAATGTACGGCACGAGCTTCGCGCTTTCCGTAAGAGCAAGTCGTTGCATCTCCGTGTCTGTCATCTGTGAGAGCAGATGCATGATGTTGTGGAAATATGAGAGGATCATTTTCTGCAGTGTCTTCCACTTTGGTGTTTGTGTCGGTGACTTGCTAGTGTACACAACAGAGTATAATTGAGAGACGGATCAAACGGGAGGAACAGAAAAAACATACAACTTGCCCGACGGAAGGATCTTGTAGGGACAATGATGCTCGAGGACGACGGGGGTGTACTTAAGAGCAGTTGTGACCAATTTGTTGTACACTGTAGGCAGTTAGTATAACGTGGAGATGTAGAATGATTCAACGGCTCCAAACGCACCTGAAGAACTGTCGATATTCCATGCTAGGACTTGATCCTCCTCATTCATGTGTGCGGCCGAACGGAATGCAATGAGCAACTTGCGCAATGCTCGTAACGACCGATGCTGTAAGACAATACCCATACTTCTTAGAATTTATCATAAGCCGAAACACACTATGTTCACCTCAAGGATGGCCTTTTGCCATTGCTGCAGCGTGGCTTTCGTGAGGATGGGAACTTGATCCTCTTGCATGGCGTCCTTGTCCTCTTCATCTTCATCATCTTCCTCCTCGTGTCCCCCTGCACCACTGGAGTCGAACGCGAGAAGCTCGCGGTCGTTTTCTTGCAAGTACTTGTAGAATTCTGGGTCTTTCTCTGCTAGCTTAGAGAGCTCGAGCATGTGCGCTTCTCCCTCGTCTATGGCCTAGTGAGCTTCGTGTAGAGGCAAGAGGTGAAGCACAGTACCATCCAGATCGTCCACCGAGGCAAAGGACTGGTTGTCATCTTCGTCCTCCTCCTCTTCACTCTCACTTCCGGCGTCGTCGTCGCCGTCGTCTAGACCATCCACTGAACCCTACTAGAATCAGCCCGATGTAATGTATATCAAAAAAATTAACATACATCTTCGCCATCTCCCCCCTGCATGAATGCCCCGCCCAAGAAGTCGTCCACGGACATTCCTTTGGACCTAAAGCCAAGTCTCGCCCACATACTCAAGTGATCGCGAAAGCAAGGACTCACTTGTGCGACTCATCCTCCACATCCATCTCCCCTTCCTCCCCTTCCTCAGCATCTCCTGCTACCCGCTTGCCCTTGCCCTTACTGCTCTTTCGCCTTTCCACCTTCTTCCTGATATCACGCTGCTTTCGCCGAGCTTGTATGGTTTTTTGGAGCTGACCACTCGCCGCAAACTTGCGCGTGGACTTTGTGGCTTTCTTTCCCATTATTTTGAAGCGGAGGTAGCCAAGGGTGAACGCAGCGTATGTGCTCTGTACCAATCTATGCAGAAGGATTCACGGAAAATGCAGAACCTTGAGATCGGGTTTTGGATCTTCCACGTGATTCAATTTGAATGCGGTCAATGGGCGCTTTGCGCTCTCCTCGTCCTTGTCCTCTCCGTCCTCCTGTTGTCTGGCTCAGGACAGGTTTACTGGCTTTCTGTATACTCTTATTCTGAAAGCGGCCTTCAAATCACTGACACCCAGTACACGCTGTGCTGCGTTACATCTGGTCTATCACAGGGTTGCATGCCTGGAATTGAAAGTCGTATTCAATAAGCGTTGTCAAAAGCTAATAATGTCTGCGAGCGCATGCGAGTGCATTGCGTCTGCGAATGAGCTCTTGGCCGCACATTCGGCTCTTGTTTCTCGCGTCCGCTCCGCTCAGAAACAACATCGGAGACAACTCAGAACCCTCCCGTCTCCTACGTATGGCCTCATCAAACTACCCTTGATTCCGTCTCCCCCACGTTCTCCGCTGTCGTCTCCTCCTTCCTCACCTCAACTGCCTCCAAAACTTAAAGTTGCTCGTCAGGAGCTCCCTCCCGCGAAGCGCGCACGCGCGCTACGGTACAACAACTATGTCCCTGAGGAAGAGACCATCCGCAATGACTATTCCCAACGCTACGTGGACGGAGGGGAATGGCCACAGAATTGGGTACTTGGTGCAGACCCTGAACACCGATTTGAGGAGTATGTCATTCTCTCGGCATGCAATTTAATCGTGTTTCACCCCTCTAACACAGGGTCCTTGGCGTAGATATCCGAAGCAGCAGCGCCTGCTGGCTCTAAAGAAGGCGTCAGTTGCATCTCATGCTCTCCCTCCGACGTACCTGCCATTCTCCCAATTGTCCTCCATTCATCCGTCCAAATTTGACGTGATCCTCATTGACCCGCCGTTCTCCTCATCATTCACGTGGGATCACCTACAAGAACTTCCGATACCTACCCTTGCGGCCGACCCGTCATTCGTATTCATGTGGGTTGGGAGCGGGGCTGGCGAGGGTCTCGAGCGTGGTAGGGAAGTCATGGCCAGATGGGGCTTCAGGCGGTGCGAAGATATTGTATGGGTGAAGACAAATCATAACAGCAATCGCGGTCCTGGAGTACGTCCGATCATCGTGCCCACTTTGACGCATTCACTGATGTTTGCACGTCCAGACAGACCCACCAACGACCTCATTGCTGACACGAACAAAACAGCACTGCCTGATGGGTATACGGGGGACAGTACGTCGCTCTACCGATAGCTGGTTCGTGCATTGTAACGTCGGTGCGTATTGTCCCCCGTCTGCTGACCGTTGAGGCTCATCAGAACTTTAGATACGGACGTAATGATCTGGGAAGGAGACGCCTCAGATCCTACGCTAAAGCCGCCAGAGATGTATACTCTCATAGAAAATTTCTGCTTGGGGCTACGGCGGCTGGAAATATTTGGACGCGCGCGCACATTACGTCGCGGTTGGGTGACAGCGCTAGCCGAGGGGGAGGAAGAACGGATCGAGCAGGGCATGTCGGTTGACGCTGATGGCACCTCGGAGCAGCAAGAATTTGCGACGCTCTGGAACCGCGAATCCTGGGAGAGCGGGACCAGGGAGGTCTCGAATGGCGGGAAGCCCGTAGTCCCGATGACACCGGGTATGTCGTGTCGCCTGCCCGTCTGAGCCTGTCCCGTGCTGACCCCCGGCCCTGAGCTAGAAATCGACGCGCTCCGTCCAAAGTCACCCGTGCGCGGCGGCTCAGGGAACACGAATGCTGGTATGGGCGGTGGCGCGCCCAGCGTTTCGTCGCCTCTGCCCGGCACTGTGCCCCTCGCAATGCCCATGGGTGGGCCGCCCGCGAACATGCAGAACGGGGCGCGCGGCGGGTTCGCGGGCCCGAACCGCATGATGATGCAGCCTGTGATGGCGATGGGCGGGATGGGCCAGAATATGGGTGGGGGTGACATGAGCATGATGGGCTGGCCCGAGATGGGCATGGGCATGAACATGGGTGGGATGCCAGGAATGAACGCGATGGGGCTAGGCATGGGGCAGCAGCAAGGGCTCGGGTTCGGCGGGTTCGATGGCGGTGGCATGCAGCAGATGCAACAGATGCAAGGCATGCACCAGGTGCCCCAGGGCGGCATGAGCATGGGTTGGATGGGTGGAGGAGATGGGCACTTTGTCGACCCGGGGGCGGGCATGTGGGATGGCGGGATGGCGAGAGAAGGCATGATGGGTATGAATGGGATGGCAGGGAACATGGGCATGGGAGGGAACATGATGGGTCCGGGCATGAACGGTATGGGCATGGGCATGGGTATGGGCATGGGTCAGTGGGGAGAAGGATTTGATGGACGCTACTGACGACACTCGGACGTTTTGTATGCATGCTGTACATTAATTACTGGATTGTATTAACTGCTACGCATCAGCAACCCCACGCAATACATGTTTGAACGAAGGAAATAACAATAATGTTACAGACTCTATGGGTATTGAGAACACGGGGTATTACTCTGAAATATCAAGCGGGCATATATTGTGCTAGCGCCACTCACACTCGCACTCCGCAATGCCTGTGCTCATGTCGGCTTGGTACGATTCCTTGTTGCATGATGTGCGTCTAGTTCCGCCATGAATTGTTGTTGCTTTTCGATCGTCCATTTCATGCTGATATAGTAATTGAGTTCAATCAGGAGTCGGACGAAAGTGATATAACGTACAATTTTGACTCCAGGAATGATTGTAGCTGTTGGGGACCAGCGATATGTCCCAATTCAACCATAGACGTCTGCCTTGCTTTCAACCTGTGCATCTTCGGTCATGGGCGTGTCCTATATGGGACAGACATTGGGCATACCTCTCCTCCGCAGTTAGTTTGGGCTGGTGGCGTCGCCTCACAGGAGGCCATGGTTCGATCGGCTGCTTCGCAGCTTGGTCGTCTTGAGCCATCTTCCTCTTGCGTTCCTTCTTTTCTCGCTTTTTCACCTGTATCGGAATTTAGGAAAGCAGACAGAACCAAACAACAAAAGTGTATACCTCCATGGTTGTTTGGAATTTTTTTCCCTCTATTGCACTCTCGGCGATAAGATCCTCGTTCCGATGAGTATACCGCACTCCAATGTCGTTTAGTACTTTCTGGATGTCATTGACCTTGTGCTCGACCTTCGGTATACCTACTCGTGATTTAGAAGGAGAAAGACATATACGCTCGTGACACTTACTGTCGTCGAAGAGGAGGGAATCTAGGCCGTTCATGTTGTCCTAATCGCATACATTTGTGAAAAATCGCTGTTGATCAAGAGTGTTATGTACTCACGCTGTCCTTGTGGGCAACTTCTGACTCTCGCGTCGCCTTACCATCTGATCTCCTCTTCTTAGCGTCCATATTCGCCAGAGCCCAATTGAAGTCTGAGAGAATGGCCCGCTCGACCTGATAGTGAGGATAAGTGTCTGACCATCGTGACAAGTACATCGAAGCTCACAGCCTGCTTTGTCGCCAGTGTGTCCTCGTGCAAAGTGAATATATTTTTGATTCCGAATAGTTCCCCTTGTTTTGTCTTCTCTCCTTGGACACCTTCGAAATACCTTATGACCAATGCGAATATGTTCCTCGAGTGTAAGAACTTGTTAGCATACCTTGTCTGGAAACTCGCGTTGTATCCCACTTGCATCTGCTGTTGCTTGTAAACTTGACGAGCATATATAAGTTCTTCGATTGACCCTGCCCCCAGCAGTCGGAAGACGGAGACATCACGAGTCTGGCCAAAACGGTAGGCGCGGTCAATAGCTTGCAAGTCATGAGCAGGGTCTAAGATAGCCGTCAGGAATACAGGTCAGGTGGCGAGGGAAGTGGCGGAAGTGGCTTACTCCAATTCGGATCTGCTCATGAGATATTGGTAAATGCATGTGAGTAATCTGAATTTGATCACACACCGAGAATTACGACTTTGTTGGCGCCGGTAAGATTTAGGCCCGTTCCCCCAGCCATTGTCGAGATCAAAAACACGAAGACGTCAGGGTCATCGTGGAATTTGTCGATCAGAGGCATGCCTAGAAAGAAAATGGCAAGGCTTGTCATGTAGGCATATCGAACACCACAGTGAGCTACTGACGATCTTGAGCTTTTGTAGAGCCATCCAGTTTGACGAAGCCCAGATCTGGATAAACATCAGCTATATGTAGAACAAAAAAACTTGTTGAGGCGTACTTCGTGATCTCAGATGGAATTCAAGCATTTCCAGCAGCTTCACAGATTTGGTGAAAATGAGGACTTTGTTTGATGCATCCTTGCTCCAATCGGCGAGGAGGGATTCCAGAACCTTGAACATTTGATGTTAGCCCACTACCAACTGAGTCTACATGAATGGTGAGCACTGACCATCCATTTACCACAAAACCTCGGCACGAGCATCGCGGGGCCGTATTTAGGAATGGTCTCGCTGCCGAATGCCACACGAGATAATTCTCGATTTCTCGCGGTCTGTAGAGATACTCAATGCCGCATTTCGGAAAGGAACAAAAAATTTAACATTACCTGCTCAGGAGAGTCCGAGGGCGCTAGTGGAGGATGCTTAGCCACAGCGACACGATTTGCGAATTGGCTTACATGGCAGAATCAGAGCAAGATGGTTCGATATTTTGATCAGCGTCGTCAAGTATCTAAACAAGTCCCCCTTATTGAACGAGTGGCAGCACTTGCTCCGCCTGTTTGATCAATCAGTGTGCTCAGTCATCTTTACTTAGCGATATAATTAGATGAAGACCTCACTGCTTCTTGGATCCGCAGTCACATAACTCATCCTTACGGATCATATTCTGGACCGATTCTATTGCGAGGATGCGTTTATACACCTCGATTTGTTTGGGCGTCAAAGGACAGAAGACCACTTGATCGTCCTTTCCAGGCAGCTGGGAAAATGCGAGTAAGTCGCGCGGATATGGTGAACATGGAGAAGAAAGACAGACCTGGTTCTTGATGATGTCCTTTGTCCTGTTTTAGATGAGGCAAGCGTTTCTTATCGCTTCAGCAAGGGAGAAACGAACCTTCGAAGGAAGAATTTTGGTAGCAACTTCTCTTTGAGGATCTGTGCTACTAGCTACAAGAGACTTCAGCAAACAGGTTTCTGCGTCAATCGCAAACTCTTACAATGGCCTTCGTGCGCTGTTCGTGGGCAGCAGATTTGCTCTGTCCAATTGTCAAGGGCCGTGAAACATAGCCATCCCATTGCCGTTTTGTGCCCACACTTCCCGGATTGGTCCAGTCCAATATAGTCCAAAACTCAGCAAACGAGTTTTGTATGGCTGTCATCAAAAGTCCGTAATGTCGAAAGCAGAGCCAGAACTATACGGCTCACCTGTACCAGTGAGACCAAATCGCACTGTGCATGCAAATTGGTTGAATGCCATGGCAACTGCTGCACGCGGGTTCTTGACCCTGTGTACCTCGTCCACAATAACGCACGTCCATGCCAAATCGTCCAAAAGGGATATATCCTTCCGAGCGGTCTCGAAGGACGTCAAAACTACCAAACATGCCTCAAGTAGGTAGAGATGAAAAATAGACCTGAAACTTACCAACGTCAAGTCTACCCATCTTGAAATCATTCAATACGCCAGCGCGCTCTTTCGGGGGCCCTGTATACATGCCAACCTCGAAGTAGCCCCACTATACGGAATCATCAATCCCTAGCGCTATGGGACATCGAGTTTGCGTACCGTCTCAAACTCCCTTTCCCAATTGCCTACAACAGAACTCGGTGCGATGATGAGGCATGTCGGCCATGTCTGGTTAGCTGGAGGTAAGAGGCGATCGTTCTGCCATTCTGGTCTGTCCTGCAACTGAGAAACATGCTTTCTCCGGCGATTTAGGTCGTTAACATTGCCGCTTTTCTGCATGATAGCAGACAAAAACGATATGACCTGAATAGTTTTCCCTAAAAAACAAATTGTAGTTGAAGGCATAAGCGGGTAATAGGATGTCTCACCCTAGACGTAGAGGTCAGCGGTTGTGGCAAGAAGGGCATCGGGAAGAACTTACTAGACCCATGTCGTCACCCAAGACACCCCCGCGCCCATCTTTATATCTCTCCCAAAAGAACCGGATGCCGTCGCGCTGATATTCTCTTAAGAATGTGTTTATTCGTCCCGGGACCTTATGCGAGTCATCTAGGATCAGCGGACCTAGCGAAGGTTGATCCGGTTTCAAAGGGAATGCAGGTCGTGGCTGCAAGAACTATATGAGAGGAACCATCAGCTGCACATTTCGAATATTTTCCCTGGTGAGTTGCTTGACCTTGTTCGCCAATTCTTCAGCTTCACTATCTGATTCAGTCTCAGATCCAGAGTCAAATGACGTCTGATCTGGTTTGTTCACTACAATGCTAGCTCCGTGAGTACTTGGTCAGGACAGCGACGATCAGGTACATACAACTAGGTTGCAGATGTTGAGGGGCAGGACGAGTCGTATGTGTTGACACGGGGTCAACATCAGATTCTGATTCCGTGATTGATTCGTCTTGAGAGTATTCCGCTCTAACTTTCTTCTTAGGTGGTGCGCCACACTCGTCTATATGGTCAGGCGATTTACGTTTCGAAGATGGATTTGATGAGCTCGCGATTTCGGCATCGGTTTCAGTTTCGGTTTCTGATTCTGCATCCCCATAAAAAGGTGAGATCGGTCAAGACGTCATTATAATGTGCCGCACCTGCCACAGAATTAGTCGTGTCTTTGTCCCTCTGAGATGCTCGACTCTGAGGATTATATGCAGTGGGCTTCATCACAGAACTAAGTGTCTGCAACTCCATTGGATCCAAATTATCTTCTTGGACCTCCTTATCACTTTCTATTTCGTCGTCAGGTTCCTCTTCGTTGTCTGCTTCGTCTTCGTTCTCAGATGCTGACTCCAGACCGAGGTCATCTATACACAGACATCTATCAATAAGTCCGAAAAACGTATAGATCATCCGCACTGAAATATTCCAGCAGTGGATTCTGCCGCTGTGGCTGTGAGCCACTGCCGACTCGCTTTGTGCCTATAGAAGTCGAGAAGACAGGAATGAGGCTGCATGACAATAGCCGTAGGGAATTATGATATACCCTTTTTCTCAGAATCGCGCGCAATGACTTTTCTCCTGTTCGTTTTCCGATGCGGTGGTGAAGCTTGTCTCATGGATGGACTTCTCTGTTTTCTACCCCTTTTCGGTGCATTAAGGGCGATTTTACCAGGATTAAAATCAGAGTCCGTGTCCTCATCTACGGGGAGTATTCAAACGCATGTAGAACCTGAAATTACTGTGAGAGGCTTACCGAGAGGTACTGGTGCAGAATGAACAAACACTGTGGCTGATTCTGTGAATTGATAGGCAACGAAGTGGAAGCTCTTATTTACCGTTCTTCTTAGTAGCAGTCATTTATCTGAAAAAGGAACTTCAAATAGAGGGTGGTTGGGAACAGGGCGCTGCAAAGGGTGTATCGCGGGGCAATGATGTGGGAGGAAGCGAACGACGCGGAGCGCGACGCGGATATATATGATCACGTGTGGCGTCGCGATCACGTGCCCGCTAATGCGTACGCGCTGCAAAATACAAGAACCATTTTGCCCTCTAACCCGCGCATCTAGCCATTTGTCTCGATTATAACAGCTACTGTGCACACATATTATTCTCAAACCGTGTTATATTTGAATGTTTCGTGTACACAATGCCTCAGAGTGAAGGTATTCATATGGAACCCTCTATCATAGTTTTGCGACTGTTGTCTTTATACACTACCTCTAGCAAGTTGTCATTAAGAGCACGCATCTCCTGAGTCGCCTTAATCCTGTCTTGGAACAGAGAATGAGTTAAATGAAGGAACAATCAGGCTCAAAATGACCTTCTCCTTGATTGTGCTTAAACTGACTCGGACCTTTGTCTGAAATTAATCTTTTGGAGGCAAGAGGAATCCAGCACACCATGTCAAGGTAAGATGTGGCTTTAGTAATGAAGAGTGTATTCATCCATGCTGAACCTAAGACATTGATATCACAAAAATCCTGGCAACAGACTGCGGTGTGTTGTCCTCCATCACTGGCCTGTGCCTGTTAACCCACTGGCAGATACCCATTGGAAATAAGTGCACATTATATGCCATTGAGCGCCACACCAAGCAAAATGCAAACATGCATGTAGTACACACCCCTCTACTTCAAGCATTGCATTTGTCATTATTGAAAGTCGATTGAGATGGTTGGCGGTTATCTAGCGATCGACTCCCGCGCCAATCTTATCAAAGTACACTTCCCTGATAAGGCGTCCAGCGCTGTCGCATGACTCGAACTGACATCGATTTCATTAGAGAAAAGTGGATTATACGCTGCATTATCCACCTTGGCCATCATTCTTTCCATCTGGCGACGTGCTGCACGTCCCACACGACTCCTGAGTCGATTCTACACTATGGCATCTGCAAACACGATTGAGCTTGGGCAGACCGCCAAGCGCGACCAGCTCGTCGCTCTCGAGAAGAAGTACCAGGAGCGATGGGCCGCGGAGCATTTGTTCGAGGCCAATGCACCGACGCCAGAGGAGACTGCTGGGCTCTCTCCTGCGGAAATCAATGAAAAGTTCCCTAAGTGGTTCGGCAACTTTCCGTACCCCTACATGAACGGCTCGCTGCATCTTGGACATGCCTTCTCCATTTCAAAAATCGAGTTTGCTGCTGGATTCCATCGTCTCCTCGGAAAGCGCGTGCTTTTCCCATTGGCATTTCACTGTACGGGCATGCCGATCAAGGTGAGTATTTGTACCTCGCCACCGGGCATACTCTGAGCTGTCAGTAGGCCGCCTCGGACAAAATTCAACGGGAGATTGAGATGTTCGGCCCTGAATTCCAGGGCTTCATGGCGGAAGACGAGGCTCCTGCGCCAGCGGCGTCCTCTTCTACCGAGCAGCCAAAGGCCGTGGACAAGGCCAAGAAGGGCAAAGTTGCAGCGAAGGCCACCGGCTTGCAATACCAGTTCCAGATCATGGAGTCGATGGGCATCGAGCGCTCCGAGATCAAGAATTTCGCGGACCCTTACTACTGGCTCAAGTACTTCCCGCCTATTTGCATGGTGAGCGCGTCTGCACGTCACGATTGCTGTCGTCTTATCACTCCTCCCAGGCAGACAACGATGCATTCGGCTCGCGGATAGACTGGCGGCGCTCGTTCATCACCACGGATGCCAATCCGTACTATGACGCGTTTGTGCGTTGGCAGGTGAATAAGTTGTACGCGCTAGGGAAGATCAAGTTCGGCGAGCGGTACACGATCTACAGCCCGAAGGACGGCCAGCCATGCATGGACCACGATCGATCGGAGGGAGAGGCGCTTGGGCCCCAGGAGTACACGGGCATCAAGATGGAAGTCGTGAACTGGAGCGAGGCGGCGGCGAAGGAGATCGCGGACAAAGTGGGCAATCGGAAGGTCTTCTTGGTTGCTGCAACCCTGCGGCCAGAGACGATGTAGGTCGCGTCGTTTATGTGCGTCTTTGGTCCGGCTAACGTGGCGCAGGTACGGACAGACGAACTGCTTTGTTGGCACAGCCATTAAGTATGGCGTGTTTGCCATCAACGACAAGGAGGCATTTGTGTGCACTCACAGATCGGCGCGCAACATGTCATTCCAGGGTACCACCGCCGTTCGCGGTCAGATTCACCAGCTGCACGAGATCGAAGGTTCTGCCCTCGTTGGAACGAAGATCAAGGCACCATTCTCTGTGAACCCGGAGGTGTATGTTCTCCCTATGGACAACGTGCTTGCGACGAAGGTACGCAGTATGATGCTTTCGCCCTGTCCACCGCTCACAAAGATGTATAGGGAACTGGCGTCGTGACCTCCGTCCCATCAGATTCGCCAGACGACTATCAGACTCTTACCGACTTGCGTAAGAAGGCCGAGTTCTACAAGATCAAGCCTGAATGGGCAGCCCATGATCCTATCCCGGTGATCTCAACGCCTACGTACGGCGAGATGATCGCGCCAGCGGTGGTAAAGCAGTTCAAGATCCAGTCGCAGAAGGACATAAAGCAGCTCGCGGAGGCCAAGGAGATCGCGTACAAGGAGGGCTTCTATAACGGCACTATGCTCATCGGCGAGTTCAAGGGCCTGTCGGTGCAGGAAGCGAAGCCGAAGGTGCGCGACAGCATGATTGAGAAGGGCCTTGCGTTCCCGTATGCAGAACCGGAGGGACTTGTCATCTCGCGCAGCTCGGACGAGTGCGTTGTCGCTCTGATGGACCAGTGGTACCTGGACTACGGCGAGCCTGTCTGGCGAGCGGAGGCTGAGAAGTAAGTGCTTACATTGAGGTTCCCGCAAACATCGATGTTGATGCATGGGACGGTAGAGCGTTGGCGCGAATGGAGACCTATCACCAGGAGACACGGAACGCGTTCGAAGGCGTGCTAGCGTGGCTCAACCAGTGGGCATGCGCACGCACGTATGGTCTCGGTTCCAAGCTCCCCTGGGACCCGACGTTCTTGGTCGAGTCTCTCAGTGACTCAACTATCTATATGGCATACTACACAATCGCACACTTGCTGCAAGGTGCGTCGACCCCCCCTCCACGGAAGTCGCGACTTACGAGTTCACAGGAAACATCGATGGTAGCAAGCGTGGTCAACTTGATATCGCCCCCGAAGAGATGACTGACGAGATCTGGGAGTACCTTTTCCGGGACGGCCCGTGGCCGGAGTCGGCGACAGTGCCCAAGGAGAAAATCGACACCATGAAACGCGAATACGATTACTTCTATCCCTTTGATGTCCGATCCTCTGGCAAGGACCTCATCCCAAACAACCTGACCTTCCTCATATACGTCCATACTGCCTTGTTCCCTGAGAAGAAATGGCCTCTCAGTGTTCGCACCAACGGTCACCTGATGGTGAACGGACAAAAGATGTCGAAGAGCAAGGGCAACTCAATGACGATGCGCCAGTGCGTCGAGAAGTTCGGCGCTGATGCTGCTCGACTCTGCCTTGCGGATGCAGGAGACGGTATTGAGGATGCAAATTTTGACGAGAAGACTGCCAATGCCAATATCTTGCGTCTGCATACGCTGATATCGTGGTGCGAGGTAGGAACATGAGGTCAATCGCTTGATTGTTTTCGCTCAACCCGACCTCCAGGAAATGACGCAAGATCACGCAAAGTTGCGAACTGGTGCGCGCAATTACCACGACCGGGTCTTCGAGGAAGAAGTCTTCGGCTTGATCAACTCCACGCGGAACTACTACCAAGCGTTAGTACTCCTACCGGCGTCCCATGATATCTAAGCTAATATACTCTTTCAGAATGGAGTACAAGGACGCCCTGAAATATGGATTCTACGAGCTCCAAACAGCTCGCGATTGGTACCGCGAGGTCACCTCCGACGTCGGCATGCACGCTGAGCTCGTCGAGTGGTGGATCCGGGTTGCGGTTATTCTCATTTCCCCTGTCGCACCTCATTTCTCCGAGCATGTCTGGGCAACAATTCTTAAGGAACCCAAGTCCATACACCTAGCTCGCTGGCCCACGTCCCGCCCTGCCGATCAGTCCATCATCGATGCCGGTGTCTACATGCGGGGGACGATCAAGACTATGCGTGACGCCGAGCTCACGTTGCTCAAGAAGATAAACAAGGGCAAGCAGGGGCAGGCATCGTACGACCCGACGAAACCTCGCGCCGTCCGCATATATATTGCTACAACGTTCCCCGAGTGGCAGGACCAGTGCGTGCAGACCGTCAAGGAGTCATACGCACCGGAGGCGGATAAGGTGGACGATGCGAAAGTGCGCGAGCTGCTCACGCAGCGGGGACTGATCAAGGACAAGCGTGCAATGCCCTTTGTACAGGCCTTCAAGGTTCGTGATGCTTATCGTTCGATACGGTATGCGTTGATTGACGAGCTCAACCCCTCACAGCGGAGAATAGCACAATTTGGCGCTGAGACCGCGTTCAAGCGGACTCTTCCGTTCTCTGAAACGCAGGTACTCGCGGAGATTTTGCCCTACCTGAAAAAGACCTTGAATCTGGTCGATGCCGAGATCATGCTGGCTAGTGACGCGAAGGCCACACTCACGGAAGCCAGCAGTAAACTTATCATAGAGAGTGCGGAACCAGGCAGCCCCGCTTTCGAATATCGCAATGTCTAGAGTCGATGCTTTTGTAGGACCAGTTCGCATGTATTGGTATAATTGTAGTCATCACATATAGTTCAAATGCTCATTGGTCGTCATTTGATTGCGGCCCATGATACATTTATCGAGGCGCGCCTGACAAGGCCTGACACAATAGAAGACACGTTGCAGTAGGTCCGAGGGGAACCGAGTACTGCGTATATGGGGATGTGAGCGTTGATGGTTAGATACACAGCTAAGTATTTCCAGAGCAGCGAGATGACTACGGTACTACGCTATTATACTAGGTGCTGATGGTATTAGTCGCGGACAAGACTGTCGTGCTTGATATGACCTCCCGAGCATTATGCAACGCCTTCGTGTACCTATTATCGTCCTCGGCACACTGTAGTCTCAAGTCTTCGAGATCTCCCCATCCCGTGGGACGCTCCGACATGAACGGCCGCCGCACAAGAGCAAACAATAGCCACGCCTGCGGCGATCGATACGGGCAATCAGACATGATGGATGGGATGACAGCGGAGGAAATGGAGAACAGGAGGAGCGCGGCAACGAGCGCGAACACAATGCCGAACACGGCGGCGCTCAGCGTCCACAATAGCTGCACGAGTCCGACGAGGAAGAGCGCGATTGCGATCTGCAGGAGCACGGGAAGGATGGCGATGATACGGCCGACGCGCCACTTAGCAAGGCCCGTGGAGCGCTCATGCCAGGTAAGTACGCTCTTGTTCGGCAACGCAGGGATGTGGTCAGTGTAGTTGTTTAGCCACTGCTTGACGAGGATACCGATGGAGCCTGTCGCAAGGGTGAGCACGAGCGAGGAGAACCAGAACGCGTTGATGCAGGTTGCAGATAATGTAGGCGCTTTCTGGATTGACTGAGCAGCGGTCGAGGCTTCGGTCGAATTGGATGTGAAATTGCTCATCTGTTCCGATAGTTGTTGGATGACATCGGAGATGTCGGCGGAAGGCTTGAGCGTGCGGTAATATTCGACATTGAAGGCGGTAATGACCGTAGAGAAAAGGCCGGCCTTCATAACAATGAGCGAAGTGTCCGGCGCGAGGTTGAACGGACCGTGAGCGTGCCCACCATCAACAGTTGTGAATCAATTTCGTCCTTCCATCTCCTCACCATGTCCCTCTCGTGAGCCCAGACCCCACGAGCATGTTCTTTGTGTATCGCCGTTGCGGACGGGACTGAGATAACTTCGGTCTCCTGTAGAGGGTGTGCCGAATGTCAATACCTAATGAGCACACCAGCAGTCCTCATACCTTCGAATCTCCAGTAGGGGACCTTGATGGCGTTGACTTCGGTGAAGTGCTCTGAGCATAAGAACCCTTCAAGAGTACCTCGTTGACTTGGTCATCAACCGGCTACGATGAAGATAAACGAACGTTGCATCCTATAAGACATGGCCACCTACAGTGATATGTATAGCGACCTCAGGTTGATTAGGCTGCCCCGGGAATCCATGACATTGCTGCGGATTACGGAGGCTCAGACACTTATCGATAGTGGATACACAAGGAACATACTGATATTGAAGGATTGTCATCTGTAGAAGGCGATGGCAGACACGGAATCTGCAGCTCATTTGGATTAGTGAAACTAGATTGTGCTGAATGTGATCTCTGGCCTGCCAGAGGGTCGTGCTGTAGGCTGTGTAGGGTAACAGAACTTGCAGCGCGTGAATGCTGATGAGGTTGATTGGAGAGCTCTCGATACATAGTGGGTGCTGGAACGCGTGGTTGGAAGTGGGTATAGAATTGATGAGACCGGTGATTGAAGTGTCGCAATAGGCGGCGATGATCTGGACTGGAGAGCCTGCTCAAGTATGGACAGACATTCGACACGGATGATCTCTTTTATACATACGGAAGGGTCGTTGCCGTTGTTCTGTAAGAAGCTCCAGTGACATCGGTCGACTTCGGCCACGAGACTCGGTACAAGGGCGCAACATCAACGCTGTCATGGCTGGCAACTTCGCCCTACATGAAGGCCTATTGTCCACGCTTGTGGCCGCCTACATGGACCCCTCGGGCAACCAGGCTAACTTTGGTTCCGTATGGAAGGATGTCTGACAGGTGCGCCCCTTGACCTAAGGTGCCTATAAATTACAATGCCACATTGAGTTAGCAGATATGGTATCCCCGGCGAGATACTCACATTTATTTTAAAAAGTCACCTGGCCTCCCGCGGATCAGCTGAGATCGTATGCATAATAGCTCAAAGCGCCAGCCGCATCAATATTGCAGCTGATCACAAGCAAACTTGGATACACAGTTGCCCACATCTTACGTGAGGTCCCTGGCATCGAGATAAGCAAGGACAAGGCTATCCTTTTGGCGCCTCAACAGCATTGCCATGACCACTAAGAATGTTTATAGAGAACAATTAACAGCATGACTGTGGCTGCCATCCCCAATGTGAAGTCTGGAAGCCTGGGGATCCACAGCGAGCTTGACAAAAATATCTCGGCTAAGCCACGTGAATATTTGTCACTCAACACAGTAGCGCCGGTACTGTGGCGGGCCGCGGACCGCGGCAACATGAGTTCCGCTCCTTACTTTAGTGAAGGCGAAAACATACCCAGGTACAAGTAAAATGCACTCCGAGTCGTAACCTGTATGGCAGAGGTCCGGAGGCATACGCATCCAAAGGCTGATTGCAATGGTTCGGCAGTTCTTCGCCCGAAAGCATCGTAAACCCGTGAGAAGCCAGATAACGCATAGAACTTACTGCAGCTCCAACGACGAAACATAATAGATCAGTAGTAGGAATCAGCACCGTATGTAATTCTCCTAGCTTACTATGTCGATGTGCCTGCCAGCGCTTGCCGCTTCTCAGCATCATGCCTGTCGTTTACATTCGATGTCTGCTTGTTCTATGATGTCGCGAACATTCACCTTTGCCATTCCACTTCGATTTTGAAACGTCTTCATGCATCTTCTTGCACATATATGTGTTGGTGCACCTCTCTCTCAATTGCTTGTGCTCCTTCATTGCTCCTTACCTCTACAGCTATGCTTTCGCCGTACACAAGTTTTGGGTGTTGGGCTATAGACTTCAGAGTAGCCCTATCAGACACCTTACAAGATCTACAAAAGTGCGCACACATTCATAGTATGCCGTAACGGATCAGGTGGGCTAGCATTTCGTGATGTTAAGTAAACGCTCACCTTTCGTGGTTGTCTACAAAAACTCGACTTCAATGTTAATTGCAGTACTAAGTACTAGTAGTGCAAGCTCTCACCAACGAAAGTGCACACACGCATATCATGATACTTCTCGATCCGGATAAGACTCCGGAGGGCGACTTGTCCGGGACTGGCCGAAAAATCCTCGTTGTGGCAACCCGGGCCGGATCCCTGCATGGTCTGTGCGCGGACGTCACAGTCACGTGAGGCTTACATAACCTGTTGAATGGATACCCTGCGGTGAGCCTGCGCCCACCAAGGCAGCCCTCCCACCAGCCAGCAGCCCAGCCAGTGTAGCCAGTACCGTACTGTGCCTGCGCCTAACTCCTACTGCCCCTGCCTGCAACCACACTTGCCTCTCTTTTCATCCCTCCACTTCTACACTTCCAAGGTGCGTTCATAGGCGTGCTAGGTGTTATCTGATGCCCATCCGATGCGCCGCCGTCGTCGTGCGCAGCGGCGGGAGCGTACAGAGCGTGTATGCGGGGGGCGTGCGGCGCGTCGCGACGCGTGCACGCGCGCGCGTTCCCTGTGGCCACGGCTGGTTTTTGCGTGGCCTCATGCGTCGGGGACGTGTCGAATATGCTGCTGACGTGTCTAAAGCTGTGCAGATGCCTAAAGAAACCACGAAATCTACCAGAGTGCGTGTTTTCGCTGCATATATGCCTAAAAGCTCGCGCTGATGGATGTATGCGCCTCTCTTGCCTGTTTTCGCGTGCGCGATGTATGCGATGCAGCGCCGGGCGGCGGATAAGGCCGAGAAGGCCCCGAAGGCCAAAGGCAAGAAGGACCCGAAGGCCCCGAAGCGTGCGCTGTCTGCGTACATGTTCTTCTCTCAAGACTGGCGTGAGCGCATCAAGGCAGAGAACCCCGACGCAGGTTTCGGTGAGTGCGAGGCCCGCCGCCGTCGGGCGTGCGCGTTATCGATGGTGGCGGTGTTTGGTACGTACATACTGATGCTAACTGCATTTGTATGTGTGCAGGTGAAATCGGCAAGCTCCTCGGCGCAAAGTGGAAGGAGCTCGATGAGTCCGAGAAGAAGGTGCGTGGTGTCTGCGTTCATGGGTGCGCGGTGTGGCTGACTATATGCGCGCATTCAGCCCTACATCGAGCAAGCCGCAAGAGACAAGACAAGAGCTGAACAGGAGAAAACGGAATATGACGTGCGTACCGTATACATGTGTCGCGCTCTCTAGTGGCTGACAGCTTGCTACATGCTGCAGGGCAAGAAGGTCGACAGCGGTAGCGGCGACGATGACGACGAGTGATCGGCCAGCATATACCATCAAGTCACTCCTCTTGGCCGCTCCTAGATTCTATGTCCTGCTCGTGATTGTCTGACCCTGGTGCCGGTGTGCCGGCTCTAAAAGCTGCATGATTCGTAGTCTTCTCGTTTCGTTCCTTCTCGCTCGTCTGTGTCTGTGTCCGTGTACTATTCGTATCCCGTGTATGGCTGCCACCCGCCTTAGTTACTAGTATATAGCCCCGTCGCCGCCACCGCTGCTACTCGTCTGCGATGTTCGCATTTGCTGTATCTTGACCGACGTGTATTATACTGTGTAGACGACGGTGCCTGCCGCGTACGCATACGAGCTAATATTTATGCCTTTCTTTCTTCATGGTCGGGGGATGCATTGGCGAGAATGAGATTGGAGGGTTCCTTTTTAGAAGCGGCGGGAATGTTATTGTGAGCAATGTACATGTTGCGATTGGAAACGTTTATGAGAGAGGCTGGTGACAGCAGTCGATGAAGGGCCTCTCTATATACGTGTGCGCAGGTTCTGCACGCGCCAAGAATGATCCCACCGGGACCGAATCCAAATGTTGCGTCTATACGAAGGTCCAAGCCAATGCGGGAGGCATGGCGACGAGACGCGGAGACGCGTCGAGGTCTGAAGGTGGGTCGGGTATATGGAGGGAGGCACGTGGACGCGTCGCGTGTGACGAAGTGTCAACCGATGGCGCGCTGTCAGGCGCCCGTGCTCCCTCACCCTCGGCTCAGGTTCCACTCGTCTTCGTCTCTTGTCTCTGCGCTCATTCCCGCCCATACCCTCTGTCGCCCAACTCTCGCCCGCCAAATATCCCCCAAGCATACACCCGACGGCTAACGGCCAGCATGGCAGACACCCCGCCCAACGAGAATGTGGGAGAGGCACGTACTCGTCCCTCCAAATGTGTGTATGCCGTGCAGCGCGTCTGATCCTCACGATCTTCCCTGCATGTCTCCATTCTCTTCAAATGTGGTCGTGTCTCACATAGGCCGTGCCTTCAGCACAGAAGAGCAGCTGGGCAACGTTCCTCAAGTCGTAAGTTCCTGTTGCCTGTCTTCGGCCGGTTTCTTGTCCCGCATCGCCCGTCCCGGCCACGTGCGTCATAACATAGCAGAGAACTCCCGTCCTCATATGCTCGTCCTCGATCGAGGTTCGGAGGATATTAATGGGCATTACGAGTCTTCAGCCTAGACAGGGCGTCTCGTAACCGTGCCGCCCTGGCATTTCCCCATCTCTCACGGATCGCTGACGCGGTTCATTGCAGCATTGCATCCTTCTCAGGCGATCTGTCTTCGTTGACGGCCCCGCCCTTCATTCTTTCGCCCATTTCACTCACTGAATTCCCTGGTGCGGCACAGTTATTTCGGATGATTACTTTTGAGCTCATCCCATCAATCTAGCGTACTGGTGTGAACGGCCAGAACTGTTCTCCGCTATCGCTGACGCTCAAAGCAATGAGGAGCGGTCGATTTTAGTGCTTAAGTGGTTCATAGTACGGCATTCCTGAGACGTCTGGTATGGCCCGCTAATAAGTCTTGTGTTCAGAGTACTCTTAAAGGACAATATACCTCGCGGAACGAGAAGCTCGGTTCTGAGAAGAAGTACGTCTTTTGTAAGGTTTACTTTTCCAGCGTGTTCATCCCCCTTGTACAGACCACTCAACCCTGTCCTTGGCGAGTAAGTTCAAAACAATATCCACATTGTTGCGATATTCAGATGTTCAACAGACTTTTCTACGGCTATTGGCCGGATGTCAACGGTCGTGGCCAGACGAACCTCGTGGTCGAGCAGGTCTCGCACCATCCGCCGATCACAGCATACTACATAGAGAACCCACAGAAAGGCATCTCATTGCAAGGACATAGTGCACAGAAGACCAGCTTCAGCGGTACGTATCTGTAGGTGACTATATCAGGCACGTTTACGAATCTTCCACAGGCGGGAGCATTATCGTGAAACAAATTGGGCACGCGATCCTCACGGTGAACCTTCCAAATGGCGAGAAGGAAGAGTTCTTGATCACGCTGCCCCGTCTGCGGATCGATGGCCTGTGGTACGGCTCGCCGTACATCGAGCTGAGTGAGACAAGCTATATCCAGAGCTCGACTGGCTGGCTCTCGACTGTACGTCTTTCCTCCCAACTTTGGTTCGCTGCTCGTCTGACGCACGCATACACACTCCAGATCGAGTACAAGGGCAAGGGTTATTTCTCCGGTAAATCGCACACATTCAAGGCGACGCTGTCGCGGCCAGGATCGACCCAGGCGTCGCAAACATATGAGGGCTTGTGGCACGAGACATCGAAGAATGTGCGCACGGGCGAGCTTTTCACGGACGTGACAACGCCGAAGGAGGAGGTGACGACGGTGCCGGTCGAGGAGATGGACGAGTGGGAGAGCCGCCGCCTCTGGCGCTGGGTCGCGAAGGGCATCCGCGACGGCGACTTTGAGACTGCGAGTCGAGAGAAGAGCAAGATCGAGGTGCGTTGCGCGCAGTCGAGCTGTGAAATGATAATGACATGTGATATGTGACAGAATGAGCAGAGGCAGAGGAGGAGAGACGAACAGGCCGCGGGCACGTCGTGGGCGCTCAAGCACTTCGATCACATTGACTCTGACCCGATCTGTATGTCCCTCTCACGCTCTCCCACCCCCTTTTATTTCTATACCAGAAGCTAACACAAGTGTGTTTCGCTCCAGTCGAACACCTGGGCAGGCTCTTCAAGGCGAACCCGCCCACGGAAGACACATACGTCTACCGGCACAACCGCAATCCGGGGCCAGAGAAGGCGTGAGGGCCGGCTTCGGCTTCAACTCCACAGTGTCTGCATTTACCAGGCGATGAGCCTGTAGTCTAGATTTGTATTGATATAATCAACCTCGTGGCGTCATCATCGCGCTGCGACTGATCCTCATGCCAAGCGGTTCGGGACTGACTTCGACCACGCACTGCTACACGCAGAGTTACGCCGCTGGATGCAACGCTTTGCAATCCCCGTGTTCGCTGATCCCTTGCACATGGACAGATTACCATATGACTAAGGTTCTGGTCCGCGCCCTTGACCGTCGGGTTTGTGTCGTTGAGAGGAATGCCCTCCAGAACGCGCTCGCCCGCGGTGGGGCTCGAGTCTTGATGATTGCGACCGTACTCTTTTCTAAGTATATATCTTATGTGCGTGTTAGCTGACCACGCTAATCTTAGTTTGTACGACCGCATTGACGCCCAGAGTTTCACTCGCTTGCCCTACAAAGACGTTGGGGCAGATGAACAGCTCCGTGTTCAGTAAATTAGAGGTATGTATTCCCGGTGCTGCTTTTTCTTCATGCTGAATGATTGTCGCCTCCATTGCCAGGACACTATCAACTACGACCCGCTCATTAATACTGCTACGTCTCTGCAGCTTTATCTCCTGCCAATCGTATGGCCCTCCACGTCTTTCCAGTTTGTGGGCCGAGCTTACGCCGATGCTGATTATATCAATTCAAACCGAGTACTCCATGGGGGTTCCGATACTTAGGCCGCAGAATTCTGTTGGTGTGAAAGCCATCGTGCTGAAGACATGTCACCCTTTCTGCGATCACGGATCACGATCTGTCCTGAGGAGCTCATTGTGCTGTCATCAAAAAGGCCTCGTTATCCTGCAGATAACAGTCAGCTTAGGACCGCCACTAGTATGTAGATATAGCGCCCATGGCATGACCGGAAACGGAGAAGATGACTGCCGACAACGCCTTCGACGTCATTCACCAGGTGCAATAAGCCCTCATCATTACATGTGCGTCATTGTACTTATCATGCGGCCAGCTGAATCCTTTCTACCGTCTTTCGTCACGGAGCCGGTCAATGAAGGTGCATGGGCGATAGTAGCCGAGTGGAAGGAAGGCATCAATATCCTGCTTGTATCTGTAGGTTCATCGCGAGAGACGATGTCGTTTCCGTGTCATAGCCCTCAGTGAGCCTACGACGATCCCATAACGCCGCTTCCTGTCCCGGCTGATGTCTTGCTTGATAGGCCGCGTTCTTCTCTGCAGCGCGTTCTTCTCTGCAGCGCGTTCTTCTCTGCAGCGCGTTCTTCTCTGCAGTCATCACAGCCTTAATATCGCTGCTGTATACGATATTGAAAGGTGCTACGTCTGTGCGTGACGCTATTGTCTCAACGGTCGTTCTATGGCTGGTTGTACTTATCTTCAGTTTGAATTAATGGCTGCTGCACTATACTGCTCGCATTACCACCCACACTCGCCACAGCTTATGCATCTGGTACTTTCGGCACCACGGTCTGCATAAGTGGCGCGTGCTCTCGACGGCCCAGTTGCTCGCATCATCAAGATCTTGGTAGTGGTTTCGCTGATAGTGTCTGCATCGACAACGATGATCCCCATCTTTGTGCAGAATTCTCCATTCGGGACACACCCACTATTGTGGTGCCTCAGCAACGCTCATTCAAGGCTTCTCGACCAATGGCGCCTATACTTTATCCGTTCTGCAGAGTTGTCATTGAACCCCATTGATTACATACAAATATCGCATCAATCTTCACAGGCTAGAAAATATCCCGCACATACAGGAGTCGTATCTTTCGGGAGCGTGTACGTGAGTGCTTACGGATGGCTCGGCGTTATCTACATCCGCGCACTGCCATGTTACCATGAACACGCAGCGTTATACCTTGGAACATTGTACAGCCTCTCCGAGACCCTGCAAAACCTTGTCTCGTAGTGTGCCATGTCATTGAACCATACTGTGTAGCACTACACTTGCATGGGGTGCTGTTGATTGCATCGAGGCCCTGTGAGGGCGCTAGCTGCGACTGACAGGTGAGTGTGATCATAAGTTACGTTTCACCGAAAGCGGAATAACAGCATCATCGCGCGAGAGCCCCTCCAGAATCAAAGAATTCCCGCTCAATCTGGGTGGTGAGCGCCGCTCGCTCTACGCAAAGGTACACAATTCGCTTGTCGAACTCATATGTTTCGACACCAGCACGTTCCATCACATGAGTCAAAACGCATGGTCGAGAAGTAGGAAGATGGCAGCGCCCACGATACTATCTCTCGACGAGCGCTGTCATTGTCAGCCAGCAATCTGACTACAGACAACGACACACCCTCTTCGCGCTGCAAAAATTTACATGTACCGAGCGTTCTTCTCACAGTTGCTATTGGTCGTGCAACCAGACAGCATAGCCATGAATCAAATGCGGCAAGGATTTGTGGGCGTGTGTGGGTCCGTAGACGTGTGGCTGAGAAGCTAGGCTCAAACAACACACTCTAATGAGTCGAAAACCGTAAGCATTGTTCTTTTACAAGCCTTCCTACATGTTTTTGTTCCTAATGAAGCTCAATGAGGTGACTTCGCGACAGCCTGTTCTGGTCGAGCTTCCGCAGTAGCGCTTGTTTTAGCTCAGTATAAAGCATCACAGGCGAGCATTACTCTAATACAACCAAAGTCATCAACACCACACGTTTTCCTGAATCCCAGCCTCTATGCGTTTCCCCTCCCTCTGGTCTTCACACCGCCCCAAACCGTCAGATGCTGATTCTACAGCATCAGGGACGGCGCCTACTCTTCCAACTGGCACCGAAGATAGTACACGTCTAGAGATGATCAAAATAGTTACTCCGGATGACCAGGACACAAGGAACAACAAGGAACATACCGCCACAGTACGTTTTACACGCCGCCTGTGTTTCCGTAATCTAATATGGCTTGATGCGCGTATAGACCGTCAGCGTCGATCAGCCCGTCGCAGTGTCTGAGTCTTCTCTTCAGGATGATTCATCAGGTGAGCTTTGAAGATGATGAGTTGATTTAGGACGCCCACACACCTAATTTATGGACAGAGCCTCGATACCGTTTTGCAGCAAGCATAGAATCCACAAATGTCGCCGCGTGGTCTAGTTGTGCGAAGGTAGTGTGGGAACATGAAGAAGCTATTGTAACTAAATGGAAGGAGGGGATTAATAATATGCTACTGTTTGTGAGTATTGGATATGGGCCACGTCCACAAAGTGGATGCAAAAATATCGCATGTCACTAATGTTGGTTTGATAGTCCACATTATTCTCCGCGGTTCTCACCGCTTTCATTGTTCCGCTCTATGCCACCACACAAGATGCATCTCCCGTCATAATATCAATCCTCACCCTGTGGTTAGCTGCGCTGGTTGTTAGCCTAGGTGCAGCTGTGGTCGGAATATCAGTCACCCAGTGGTTACAGCATCATATGAATCACTCCGCCACCATGACCCGACACAGCGTGGATGTTTGGTATTATCGTCGTCGCAGTCTGCACAGGTGGCACGTGCAAGCCATCGTCGACAGCCTGCCTGTCGTCCTCCAGGTCTCATTGGTCCTATTCCTTGCGGGTCTCGTAAAGTACCTGTGGACCCTCAACACCCAGATTGCTCATGTCATCATACTTCTGGTCGTCTTGTCGCTGTCAATTTCTGTCTGTACCCCGTTCATTTCTGCCCTCGTGCCGGGTTGTCCCTTCAAGTCACGACAGTCTTGGTGGTGGTACTTGGTACTGCGATGGCCCGGCAATACGTATCGTTACTTGCTGTGGGTTTTCGGTAGGATATGGCCACCACGAGAGCTCATTGCTTCAGCCTCCCGACTCTTCTTCAAGGTACACCATGCGATAACTTCATTCTTTGAATACCCACGTATCATTTGCAAAGCGACCACGCAGTTGGCAGACTGGAAAGAACTAGATGATTTTGCTGTCCGGTTCCAAGCTGCGAGACGCCTCGACGGATATCAACTGGAGATGCTCGTGGAGGCTGACAGAATGATCATGGATGACACCATCCTCATGACGGTGATTTGGCCTTGTCTTTGGTCTGGCTCTATCACGTCTGCTCTACATGCATTCTATGGCATCCTGGAGCATCGAGTCCACCACGTTGATCGTTCGACTTCTCCACCCCGATATGAATGGTCGCCGGGTGACCTTGACTCCAAAACGGCTATCTGGATGGGCCAAAATGCTCTCGTGCTGTTGGATGGAGTTTCCGCCGCGTCCGTGGACGATCGAGTGGATCATTGCCAACGCCTTATCGCGTCCCTTTCGCAACTAGTCCGTATAATGGCGGACACACCAACCGCCCGAGCAGTCTATCACCGCTTCTTGACCACACGGCACAAGTTGAACAATTTGTCTGAGGTCCGTGGCGTCGACACACTGCTGAGTATCTGTGATAATCATTTTCGTCCTCGCGAGATATGTACGTGATCAAGTTGTTTTTGTCAACCTTGCCAATTAACCATTTTGATTCATATGCAGACGGTCATGACGTCAAACTATCCACATTCATAGATACGGATGGCACAACGGCGGACGATTCCTTTCTCGACGAAGTCGTGCGGCCGTTGCTCAATCAAGTCGATGTTGATTTCTCATTGAAGGCTTTCTATCGCATATTGCAACATCGAGCCGAGCATATGGATTTTTCTGTGGACCCACCTGATCTCCAATGGTCTCCTGCTAGTTGGACCAGTGTCAGAGCTATCACGATTGCCAGGTTGTGCACGCAGATGTTGTCTCGTCTTCTTGACGGCGTGCTTGGCTTTCATGAACATGCCATGGCCATCATGCAGTATCTAAACGAAGTAATTGTGGTCATACCCGCTGCAGAACCGGACATCTATAGGCGCATTGTTGAACTGTCCTCGGACGACAAGTACAAGCTGAACATCTCGTATGAGCTCCGGGTCCAGCTGCTGTCATTGACGCTTCGTCCGCAGGATCGATTTGGCAATCCTGATTCTAAAGGTACGTTGCGTGTAGTCAAAGCGGTGTGTATACTCATATTCATGGCTTAGATGAGTTCCTCGAGCGGACATTAAGACCTTGCTTACAAGCATGCGCGCTGTATCCTGCCCTCAAAACCTTCTTTGATATTTCACTAAGCGAGACGACTCTTCTTCAAGACGGCTATGGAGCATACAGCCCTAGGTCGGCGCTTAGATATCCTGTGCTGGCTTCAACGTCTCCGTACATGGGCATGGGGATATCGAAGTATCCCCCCATGTGTAGGACGCCCACATCTCATGCAGATGCCAATTGGAAATCATCCATGGTCCTGGGACACATCGCTCTCGATCTGTTCACAAGGACCTGTGAGGATACCACCCTCGTGGACAATGATCGCGAGCAGTACCAGTCGACTCTCCTGAAGAAATTGCACAAACTTTTCGATACCATGCCGGTAACAGAAACGCAAGTTTTCAACCGAATGCTCAATCTCTTCACAAGCCCCCAATTCCCCTCAAAAAGGTGGGAGGAGGCTGCGGAACTGGTGTCGACATTTTCCAAGTCGTTTAAGCTTACGTTTATAGGTATGACGTCTGAGGCCATCTCATAATTCAACGGAGTGCTTCTGTGGCTCATATCACTGTAGGGACCCTCAAGATCATCGGTGTACTGTAGAAGGTACCTAATCACGGGTTCCGGAGACCCTTCCGCAAGATCTCAAACTCAGCGCTGTGGTGCGCATCGCGATTGAACTACAACTGCTACGTGATGATCAAGAAGCGAGTACGGGACGTGCTGGACAATGCGCTTGCAGCAATTAAGGCGGCTCCGAGTATAGTTTCGCTGTCCGGCGCTATCAGCATCGACGAAAATTGGAACGACATCCGGTTGCTCCTAGTTGCTTGCGAGGATCTCGAGAAAATGGACAACATAATCATCAGGCCAGAGTTGATAGAGGCTCTTGAAGAGCTTGCGCGGAACTGCCCAGACCATCAACATCATTGCAATCAGATTCGTGGAACAGCGACTATATTGCACGAGCTTGTGCGCCTGCATATGTCGTCCAACGTCTCTGCACAAGACGTGGTTTCCCAGAATGCATCATTATTGTCGAGGTATACATGAGCTCACACATCGCGCACCCGTTCCATCCAGTACCACTTACAATTTGGAGTCCTATCATATATAGTTATAATGACGGACATTGATTCATCTCCCCTACTCAAAGGATTCCTCACTTCGCCTATCCAGAATATCATAATGCCCAGGTCTAAAATATATGTTCGCATCGTTTGAGAGAAACAACAACTGCAAGACACGCACCGATACAACAGAATCATCGGCTCGACGCCCGCCTCATCCGTATTCTGAAATTCGACAAAGTCGACTTTGCCCTCGTTCGACTGCGAATGACCGTCGAGGTAGGCGACGTTGATATTGACCTTCAGCGCGCGCGATAGCGCTGTTATCTGTGGATGGTCTGCACAGCGATGTATAAGCATTATGTGGTCAACAATTCTCGAATTACCGATAATGAGACTGATGCCTCGCCCAGACACTCTGCGGTTCACATGCAAGGTGCGTCCAACAGTAGCGCACGGCCCGTGATAGGCGCCATGGAGATCCCGCTCCAGGCGCGCCATAGGAACACATAGTCCGGAGAGCGGTGACACCACTTCCCAGCACACAGAGGTATTAGGTTAGAGGATGGAAGATGCACTACCACAAATACACACGCCCTCTAGCTTCATGGCTCGGCAGCGCTAGAGCTTTACACATCACGATACCTCAGAGAAACCTGTTCCATATACCACTATCGAGGAAGAGCGACATACCTGCTTCCTTTCCAACAACCTCAACGAAGTTCTCACAGAACCCGCGCAGCTCCAACGGCTCATTGAGTTCGGGGTGGAATAGGAACGCCTCGTACGCGCTCGGATCTGCGCGGATCTGCGCTGAGGTGAGCAGGCGGAGGTATGCGACGATTGAGTTTGACACTGGACAGAGGTAAGAACGTCAGATAAATAACAACGATCTCGTGCGACAAATGTTACCTTCAGGTATGTTAAAAGCTTCAAGGAGAATCGCAGGCGTGAGCAGGCGGCCGTTGCCTTCGGGCATGATGATGTTGTTGATAAGCGAGATAAAGCAGTCGTAGAAGTCTTCGTACGCGAGCTTCTCGAAGCCTGCGTCATCGAGGAGCGGCTGCGTCGACTCCAATGCGGAGATGGCACGGGTGACGGCAAGGGGCGTGTCGGGTGCAAGGAGGATGTGTTCAATGTATGTAAACGCAAGGGCTATGGGGGGTGTTAGGTACCAGCAAGACCTAGTGTGGGGCAGTGATGTGCTGGTAAATTTCAACTGCGAAGCACCACGACTATTCTGATAATGGCACCCAGGCACAAAGGCTGCCACATGAGTCAAAGAGCGGTACTACACAAGGGCAACTAAATCACGTCAGCGTCACATCCGACCCATGTACAAGTGTCCCAATGTGCAAACAGCGGGTATGCGATAGTCTCCGTTCCGTGTGGGAACATACTGCTGGGTGGACTGCTGCATAAAACGAACGCAATGCGCCATTACTGGAAAGTCCGGTGACTCCCACTAGGGCGGGTGTAGGTAACCCACAGTGCGGGTTCTGCCCTGTCAAAAGACACTAGACGTTCCGTCCATGTATGTTCGCAACAGTTGTTCGTAGTCTGCTCGGCATCTCCTACAGCGCAGCTACACCCGCGAAGGTCTGGAAACGAGACTAAGTGTGCGAATAGTCGTGGCGCCAAAATGACAGTCATTCCGTCACCAGCAAGTCATTCAAATCGATCGGACTGCTCAAGCAACTCGCTGGACACCGGCACAGATGTAACAAATCGCTCACATCGGTAAAAGCAGTCGCCTGTGCGAAATGGCCAGCGTCAGGAATCGTGTGGTAGGGCGGACAACAGACTTACCGTCTCCCCTTGTGCGTCGGATGCCAACGTAACCGTTCTTTATCAGCCAGTCAATCTTGTTTACGAATACCTGTGATCCTCCCTCGTACTCCGTGCGCAATACAGATATTGATGTCAGTGGCGCAATCAATGGCCGATCGGACACCGTCTCATCAAGTAGATTCTGTGCAGTGACAGCAGTGCGTTGGTCCGCGAGAGATACTGGTGAGTCACAGATAGCGTACCTGGTTCATTTCGTAAGTCTCAAGCGGAGGCAATGTCGAGAGCTCTACAAGACAAAAGGACACGGCATGGTCAGTGATTCTGAGCTGCGCCATTGAACATCGAGCTTGGTAAGATGGACGCGTGTGCCTCACCATTCTCATCCGTGATGGAATATGATATAGTGGTTTCGTCTTCCACATCCGGAAGGTCTGTGGTCTTGAGCTTCGCTGTGCGCCTCTATCAGGGACCGAGTCCTGGTTGAACTACGCAACCGATTAGGGTACTTACGAGCCTCGGGGGACAACGAAGTGTTCTGGATGTCGTTGGACGTTGGAGAGGCCATCGCTTGAATATCCATGGGGAGGTCGGACGCCAAATTCGAGTATAAAGAGTAGAGAAGCAGTCTGATACAAACTTGAATACGGTTTGAGAAGCTGGGATCTATGGCGCCTATCTGACTGACGTCGTTAATTATGATTAGATTAGATTGACGTCTACTTATCCCAACAAAATAATTTTCGATCATTTGTCGACAAGCCATGACTCCAGCCAGCCACCATCGGCCGGCTCTTCACCACATTGGTTTCCTCTTTATCTCTTCCCACATTCTCTTCGTTGCTTAACTCCCCTGATGGCTATCAATACATTGCGTCCGGACGCTACGACAAATGGCTCAACGAACGGCAAGCCCGGCGTCGCGGATCTTGATGTACGTTTCATGTGTACCGAAGCACAATGTGACGAAATTGAAGGTCCATTTTGACAGGCCTCAAAGCTCAAGATCACGCTCACGCAGTCACCAAAGGCTCTTCCAGCCTCGGAGACGCTGAAGTTCGGTCAGGTACGTAGTTCGCATTGAATACAGGACGCCAAGCTTCGCTGCACACAAACATGATATTCTTTGACACATATATTCAGACTATGACAGACCACATGCTCATCATGAGCTATGAGCCCATCACAGGATGGTCCTCACCCGAAATTAGGCCTTACGGTCCCATATCCCTTGACCCGGCTAGCTCATGCTTTCAGTACAGTACAAATGTCTTCGAGGGAATGAAGGTATATTATCCATGCGTCTGTCTATTTCCGCAGCTCAACAGTGCGCTCTAAGGCGTACATCGGGCCTGACGGCAAGCCCAGACTATTTCGTCCCGAGCTGAACATGGCGCGTATGGAGCGCTCCGCAGATCGTGTCGCTCTCCCTGTAAGTACCAGCCAGCGTATACGTCACTACGCGCTTGCTCACAATGCCACAGGCGTTCGATACGGATGCCCTCCTTGTCCTCATCAAGCGCCTTGTCATGATCGACGCGCGTTGGATTCCCTCACAGCCAGGTTACAGCCTCTACGTCCGCCCAACCATAATCGGGACCCGACCGAGTGAGTAATCTCCTTTCATGTTGCTATAAGGTGAGGTCGAGGTGATCTTGAGGTGTATAAGCGCACCTCAGGGATCCTAAAGTCTCCCAAGGCGAAGTCATATGACCGGCACGATGAACAGTACGTTCAGAGTCTGAAGCTCGTGGGCCTTTACGATTCCTGGCGAAAGCCCCTGTGGCGCGGTTCATCCTCGTCGTGAAAACGAGAATAGTGGAGGATGTTCGACGTAGACCTGTTTGAGGTATCTTCATATGGCTAACGGTAGTGCTGGTAGTCGTCGACCCACCTTGAGCCGTGGCGTGTTTAATGTGGAGAAAGTATTGCAACCCCTTGGCACGCATGCTGACCTCACTTAACCAGACCTCGGCGTGACGGCATCTGACAGCGCACTACTCTACGTCATCTGCTCCCCATCGGGGCCCTACTTCCGCACGGGAGCCCGCCAGCTCTCGCTGCTCACGGTCGGCGATACTGTGCGCGCTTGGCCTGGCGGGACCGGTGGCTACAAGCTCTCGCTCAATTACGCACCGACGCTCAAGCCACAGCAGATTGCCGAGGCGCAGGGCTACAACCAGGTGCTATGGCTGCTCGATGACAAGGTGTGCGAGGCCGGCGCGATGAACTTCTTCGTCGTAGTGCGGCGTGATGATGGAGGTTTGTATCTCACGTTCGCTCTATGTGCCGCCTGTTGACCGGTAATGCAGATCTCGATGTCATCACGCCGACTCTTGACGGCACGATCCTCCCCGGCATCACGCGCGACTCATGCCTCTCACTTGCTGCTGCACACCCCTCCCGCACACTCCTCCCACACCTGCTGCCTACGCTACGCCTGCATGCACGCGAGCAGACTCTCCGGATGAGCGAGCTCGCGCGTTGGAACGCCGAGGGCCGCCTAATCGAGGTGTTCACGACCGGTACCGCTGTCGTCATCACTGGCGTCGGGCGCATCGGATACAACGGCAAGGACATCATCCTTTCTGAGCACGAGGGCGGGCGTGGACCTGTCGCCCATGCGCTGTACGAGCGTCTCCTGGAAATCCAGGAGGGACGGTTCGAGTTCGATGGGTGGTCGATACCGTGTTAGTGAGTGTACTATGAGCGTGCATTGCTATCCTGGAGGCAAGGGAGCTTCAAAAAGTCGACGGTCTGTTCGTCGACACTCGGGGGATCAACCAGCGGAAGTCTGGCTGCTTGGATTACGGAACGTGGCGACGCAGTATACTTACAAATAAATGTATAGAGTATGTATGAATCATAACAACTTGTTGCAAGTGACACAGGTGATGGTATCACTTGTCTGCCCCTGCCAAAACCCTCTGTTTTGAGGAGATCTTCGAGCGCTTTCTTCTTTCCCTGCGCAACTAATGCAATTCCTCTCTTCTAGCTTTGCCGGTCAACTCGCACCTGATCATCTTCAACCCCTCCATCCAGTGCTTCCAATGAGAGTGGATGAGATAATCTACCCGTTTTGTTTCCCGTCCGAGCTCGTGTTTGTGAACATGTTTGTTGAGACGCGGTCGCCTTGCAATCTGAGTCAGGGCATCTTCTAAGTGCCCTCATGCTCGCCTTGGTAATGGAGGTATTAACGCGTATGGAAATCGTGCCGCTGCGTCCCGCATATCCCCTCGAAGACTCTCAGCAGACGAGAGCGGTCGTCGAGGAGCATAGCCGAGCTACTTCGTAACGCATGATCACATTATCTAGCATGAGCATAACAGATAGTCTAAGCCCATCGCAGATGCGCAGATAGAATGCATGAGTTCATTAATGAGTGGTGTATGCCTACGAGCAGGTTAAAGTGGGACTTGGACTGTGATGTCAGATCTGTCCATGACTGTATCGGACAGAGACAGGCTGGTAAGCCGGAGTGATGTTTTTTTTACTGTCAGTATATCTCAGCGAACGACATCGATCATTGATCCGCGCCGGTTTGCATTGGAAAACCACATTAATAGAGGTGTGGGTAGCAGTGCCGTGTTTCTTAAATGTCGGTCCTGTTCTTACCGAATGATACATTATGTATGTGTGGCTCTCGACGAAAACAAACCCCTAATTGCATGAGTCCTACATTTCTCGTGGAAGACAGGCATTGGCGGTTAGTATAAGTGAAATTCGGGAATTGACCCAAATGAATGCGGTCCAAGCGTGTGGCCGGCTTCATCGGGTATGCAAGTGGGAGTCAAGATGGCAGGCTATTCGATGGAAAGAGCAAAATGCCTCATAATAACGATCACCCCCTTTCAATTTCGTCTTCGAAACCAGACTCGATCTGCGCTCCAGGCATTGCGATAAGAGGTAGATTCAACTCCAATGGGAGTGTTTGTAGACAGATGATACAGATGCTATCACAGCTCTGAAAGTCCCTGCACCTAACAAAATCTTTACTCCCGTCGTGCCTGCTACACGCCGGACATTGCGGGGGACATGCTCATCCAGCTGCGTCTGAACTACTCGTGCAGCGTCTGTATGTTATGACACACGCTATTCGAGCGGTCGCGATAACTCATCGCCCATCCATGAATAAGGAGCATTGCATGGATCAGTGGCGACAAGCACTGCGAGCAGAGGATTCTGGCATGACAATGTCACTCTCAAAATAGGTTTCGTCATCAGCGTTGGACGCTCGCTGCCCGCTCGCTCTCCAACAAAATAAGCGGCCACGACGTAGCCTTCGCAGTCACGCGCTAGATATCTAAACGACACCACTCACCCTTCATTCTATTCATTAATTCACCTTCGAATCAACAAACAGGGTCGATGAGCCGAGTACGTCGTATATTACTGTCGACAGCGCGACGAGTGCGTTTTTCAACCAGGCCGAAGTAGTCTGCACTATTACAGGAGGGATGCAGGGTACTATTCTTGCCAGCAGCCTCTGCCTATGACTTGTGACCAGATAGTCGTGTCATCCCGTAGGTCTTCTTTTTGAGCGCGAGACGCTATCGCTAGCAACCTTTGGCCTGTCTATACGGGTGAATAGCTGAATCACCGTGCATGAGCCCGCGTTAGAAGATCTTTGGCGAGAACAAAACGGAATATACAATATTTGTCGAGAGCGCAAGAAGGAAACTGGAACGGCAATTGCCGACGCCAGCTAACCGCTCGATACGCCCTCATCAGCATCGAGATATATATCGCTCGCGTCTTTCATAGTACACCAATGATCTCTTGCAGAATAACACTACAAGCACGTTTCTAGTGACTCATATCGTCTGCTCGAAAATCCACGCATCACCAATTTCTATAGAGCCGATGTAGACCAGGGACATCCCGGGGAGAAGATCGTTGCAAAGTATAATCGGGGAGGGGGCCATCCTCAAGACGTATAGTCGACGTCCACCGCCAATACCACCTGCGCGGTGCAGCTGTCTGTCATTCTGGTTGGTAGTCAATGTCCTAGCGGGCCATCGTGATCGATTGACAGAAAGCTTGAAGCTTGAAGTCCTACTCAAAGTTGCAGAACGTATTTAGTAGCGTTGCCATCTTATGGCGGCTAGTTTGCACTCCACACAGCCACGCCTATCCCGAAAAATCACGTTATGTGGGTTTCTATCCTTCCCCTCGTGTCTGGAGGCTCCACGGCTCTAAGCTACATTTTTGACTAGCTAATGATCAACACTGCTCGTCCGTCATCTAGGCTTGGTGTATATTGGGTCGCGTCTACTGACTACCTCTCCCTCGGTGGGATCCAGCCTGGCTTCACCGCGACACCAAATGCGAGAACATTTGTGCCAATATGCGAGCATCGGTATCTACGAAGAGAGATAGTATGGCAAATGTCGAATCAAGGAGCATGGCCTCAGATGAGCTGTATACCTGTCGATCCCGTTCGTATCTTTTCAGTACGATCCAGAGGGAAAGAGAGTGGCATGTCATTTTGCTCCAAGGAGCATCCGCGTTATCGGGACTGGACACAGGGTATAAACGATGATAACCCTTGACACAACATCTGTGCGATCCCCGAGGCGTCAGTCTAATTTGTCTACACATCGCTTTGTACCTCTTCACAATTTGTGTTGCCGATGCTCAATCAACACAACCTGAGGTCCGCCTCAGTTTAATGTTCCTTCTCTCAAGCTCTGATGATCATTCACTAGCAATACATGTTGTTTCCGGCGAACGAGATTCTACAATTGGCAAACTACTCCCCCTTCCACTCGCTCAGTGGGATGCACTTGTCGTTCATGATACCCGCGAACTCCGGCGGGTAGCGTCCGCCCTGGACGTCCGCCGCATGGACAGCTTCACGAATTTCCTTCACGTCCTCAGCAGAGAGCTGGATCTCTGCCGGCTTCACGTTCTCCTCCAGACGGGCGACCGTTCGTGTGCCCGGAATGGGAATGAAGTCGGGGTAGTCCGCCAGTATCCACGCAAGCGCGATCTGGCCCGTCGTGGCGCCGTACTTCTTGGCCACAACGCTGAACTTCTCGACGAGGTCGAGGTTCTTGGGGAAGTTTTCGTCGGAGAAGCGGGGCAGCAGCTGGCGGAGGTCGTCCGCCTCAAAGTCTTTCCTCGACTTGTATCTGCTCTGACGGTCAGCGGCATTGTTAGTAGTCAGGAGGCGACGTGTGCGCACTGTCCGGTGATCAGACCTAGCAAATGATAAGTGTCGGAATCGAAAGCAGGTTTAAGACGAGCGTACCTCGACCGAGTGGGGAGTAGGCGACGATGGCTACACCGAGCTCGCGTGCAGCAGCGACGAACCCAGACTTTTCGATCTCAAGCTCGAATGGGCTAAATTCCATCTGACACGCGACCAGCTTCTCCCCTACTCCGGGGACGCTCTTCGCGCGCTTCAAGACGTCGATCCCGCACTCGCTGAGGCCGATGTACTTGACCTTCCCGCTTTCCACATAGGGCCGCAACGTCTCCATCACGACTGTATGAAACGATGAGAACGACGCTCAAGACATGAAAGACGTCTCTGAACGCCGTACCTTCGATCGGAACCTGAGGATCGACGCGGTGTTGATAGTATAGGTCAATCGAGTCGGTGCCTAGTGTTTTCAGAGAGCTCTCCAGCTGCCGCTTGATGTATGACGGCTTGCTATTCGGCTGGTACATGTTCGCTGCTCCGGGAGTGAGGTCCATCGATCCCCACTTCGTTGCGAGGAAGATCTCGGAACGCCTGCCCGTGGTCGCAAACCATTTGGCGATTGTAGCCTCACCTGGAGGCAGATGAGGGAATTGGCGCATAATCATCATAAAAGAGCACACGAACTGGTGCCGTAAACGTCTGCAGTGTCCCAGAAGGTGACGCCCCTATTAGCAGCGTAGGTGAGGGTCTCAAGGGCAAGCGCTTCGTCCGTCTTTCCGTAATATGCACCAACGCCTGTGGTACAATGATATGAGAGTGGGTTGTGGGAGCAAAATAGAGCGTACCCATGGCGCCAAAGCCTATCGCGCTGACAAGAGGACCATTGCGGCCGAGTGGGCGAGTCGGATACGTCGCAGGAGACATGTTGTGGAAGAAAGATACAGACTGAGGTGTGAAGGCGCGCGATATCAACTGATAGAGCAATGGCGGTATTTGTCTTGGGGCGGCTGTGGGTACACGGGCGCGTACTTTGGGATGGCGCAATAATTCTGATTCTGATAAGTGTACTCGAAGGCCGACGGACACATGCAGACACGGAGAATGAAAGCGGCCCAAGAATTCCAGGGTTCCTATCCAGCGCTGCCGACCCCGCTGACATCTTCGAGGGGCCCATGAAAGAGGAGTCGACGTGTCAAATGGAGAAACAAGGGCTTCTGAAGGTGCTGTCGACCATCAACAATATGTCCTGTGTGGTCATGATTAGTATGCGGAGTACGAATTGAGAGCGCTCTGCTGTCTTCGGCTATTGCAATCGTACGCCGAGTTACGTGCAATGCACAATGCGCTCTGATAGGCCGAAATGAACGATGGCGAACGATAGGAGTCGGCGCAGCATTTGGCGCGTGACGCTTGCCCGAGGCGTTGCTCGGCGGCATACCACAATCGGCGTGGGGACCCTGAACAGGCTGTCAGGAGTGTTGTGGAGATCATCAGATTCCGGAAAACTCCGCATAAGATCTCAGATATCACTCCGATAGAAGAGTACCATTGTTTCGTGGCACAAGTTGAAACCCCGCACCTAGGACAGGCACGTCAACCATCTTCAAGATCCCAGCTGCTGGTTGGTCAACGAGATGCCGGGCGCTGGCGCTCCGACAGTCTAGGTATCATGAAACTAGTACTTATCGGATCATTGATCTTGGCCTGGGAACTTTGGGCGCCAGCACAATGCGTTGTAAGTCTCCTACTGTCTATGTAGTCTCGACACATGGATTCAAGAGGAAAGCGATATACACAGAGTTCGTTCTATTCTATTCAACATAATAATCTACAGCCTAGTCACACCACGCAATTGATGCTCAGGCATCAGACTCGAGAACCCCTACAAGGACGGGCTTATCCAATATCGCCACGACCCTCTCTTCGCGGATACGGCGCCCTTCCTTTCCGAAATACCGAGCGCTCTCGAAGCTCCAGGAAATATTGCAAATCACCCAATTTCCTAGTCCTCGGGCGTATTCTTGGACCTGGGCATCGACTTCTCGACCCCACGAGGGGACACTCTTGTAAACATCCAGGAACGTCTTCTTCAGCAGACTGTGGTAGTCCTCAACCCACTTCATGGCGGAGGCAACGTCCGTCTTCTTCGCCTCCATGACAATCCTGCAGGTAATACGTGGCAAGTGAGAAACGTCGACCGAACAGAAGCAGGGAATCTGCACTACCTGACGATATTGTGCGCATCGTCACCCCTGCTCTGCTCCACGTTCCAAGATAGCATGTCCTGAGGGGCAAGCGTCAGCATGTAAGCAGCGCTGGCGGAGTCATAAAACTGACGTTATCAAGAATGATCATATCCGTGACGCAAACTGCCATAATCTCCATAGCAGGGTCTTCCCAGACTTCGTCCGGGATGTTCATTCCGAGCTCCATCAGAGCATACGAGGGACGTGCTCCTACGGTAAGACGGCGCACGTCGAAATACTCAGCAATACTCCGGATACGGTTGTGCTCTCGGTCTTGGGCTTGCTCTACAACGGATTTGAGATAGCCTTCGAAGTAGTCCACGAAGCGACGGGCAGAAGGTGCCGATGCGGTTTTCATGCCCCTCTGCCAGAATCTGTTCAAAAAATCAATTAACGATGTCCACAACAAGAGAAGTTTGCACGCACTGCTTCGCGATTTCGCCAAGGATGTTCTCATCTTTGGGACGCGGCTTGTGTGGGTTTCTGAGGGCGTCCATGACGATGTCCACCATCTCCTGGGCGTCTTTCACGGATGCGACGTCCGAATATTCGTCGAACACGAAGAACAGCTGCAAGCGGCATTAGCGGCGCGAATACATCTCACACGAACGTGGATTGACCATCATCAGGTCGGCGCCGGTGCGTATGTGGTCTATTCAGGACATTGTCAACAACCGATGGCCAAGGAAGCAGAATGATGTCACCTTTGGAGAGCCATGGGTACGCCATGGACGCCAACAGGGCTGGAAGCATTCCCTCGGTAAGTATCGCTTCGCATGACAGACTGAAGGATGGCTCACTGAAGTCGCAGGCATTGAACTTCTTTTGCACATATGCGTCGAACGGGTACAGACTCGAAATCCAGGCTTCGGACTCGGCCTTCGTTTCCTCGTAGTACGGGTTCACCGTTCTGGGGAAGGGCCAGCCTGCGGCAGTATCGGGAAGATAGATATAGGTGGGTCGAGTCCGGACCATGATGAAGTATAGTGGATGAGCGGTCTCGCCCTCAAGGCAGATATTTATATGAAACGCACGTACATCCTCCATGGTAATCAGCCTGCCGACTCCGGCATATTGCACTAAGAACTGTGGACAAGACCAAATATTGTGTACGGCCACAAGCCGTTCATAGTTCTGTTCCTACTCCGCGACCTTGGGTGCGTTGTTACGTTCCATGAATGTGTCTTTGAGCGCGTCGCGATCGCTTGGCTCTGAGTAATCGCCATCAGGACCTTTTGCGCCAATGTCCAACTATGAAGCTCCGTAGATCTCAGACACGACCGGCGCAGCAACTTGCACCTGGGGTCTGAGGGTCTGATCTGACTCTCCGATGTCGCCGGACACTAGCCAGATGAACAGCGGGGTTTATTGTAATGTCCTAGCGGCGGCTCAGGGTTGTGAAGTGCCAAGTTGCGTGCGCAGGCAGTGCCTCGCGTACGTATTGGGCGGCGGCGACGGTTCATGCGTAGGTCCACGGCGCCGCTCGTGTACATTTCTGATCTACCACCCTCAAACCAGGTGTCGGCAGGGACATTTTTACAGCGATCATTACCGCCGACGACCTCGGAAAAGTGTCCATGGTAAACTCCACATGCTCTTGTGCGCAGGCTACATTGCGTTCTGTTGGAGACGACACAATGAGACATCAATCGTTATGCACAGTCATGTCCGAGTCACTTATCAGACACACCAGCGCAAGGCTCGGGTCAGTGGCCGACTCCGCTTGCCGTGACGATCACGGAGAGATAAATGGAGATGGTTGCGACTGTCAACTTCAATTTGTATTCCTTAGCCTTCACCCAGGCTCCTTCCCGCCGTCTTCGGGAGGTGAGGGGGACTTCATTCGAGGGCGGAATTCATGCTGAGTCCCAATAGCTTAGGGAAGATCATATCATAGATCCCATCACATATATCACGTGCACTATTCAAAATTTCAAACTCCACAATCTTAATCCCCCTCACCTCCCTGTGACGGCTGGCACAAAACATTGGTAAACAGCGGCGCTCGGAGGGTAGTCCCCTCGATTGGGCGACTGGGCGCTTCATGAAATATGCTACCTACATTACATAATTAAGATTCGCATAACCTCGATTTGAATCTCCTCGGGCAGCGTGGCTGATGCTAACACAAAGCGCACATGAGGCAAAAGATAACGCAGGCGGTAGGCATCCCTGTACTCCGTACGAAACGCACTCCAGAGACTGACACAGTGCGCTTCATCCCAAATAATACTGATGATCCGAGACGCAAAGTCTTGGTTCTTCCATAGACGTTCAAAGCCCCCGCCCTCCTTCATCAACAATTCGGGATTGATAACTATAGCGCGATACTTCCCGTCTTCGATATCCTGGCACACCGTTGAGGTACGTCAGCCATATACTATTGGTTTAACAACATACCTTGAACAATTGAGGTGTTGCTGTCTCTGCGCACACAGATACAGCCTTGATACCTACCAACTCCAGCTCGGCTACACTCTGCGTTCCGAGGATATTAAGTGGCGTCACTACGATCTGTATTCCATCCTCTCGGAACAATAACGGCATCCAGAACGTGAGTGTTTTTCCCGCACCCGTTGGTGCAACACATATAACATCCTTTTCTGCCCTTAAGATCTCGCGCGCCACCTTCGCCTGCCAAGGGTCGCGGCCCAGCTTCGCAAACGTCTTCTTCCGGATAGCATCAATAGTCGGCAAGGAGGGCTTGTTTAGAGACATTGCAGGCAGCACTAGTGTTCGCGCGCACCCATGCTACCACTCTGTACTCTAGGCAATGCAACCGCATGTCCATTTTGACGGAAACATATATCATATCATTTAGTTCTATGCTTTTACTTTTTGGCCGTGATCTAATACTATATGGAGTAGGTCCGGCTCCGAGCGCCGCTGTTTACCAATGTTTTGTGCCAGCCGTCACAGGGAGGTGAGGGGGATTAAGATTGTGGAGTTTGAAATTTTGAATAGTGCACGTGATATATGTGATGGGATCTATGATATGATCTTCCCTAAGCTATTGGGACTTAGCATGAATTCCGCCCTCGAATGAAGTCCCCCTCACCTCCCGAAGACGGCGGGAAGGAGCCTGGCCTTCACCATGCTACGCGCATCAGACTGAATTTACCAGCTGCGATGAAGTGAGCGACCCTGATGATACGAATTCACGTCCCGGGGCGTTGCTGCAAAGATGAGACGCAATACCTTGCGTGGGGATGTGCCTTCGGTATCTCGAGGATACGTCATACTGACGATGTCCAACCTCGAGTTACCTTCAGTGCAGGCTCCACAGATCCAGCGTGCATTCGCCTGCTAACCGGTGTCAATCACTTCAATCGTTCTGGCGCACCGAAATCAAGCTGAACATCTTAACAGCGTTTAGCCCATTCAATGGTCTGCTTGAACATCCCAGATCAGTATTGATTGACGTGCACAGCCGCCCGACCCCGCCCGCCCAAGAAGGGCACGGCGTAAAGACGCCGGCGCCTACCAAATCTACTCAGGGCAGGATGCATGCCTATCACAAGGATAATGAGGACCCGACCTTCCAGAACGGTCTACGAGCATTGTCACTCCACCGACAATCGCCGTCAACGCCGACCCTGACGTGACGCCCACGGCATAGCTCCGCGATCAATCTACAGGCGGGACGCCCATGAGCGCCTGACGGAGCCTAACGAACTAGGTGATAGCATGTACGAAATTGATCCTTGATGCTACTCAGCGCTGGGGATATTGTCAGTCCAATAAACGCGTCCGAATCAGCGCCTTGATCAAGATTCACCGGATGCTTGGGCCGCCCGAAGCAACACAGCCACTGGCCAGCTGCTACGATATACGCTGACTCTCTTCGCAGCTCGCTATCTTTCACAACGTATCCAGCTCGCAAAATGGGCGGAACAAGTGTCACGAACGCGATCCCTGGGTTTTACTACTTCGCCTTCGGCATATTCGAGCCCGTGCTCGCCCTGGCCATCTTCATTGGTATTGTCGCGGATCCACTCAAGGTGAGCGCTGCCGTGGAGCCCTTAATTCACGTCCAGCTCTGACATACGGAAGATCCATAACCAACAAGGCCCTTGGCGAGTTGACCCTCCGGCTGAGCTATCGACCGCCACACGTATCAGCGTTCTCCAGTTGTCCTATCTCAGCGCGGTCGTCGGCCTTACGAACATCTTCGTCATACACGCTGCGCGCAAACATCTCGCATCAAACCTGCCGTTGCAGGAGACCATTATCAAAGCCCTACTTTGGCCTCTGTTGTTCGGCGATGTGGCCCATTTCAGCCTCACGACCTACGCTCTGATCGGAGATGGTTGGGATATCGCCGAGTGGCCATCCCTGGTTTGGGTCGGTTGTGGAATCGGGCTCTACTTGTTTGTTGCGCGAGTCGCTTGGTTTGCTGGTGTAGGGCGGTATGTTGAGAAGCGGGATGGGAAGCACAAACGCGCCTGAAGGTTGGATTAGAGTAAGGCATTGCAATGTAATTCTTTGTCTGCATGTTGAAGAGATACCGCACGAAAGGCTCTTGATGTCTAGTAAGAATGAGCGGTGTCTAGTAAGAATGAGCGCTGGAAAGTCTTGCTCAATGTTGGTTCCTAGCTGACCTTAAACATCGTTAAATTTTTGGCAAAAAATGGAGACTGAAGACGACAAAAATAGATTCGTGAAGACCGTAGTCGATGCGCCGCGCAAGCTATCATTCTCAGGTTTAGTACACAGAATTCTTGACCTCTGAATGTTATAATTGTTAAACCAAGATAATGTATCAACGAAGTTTCAGTATGACCGCGGAAATATTCGCCACGGTCATGTGATCAACTTCCTCGAGCGGGTAATGATTTCCAGAACCTGGAATCTCGCGCAGATTACTTTAAATTACTGCGATACTTGTTATTGCGGCGGCACGTATAAAGTAATGGGCTGTAACCTGGACGTTCAGCGGGACTTGGAAAATGTACAAGGCTTGAGATGGCAGTGGTCATTAAATCTATAGAACACAATATGGGGGCAACAAACTTTCGCTCTACAGGATGAGTACGTGATAGTCTCATTTATGGACATCTGTCCCGAAAAAACCATCAGAGACACGGCGACAAGCCATACTAGTACTGCACGCTCTGCAAAACATCATCCCTCATGTCGGAGAGCATGGCCGCAGCTTCAGGGAAACGAGGCGTCGTGACGATCTTGAAAGGTACGGGATGCCTGACAACGCAGGTTAGCACAGGATCATAACAAAAAATCTGAGAAGACATACACGACGAGGCCCACGTTGACGATGCCGACGGTGTCAGGTTCTATGAAGTTCCCCTTCGCGTCCTTCTCAGGCTCAAGTTTGAGAGCCCATAATAGCGTTGTGATGTCGATGAACAATGAGAAGTTGGCGACGTGCCTGCCTACACATAACCTGTCGAAGACTCATCAGCAATCCGCCGTCGTGATCATCAATCGGCTACCCACCTTCGCCCAAACCCATAGCTCACGTGTCCTTCGTCTTTGGTGTCAGCAGGGGACGCCTTAAGTTGGCCCTTCTCGTCGAGATGACGGTCCGGTCGGAAGAGATGAGCGTCGGGACCGTAGATGTCAGGATCGCGGTTCATCGCCCAGATATTCGCAAGGCAGATAGTACCCTTGGGGATGAAGTAGCCCTCATATATGTCGTCCTGGAGTTATACAGCTTCAGCGTGTCGCAATGTCTCGTCAGTTTCGTAACTTACTTGGACCGCTGCGTGGGGCAGGCCGAGCGGGTCGACGCAATGCCATCTTCGAATCCAAATATCAGAAAGCAGCTCGCATTGAGATAATATATGACGCACCTTAACACTTCCTTGATCAGTGCACGTACGTACGGCCTAGCATACGAATAATCATCAGTGATGCTCCAGCATAAGATAAGGTATGCGCCAACATTTGGTCCCAATCACTGAAGTTCGGGGGCCGGGAGCGACCCACAACTTCCTCTATCTCGGCCGAAGCTGTAAGGAGATAGTAGATAAGAATTAGCACCGTCCAACCAAAACAAAGGTGAAACACATATGTTGCAAGGGCGAGTCATTCAGAGCGAAAGGAAGGCAAAGGTTACCTTTTTCCTGAGCGTCACGGAACGCGCACATGCACAGGACAAACCAGGACAGCGTGCTTGCAGTCTACTCATCCAATGTCAGGGCTAGTACCATCAGTACAATAGCTTAATGACAAACCGTCTCAGACCCTGCAACACTGAGAAACGTGAGTATGACGTTTCAAGGTCATGATCCATTGAGCAGGACATACTACATAGTGGCAGCCAGCCATGAAGCCTCCTTCCGGGTTAGGTTGTGGCGGCTCTCAGACTCGGCCAGCGTTGCACAGAAGCTTTGTCGTTGCTCCTCACCCTTCAACTGTTGTCAGGTATATGAGTATGCCGTGGAGTATACAGACGCGAGAAACAGAACGCACAACACGGTCATGGATGTCATTGTACGACTTCTCAAAGCCAACGGTATATCTGTTGTACCACTGATCGGCTTCCCTCTTCCAGCGCGCCAAAAATTTCGGGAAGAACTCGAGAAAAGTGAAGAATTCCACAAGATGGGTTCCCTACGAACGAGCATGTATCAGCCAGATAGATGGTGAGCATATTGAACAAGCCTACCGGATAAGCCGATTTTGTGATCCTCGCAGCCATGTCGTTGATGTTGGCAATCGACGGGTCCGTGCAGCTTTTCAGAGGCGGCATATCATAGACCATAGAGGTGATCGTCGATGCAGCAGCTCTGAGTGACGTCCATTGATGCAGACCGTGACAAGGTACGAAGATCTGACTTACCTGCGCAAGTGATTATACCAATGCTCAGGTTCCTTCATGAATCCGTATGCGAGCAGGACAGCTTCGGTCTGCTGGAAATGGTGATAATTCCCAGCGATTCCCACATTCAGAGCTTCGTGACAGGCACGACGCATGCGCCTCCAGCTGAGCGTCAAAGGTTAGTGATGATCGTCAGCTAGAATGACATATGACGCACACGTCGCCATATCGAGTAAGTCCAAGAAGTATTCCCCGCGTCAGGGTTTCACCTGCGACGATCAAGCGTGGACGGTCCTGCAAACATAATATATTCCAGTCGACTCAAAAGCCTAACGATGGCGAAACTAACGGAGTAGTTTGTCGCCCTGCGATCCAAGAGGTCTCCAGCAACCTTATGCGTGTTCAAGACAACTACCGGTTGTCCACCAATGTTGAGGTAGACGATAGGGCCTAAGTATGGTCAGGGTCAGTAAGACAAAGGATGTATAGCACGGTGGACGAACCGTAGGTTTTCTTCCATTCCGTGAAAATATGCCAGCATTCGCTGTCAAGTTGTAAAAGGTTACCGATGAGTGGAAGTCCTGCAAGAGCGATGGTCAGGTGAGGTAATCATGGTGTATCTCAGGTTATTACCTCTCGGCCCCGGAGGATAAGGTGCCTTGGACTTGGGGCGCGAGATGACCCAGCGAGCACCTAATGCAAACGCCACCGCCAAAATAAGAAGGCCCTGTGTGCTCGGAATAATATGGGAGAGGGCATAGTCCTCCCCTAACGTAGCCAGGGGAGAAGTCAGGGAGATGTTCATGCTACCAACGGGAGAGTCCAACACTGTCCACAGGCAACCTCAGATATGTGGGATGCAGGGATGCAGGTGAGGCGACAATCAAAATTCGAACGAGCACTGTAATAAAGGATGGGACTCCCCCTGCGCGCCGGAACAAAATCCGGGAGGATAGGTCAGGGCGATACCGCCATCACGAAATTGGAAACAACAAATCCATCCGGCAAGCGCAATCTGTGTCGTCCCACTGCGGGACATCAGTGAGTCAATATTCTACGGCGTCGGGGAGTGGAAGTCCTTTGGCCCTTTGGGCCAAAAGCGGTCTACAATGGTTGTGCCGAGATCTGCGGGCGATGCGGCGCTTATGTTCTGTCGGCTTGCTTAGCGCTTGGTCCGCTGCGTGCTTGGCGGATTCATAATCAATCATAGAGAGCGGAAACAAGTCATTTGCAATGGAGAGGCCTCGCGAGGACAACTATCAGAAGTCATTGATCTCTGATGGCCACGTCTAAGTGGACCTGGACAATGAGGATCCGCAGACCGCAGCGTAACGTGGAATAATCCCCATCTGAGAGCCAGCGGGCGGTGACGAGCCGAATACTGAAATATTGACGTCTGGCAATGCCATTAATTTCACTTCTGATTGCCGCCGAAAATTCATGGCTAGGCTTCATGCTATCCCTGAACTTCAGAGACATACAGGGTCGGTCACGAAATGGTACTAGCGGGGGCGTTGGCACTAGCAAGTATTGAATATGAAAACACATGTCTATCTGTAAGTAGATTCAACATACTAGATCATCACTCCCATTGCGGATACTTCAAATCACAAATCATTCAATGGCTGAAAGAGGCAGTCAGGTCCATCAATTGGCTCCTCGTCCGCGTCTTGGTCGGAGGCATCCTTGAGCGCCCGACTGCTATCTCAATGGCAGAATTGCGCCTGATTGCGTAGGCGGATATACGGGCCGTATCTGCGCAAGCCGCGACAATTTTTCGACTCGACGAATAATCACTCCAATCGCGGGAACAACTGGGGCACCAGGGACGTCTTCAAGTTGGCTCGATTTCTTTCTTTCTTTGTGATGTCTCCAATTGTCGGCGATTTCCCGATTGCAATTTTCAAGGCAGCTTAATTTCAAGCACAAGGGTTCCATACTAGTATTCAACATTGTTCCGCTTGCGCTCCCTCCTATGAGTACCACCTTTCAAGGTCTTCCCTTACACCTAGCGCACAGAACAAAGTACCTCGTTCTCGTCGTCCCTGAGGACAACTTTCGCGACCGCGCGTTATTCTGTCTTAGTCGTTTAAGGTCGGGGGTGCACAGTACAGATACCACTGGAGATATTATATAAATTGTAGCAGAAGCCTAGGTTGACACGGAGTAATAAACAGTTTAATACGAACGCTCCGGTTCGAGCGTGACCATTATCGAGTGGCGTTCCCTCTCATTCTCAACTGCTCGCCATAGAAGTATATCCAAATAGGGAAAGGTATTCCAAGCACGATGGAAAGCCCTGCGAGTAGCGAGTTACCGCCACCAACCCCAAGGGCGTTGTACATTTGTTGGCCAAACAGAGGAAATGCGAAACCGAAAGTAGATCGGATAAACTTCAAGATGGGTGAGCCATTTGGCCTGCATATAGGTGAATTAATCTACATACCGATGCCGCCGACAGTGCACTAGCAGCGTATGCGAAGGCATCCGCCAGGTAAAGCTGGATTGGTAGGCTGGACATCTCATTAGACAAGAATTAAAATAGTATGATTGTACGCACAAGATCATCATAAATGCAAAGCCAAATATCCCAGTGCCGATAATGGGCATGATCCAGTGAATCTTGGCCTGAGCAGACCATCCATACCAGCTGCAGATTGGTGTCGATTAGCAAAACCTTGTCTTTTTCTCCGTGGAGTCCCACTTCGTCGACAAAGACTTACAACAGGCCTATAGGCACGAAAATGGAACCCTGATGCCATACTGTGAGCATGACGTACACGATTAAACGCAGAGGAGATGATTACCAGAATGAGTAACGGGATCCTATGTTCAGGTATGCCCTTTCCGCCATTCTTCTCAGCTAGATGTTGATAGATCTTGTCGCCTAGCTTGGCACCCAAGACGCCAGCTAATATAAAACCTATTCCAAGGCCGAGGTATCTGTAATGTCAAACATTAACGTTGGTGGCCGAGACAAGATCGGAGGGGTCCCTACGTCAGCCCACCAACTCCAGGGCCGAAGCCATAATAGTCGCTGAACAGAGAGCCGAAGGTAGCAAACATGAGGTAGTAGATACCTTCGGGACAGCATGAGTAATGTCATGCAGAGTGTACGATGGATGGATGTATTCGCACCGGAGACGAATGCCATGTACAAACTCAGCATGAAACAGACTAGGTTGGTGCACAACAGTACGACCGGGCGGCTGAGATTGAGCCACATGTACCGGAGTTTGTCATTTGTGGAGGGGCCAGAAGAGACGGGTGCAACTGGCCCCTTCTCTGGATCGGCACTTTGCTGGGATCGTTGCAATCTCCGCCAGATGACTGGCGCGTAGGTCTCCCGCAGGAAAGGAACGGCCAAAAGGGCACACAATCCAGAGAAGGCGACGATCACGATGAAGACGTATTTGATTCCTACGGTCTGCACGATGAACCCCCCACAAATAGGCTAGAAGGAGGTTTCCAGCGTGAGATAGCAAATATGAGACAAGAACGCGGTTACGTACGCCAACGACTGGCTGTAGCAGAGCAATTCAATCAGCATATGACATTCTGGTCTAGGCAAACGCGCTTACGCCGATCCTTGGAGAGGACTGGTAAGTAAAGGAGTCACTTGATAACTGACAAACTTACAGAGGCCCCAGAGTGTATATTGCCATGGCCGCCATGCGGTCACTCTCTGAAAACAAGTCGCTAATCACGCCACCTCCAATCGCGACCGGTGCACTGCCCGCGATACCAGCTAATGGGAATCTCTTTAGTACAGCGTCAGGCAATAGATGCCAAGCGTATCCTACCTAAGAACCTGAATCCAATTAGGATTCCTGTGGTTTTCGAATACGCGCAGCCCAGATTAAAAGCCAGAAAGGCGATATTGGAAACATGCAAAATCTGGCATGGGCGAATTAGCAGCAGCAGTTGGAGGAACACAAACATTGGCTCAGGCTCACCCAAACACGACCGTACAGCTCTGAGAGAGGAGCTAACACCAGAGGAGCAAGCGCAAAGGACAAAACAAAAATGCATAAGGTAAGGGCGAGCACCGTGCTGTTCGTGATATGGTATTGAACCGCGATCTCGGGTAGTCCTGGAACAAGATAATTATGCGAGGTGAAGAGCGGAGTAATGTCTAAACACGAACCTGGCGCCATCATACTGCTCCCCAGAGGCGGGAGGAATGTGTAGAGAGCAATCTGAAAAAGCGATGCTCGACACTATATGGAGTGCGACTTCGGGGAAAATGGACGCACTATTGACGTTGCTATCCATTTCTTGAGCAATGTCCAGTTGCGAGGGTTGGCAGGATTGGAGGCCCATTTCTCGTCACGTTCCAAGTCAACAACCTGGATAGTCTCTACGTCCACAAGAGTTGGAATGGTCGCTTTTACTTCATCGGACACAGAAGCATGAGCGGACTTCGACTCGTCAACAGACATCGCGGCAGCGAAGGATTCGAAGAGCTGGAGGCGGTGGGAACGTGAGACAACACCACCGCTAAGTAGTCGATTGTGTGATATCGGCACCCTCCCCGCCAACCATGTTTTAGAATTGCAGATTGCTAGGCTCCAAGGGGCATTCCGACCCGGTGAATCTCTTGGACTCCAGCAAGGAGACAGCCTGCGAATGTATCAAAAGTATGTAGATTGATATCGGGCCAAGAAAGCGCCAGATCAGCGCTTATTCAAAGGTCGCAGTCTGATAGGAAATGTTGGACCGATCCAGCGATCTTGACAAATGCCGGACATATCTTTTGAACAACGCCCAGGACCCCATCGCACCGGGGTAGTCGGATGTTGATTCAACCGCGGACACAGATCTGACTAGGACTGACGTTGCGGTGCACGGAGTAGATGGCATCAACCACCGTAATATGGAGTTTAATCCCCTGTGATAGCTCGTGACGGCTCGTTAGCACCTTATATAATACCAGGTATTCACCTCGAAGCCACCCATCTCGTCTTCTCACGATGTCCGTGTCTGCTGCTCAGCTGCTTCTTTCCCCGCTCTTCTTAGCCGCTGGCTTGTGGGCGTGGAAGTGGCTCTCATGGCGCCGCAGAAATCCTGCTGGTCTTCCTATGCCCCCAGGTCCCAAAGGCATGTCTCTCAAGGCGCGGAACTTCGATCGAGGATGTAATTGACTTTGCGGTGCAGGGTATCCTATCATTGGGAATGTGCTGGACATGCCTCAGAAAGCAACCTGGCTCACATTCCGCGAGTGGGCGAAGCAGTACGGTCAGTGGGAATTGCTCAGATTATGGTTGATTTCCTCACATTTGCGTTCAGGGGACATCGTCTCGGTCGATATTTTGGGTACGAAGGTCGTTATCATGTGAGTGGAAGTCAGCATGTCAAGAGTGAGCGCCTTCTCATGTAGGCGATCAGGAACACGGCGAAGCCAGCATATGATACATTCGAGAAGCGTGGAGCAATTTACAGCGATAGGCCACGGTGCGTTCTTTTATCCTTGCAAGCGATGCAGACACCTGACAGTCCGATTTGGCATAGGATGATCTTCTTGAAGGAGCTGTGCGTTACATGTGCTAAACCCACTATCCGTACCGGTATAGCTAATTCGTGTGTGTCAGAATGGGCTGGGATGTCAGTTTCACGGTCATGGCGTACGGCGATGACTGGAAGACGCACCGTCGGGTGTTCCACCAACACTTCAACCCAAGCGTAGTCTCGCAGTATCTTCCCGTACAGATCAAGCACGCCAGAGCAATGCTGAGCAGGCTGCTCGATGATCCTAAGAGCCTATACGAACAGTCCAAGTTGTGAGTCGTCGAAAGCCTTTACAGATCGCGGTTTGATTGACGACCTTTAAAACCCAGTGTCACCGCATCCATCATCCTCGACGTGACCTATGGCAAGTCTATTGCAGACCCGCATGACGAGCTGGTGACACGCGCGGAGGAGGTTATCCAGTATGTCGCACTCGCAAGCGTACCCGGGTCTTTCGTAAGTCACTCGCCTACTTTCCGCAAGCTTGTCGCCTGAACTGTTGTGATTTAGTTGGTTGATTTTTTGCCAATAAGTTCGTCATTCCACATCCTTTTTTGTTATAAGATGAGCTCACAGTTGGCTATGTTTGTAGTGAAGTACATCCCGGAATGGTTCCCTGGCGCCGGTTTCCAGCGTTGGGCTTCGAAAGGAAGACGTATGGTAAACGAGATGATGGAGGGTCCTTGGGAGACAATCAAGAAAGAGCTCGTCAGTGTGCATTCTTACTCATAATACTGTGCAGATACTGACGTCACGTCGTACAGCGTCTTGGTTCTGCGCAGGTGTGCTTTGCGAGCAAGTTGATTGAGGAGCTTCCCGACGGTCCAGAGAGGGCGAATATGGAGCGTATATCGCGCAACGCAGCAGGCGTTACTTACGGAGGTTAGTTTTCATGTCTGCCGCACGACTGTCAAGCTGACATTGATGTACTGTTGACCAGCTGGGAACGATTCGGTGCGTCTCATCGTGTCAGATGTCATTTATGTTCATACTGTTTATATTGTTTATACAGACATCCGCTGCTGTGAGGAGTTGTTTCCTGGCCCTTGCTCTTCATCCGCAATTCCAGAAAAAGGTGAGCTGATTCCGCCACTGAGTAGATTTGAGGCCCATTGGCATGGCAGGCCCAAGAAGAGCTGGATCGAGTTGTCGGCTCGAGCCGTCTTCCCGACTTTGAGGACAGGAAAAACTTGCCTTATATCAACGCTCTATTGAAAGAGACCATCCGCTGGACAGGCATTGCCCCTCTCGGCAACCCACACGCTACCACTGCGGACGACGTCTATAATGGCTACTTCATCCCGAAAGGCACTATTGTCATTGGAAACTCTTGGTACGCTCCTCTTAAAATCGCGGCTAGCTTACTATCTGAGATTTATCTGTAGGGCCATGCAGCACAATGAGGAGGACTATCCGAACGCAGATGCCTTCTTACCCGATCGCTGGATCAAAGATGGACAGATCGACCCCAACGTCAAGGATCCTATTGTGGCTTTCGGTTTCGGCAGGTCAGCTATATCTGAAAATTCATGAGGATGTCGCACCTCCACTCACCTACATTATACTGCAGGCGTCTCTGTCCTGGACGTTTCTTCTCGGATAACACGGTGAGCGCGATCGGCCATTACCGCGATAGACAAACTGATAAGCAAAACATCAGCTTTTTGCTGTTATTTCGAGCGTCCTGCATGTATTTAACATCGTGCAGAGTGTCGATGAGCAAGGAAAGCCAATCCCGATCCACAATCAGCTCTTCGACTCGGGCTTTTTCATGTGAGTCTCTCACTTCTCACGTCACATCAAAAATTGACAGCGCGTCAGCTTCCCTGAGCCCTTCCAAGTAACCATGAAGCCGCGATCACAGGAGGCTGTGAGACTAGTCCATGACTCAGCAGAGTGAAGAGTTGGCCTAGCTGGTACCATTCGTTAGTGTGGCTTTAGAGGGCAGCCATGAATCGCTCCATCGATTAATAGATTCCATAGAGCCTGCAGTTCGTCTGAGAGTGAAATAGCGCACGGAGAAGAGTCTGGTTTCGAGAGGTCAACGACAAGCCCATCACGAGCTCGTTGTAGCACATGTGCAAGTTGCCGGGTGAGTGTTGATCGATCGCGTTAAATCGGTGATGGCCGAGGCTGCGTCTCGAGCAGGCAACGTTGCCAAACTCTTAGTCTTCACTAAGTTAGAACTACGTATAATATTACTATGCGTTCTGTGAACGTCTGTGATTCGCCCTATTCAAATATTGATAACGCGAGAAGATGCTATATAGTACCTTCTATGACTGAGCAGATCCTGCGACCCCTGGTAGAGGCTCAGCTTGAAGCTCAGGATGAAAGTAAAAGACAATACAGACGAACACGGCGATGACCAGCATATAAGTCGCACCGATGTTCGTCCATTCCGATGGTAATGTCTGAGAACACATTAATCGAAACTACCACGATTGATACACCATGTTGCTGGGTCTCGCCGGTAAAGTAATACCCCGTCCCTTGACGTCTTTTACCGAAATAAAGGTAAGTGCAATGCACACTCCTGGGTGACTTGTGGAACTGCATTCGATACGACAATACATCTCAAATTCAGGATTTCTTGCTCCTCTAACTGGGTTGTGAGGAAATGCGTATGAATGATGTCTGGCTGTGATGCACTCTATGTCAAAATTAATTTGACATCCCTGTCGCACAGTTGCAAAATGAATTCACAAAATGCGCGCTGCCACGGAAGTGTAGTTTACCATAAATACTTGCAATATTCATTGAATGTACACATAGACGGATATTCAATCATCGCGCTGTGCTTGGCATGCTTATTGTGGTGGATACCTCGTGCAGAACATCATGCTTGCAGATCAGCTTTAGTGTATGGACATCTTGACGTCTCTTTCACGTTTCTTTCTTCAAGAGGCCTTTTGTCGCAACAATTAATGTGGGATTAGACATAACTGTTCCGGAAGTCTGCGAGTAGTCCTCCAGCGCTCTTGCAGACTGTCGTGAGACCAGTGCGCGTTGGCGGCTCGCGACACCATGGCACCCAATAGTACACGTCAATGCACTCGCCTGGGTAAGGAAATAGCGGGCACTCCCACTGTGATGATGGTTGCAACTAATTGCACATGCGCCTCCTGCACAGGAACATCCCATGTGAAGCAACGACGACAAAATTTACTATGACTGCTGGATCAATGCGCTAGACGACCCACAGATGGGGCGACCTGCGAAGCATCTTATAATCGCACGTGTTGCTTGACAATCAACGGCATCTGTGTACCCTTCTCCATCTCGCTGCGCACAAACGGCCGCTGAACAAGTCCAATCTTTCTGGTGATATCCTCGATGGGGACTGCCATCTCGAACTCGAACGCGCGCACCAGTGTGAATATAAGTGCCTTCATTCTGCGTCCAAAGCGCTATTGGTGAGCTGCAGCTTCAAGCTGTATGGTTGGATCACGTACTCAACGAGCGAGAAGCGGTACCCGATGCACGCGCGTGGGCCGCCTATGAAGGTCATTAGGTTGCTCCACACGCCCGGGATTTGCTGCACGGCCTCGGGGACGGATTCCCACCGCTCCGGTCTACAGGTCCATAAGTACATGTCGAGAATCAAAAGTACCGTCAGCCTACTTAAACTCCCGCGCATCCTCTCCCCAGAGTGCCTTCGACATGTTCACGCCCAGAATCGGAATAGGGAACGTTGTGCCCTTATCAATTCTACACGCCACGAACAGCTCCTTGCATGAGACACGCTACATTGCAATGCAACCGCAAGTGTGCGTACCGAACAGTGTCATGCATGCGTCCATGTGCATCCATGTACGGCACGGCCAGGGGGATCTCATCATCCTTGCTCGCGATGCGGATGCCCGCCACGACAGGTGGATAGAGACGCATGGTCTCACGAATCACCGCGTCGAGATACGGAAGTGCATTCAGCTGGTCCATTGAAGGGTTATCCACTGGAACCTCCCAAAGTTCCTCGCGCAGCTTGCGTTGGACATCCAGCCTCTGTGCGAGTGCATATAAGCACCACGTTGTCGCATTGCTAGTCGTCTCATGCCCAGCAACGAGGAATCTGTGCCATTTTCATTTGATGCTCTGGCCAACAAGTGTGAATGAAACGCACGTTGGTACCTCTGAAGACAATATCAGCATGCGACCAAGATGACATGATGCAACGTACGGGCTAAGACATCTTCATCAGAAAGCCGCTGGTCCTCCGGGATATCGGGGCTTGTATTCGCCTTGATGAGCAGCGTAAGCAAGTCGCGGCTCTTCAATGCAGTCCCGGCGGTCTTCTCGCCTGATTGAGCCATTTGTTTCAAAGCAGCCTTCTTCTCTGCCATGAGCTGCAGTCCGATTCGCCGGGTGACTTTATGAGCGGCCGCAGTGCGCCTGGAATAGCCATCGGGCTGCATTCACCGGCGCTGTCAGCTAGCTTGATGGGCATTGAAATAGACTCACGATACAACGCAGAATCGGAAAGCGAGACCGGATGATGAGCCAGTAGCTTTTTCTGAGGTTAGACAGGTACTCGAACATCACTTCGAAGGCAGCATTGAGCTCGTTGGGTTTTCCGTCGGGATTGAGTGCGTTAAATTCGTAGTTGAAGCCTGAGAGACGAATGGTGGGTGGATGTACACGCTATACACGTACATGATGGATATACCTGCAAGACCAATCACGTCCAGTGTCATTTTCGTCAGTCCGCTTTGAATATCGATCCGCGCGGAACCGCCACGCATAGCGACATCATTCCACCAGATGTCTCGTAACTGATAGTCGAAATCAGATTATGAGAAGGATTATGGCAAGTATTATAAGGAAACCCGCTATAGATCATACGCACCTGCTGAGATTTCTCGACAAAGATCTCCGTCAACTCTCTGATCTGCGCCGGGCCAAATGCAGGATTCTATGTGGTTAGGTCAGCAATGTATTGTCAGTACTTAGGGATATCATCACCATGATCCTTCGCTGTATGATTGCGCCATATATTAGTGCGAGATGTTGTGTTACACGAGATCAATGCTGACTTCTCGACGATGAAGCTCCCCTATAGACAAATAAATGTTTCTACGATAAGACAAGACAGAGTAACCCAGAGACATACCTTCTGCAACCACAAGGCCTATACATATAGCGATGCGCCATAAACGACATGTCTCAAGCTAACATATAGAGGGATACAAACCATTACCAAGGATCTGAACAAGGTTATGGCGTGAGCGCTCCGGTTTCGGGTATTCCTGTGAGTGGCTGAGGACATAGTTCATAGCTCGTGTGTCAATTGTGAAGAGCTTTGGTATCTAAGCGGCATGTCAGCAAGGGCATAATCGTCATGTTTACTTGAAGTGCCGGAGTACTTTGAACCAACTATTGAGTTTCATGGTCGGGCCGTATTTCTCTAGCCATTCGCTGTACAGTGCAAAGTCCTCAGTGCCCATGAGTTCATTAACATTCCCGAATAGCCAGCTTGATGCCGGAGGACCAGGAAGGCCACGTAGGGGAGACGTGTAAGGCAGCAGTAGGATACGTCCAATCTTATAGGCAGCCCAAGCGAGTAGGGCAGCGCCTGCAGCCCATGGTATGTCGTGTGCAGTCAAAGATAACATGAGGTCCTCGAAAGAGTTGCTACAAGGGAGCTGCGCGCGACAGAGGTAGCGTTTCGTGTGATTTTTGGAGGATTGGCCTCGTTCTCAGGCTATACGAATTACGATTGACAGTTGCGCAGTCCGTGGAAGTACAATATACATGGTAGTACTTAAATCACATGACCGCGTGTGGTACGTTCGTTTTATACCTTATAAAGCATATGTGGTCGCTGGCCACAACTTACAAGCTGGGCCAAACACGGATCTGTTTTCGTCATTTTCAGTCTCGGAAAACCCTGTATGACGTATCTGCAGCGTTAACAGTATGTCATTACCATGATGCAACCAGGATGTACGCTCAGAACAGCCCAACTACAGCCAAAGCAGCACCTGCCAAAGAAGGGGCGCGGTGTTTTGGGGTCACGTAACTAGCACCTCACCCTGTACACGCCGTTACTCGCGATGGCCATATGATGGAGTGTCGCCGGAACGTGCGGTGTATGGTGCCCAGAGCACTAACCCTGGAGAGAAACCAGGGGCAATCCAACAACCACTAGCAATTGAGCTTACTTGGAAGACGGGCACAACTGCACTCTTGTTCTGCTGGCGCCAACGGCCGCTTCCGTACATCATTGTGTGCTCCTGTACGATCCGGTCAGATCATGATATTACTAGTCTCGCCGAGGCTCTCCCTAGTAGGACCTCCACCCCGCGAAGACATTACCCCAGACTGCCTTCAGTACTGAACGTGCCATTGGATGCCTGATGCATTTCCCACCCAGAGACAACGATGAGCAAGGGCCGATACATGACTCAGAGAGGTGACTTACCCAGAGAACGAGCGCGACAGCTGGGAACTCTCCGCAATGGGTCCAGCGGCGCCATTGTAGACGGCCGCCCATCATAAAGGCGAGAGCGGTGGTGGACGTAGAATCCAGGCGTGTCTAGGGTATCAACATCCTTGCCGTCTCACCAGGGTCAGCTTTACCCTATTCGCAGCGGCGACCAGTTCAGATGGTCGATGTAGACGTCCCCGGATTGAAGTTGCTGGTCGTGGTTGTAACCTGGGGCAAACCCGCTGAGGTGCGCCACACTTTCCGCGCTACGTTCAGCCTTCTAAGCCCTAAGTCCGACCTTGTGCGCTAGTTTTGGCCGTACAGCGTACAGATACAGAGATGCCGCTGGTGTCGTAATCTCATGACTGGTGTTTGAGTCCAAGCTGCGCCACAATGGACGCGATCGCAAGTCTGAAATGGATCAGTAGCGCGTTTGTGACAGAACATCGCATTCACAGGCTCGCGCTCGTCACTTCTCTTGTCATGGCCCTGACCCGCACTTTGTTACTGGATGCCTTCCCGCAGAGGTCTGGATGCGATTGCAGGATAGAATCGACCTCAAAACTTGTTGGCAACGGGGCTAATCTAATTGGCTTCGAAAACGACTGTTGCCGTGCTGTTAGACGCCGATGTGTCTGAATTGTCGTGTTTGTATCTGGAGGAAGGGTCTGTTGCAGAGTTCGGTATGCATCTGCAAACCGTCCAGATCCTGCGGGAAGGCATCCACCAGTAGAGCTCATGAAGGCCTGCGGAATTCATCTGATAGATGGCATTCCAAGCAGACTTAATTCCTGTGTACACATTTGTGAGCTGGCATATGCTATGGTACAATTTGCGCACCGAGGAAACCTATGCTAAGGCTGGCAGTTTTCATGGTGCTGAGCGGATCTGCCACTGGCGACCTCGCATGAGAATACATTAACAATTGTCGCGAAGTAATAAAGGGGGCCGAGTTGACAGATAAGTTGAGAAGGCAGCGACCGAATACGAGTGTACCGTGGACGAGCCGACTGTCCCAAGTCTGCGCATATGGCAGCAGAAGCGCTTGCCGTAATCTGGCTTTATGAGTGTGACTTCTTGAGAGGCGCAAAAGCAACCCGTGCCGTTGAGTACACATCGATATTCATGTACTGCGGATGAGTACGTGCGCATCAACATTGAATATTGAGCGGTACACAACGTGATACTTTTGATCGCGAAACCCTCAATATTTGGAAGGAGTGCGATATTGATAAAGAACAGAGAATATATTGAAAGATATACATGAATACATGAGACGTAGACAGGCCACCCGTGTCTGTTTGGCTGACAGATATAGACCTAGAGGAAGATGAACATTAGCGAATTGCTTTACTACGATGAACGAAGTTTTATGAAGAATCAGGTACTCGATGCATTTCAACAAGCACCCTAACCCATCTCCAATTTGTACACTAGGAGACTTTGGTGTAGGCAGGGTGCATTCGTGTCCGCCCATCGAAAGACTATCATCCCAAGGAACGCGACGAATACACATAGGAAAGCAATGTACTCACCATATCCTACACACTGGTCTCCCCAATCCTTGTACCTGTAAGATACGAACAGGCGTCAGTCACATCAACTCAAGTATAAAAAAATGAGCACGGCGTGATCAGCCAAGGCTGAAACTAGATGAAAAGGATTCCACATGGAGTAGATCTCGGATATAATGCAATGGTAAAGAATATCATCACATATATTGAGAAACATCGAAGCAAAGACTTACAGAAGTGACTGAGCAGGGAGGTGGTCGTCGAACAGAAAAAACGCAGGCGAAGCGCGCATCTGAGGATTTTGACGTGGATCGCAACATGCCGAGTTACGGTGATGGCCAGAGAGAGTTTCGGTGATGGCCAGAGATTGATCACGGCCAGCGCTTAGTTCGCGACTCGGCTTGAAGCTTCGAGCATCTTCCCCTCAAATATACCTATGTATTGCTAGGACCTCTTGCTATCCTACTTCCCGACATCTTTCTCTCTGTAGCACTAGAACCAGCTCCCACAAAATAGTCTGCACTGCCAACTAATCCCTGCCCATCTGACAAACCACTCGATAGACATGGAGAATCTACTACGCTGGGGTATTGAGCATTCTACTCGCGACGAGAATGGCCAGCCTGTGACTCCTCAACCTCGCCAGGATCTGGACCCAGGAGTAATCGATGCAATCCTGGGGAAGCCGGATTCCGTTCTCATGCAAGAAGCTTTGGCGGCGGCAGTCGACGAGCGCAAGGATGAGGACGAGCGAATACAATCCCTGGACAACTTCGAAATGGTGAGTGCCATGTTTTCCACGCTGCTGCAGATTCATTAACACACAGCAGCTTATTGAACAAATTGACAACGCTAACAGTGGGTTTATGCGTCTCCCTTGTCTACTTAAGCCTTTTGAGTCTTTGTTCAGACATCGAGAAGATGAAGATGTGGGAGACATTGCACGGGCTGCTCACCTCGCCCTCGTCGACGGATTCCATAAAGATGCAGACATTATGGATCGCTGGCACTGCAGTGCAAAATAACCCTTCGGCACAAGCATCCGTGAGTATGTCCTTTGCGCACCTATTGAACGCGATGCCATTCAAATATTTCCTCAGTATCTTGCACTATCGCCGATGCCAGCGCTGCTCTCCTTCCTCGGTCCTTCGATAAAGTCAGGAAAACTGCGTTCAAAGGCGATATATGCGCTATCAGGCCTTCTGAAACACAACGCCCCTGCAGTAAAACAGTTTGAAGAGGCGGGCGGTTGGAAGATCTTGAAGGCAGCACTTGAAGGTATGCCCAGGGGTACTCGTGCCTCCAGCAGGATCCGACCAATTGCTCCTCTAGATCCTGATATTACTGTTCGCCGGAAGACCGCATTCCTCCTGAACTCACTGATCGTTCCAGCACAACCTGTCCCTCAGGCGAGGCCCACTCCACCCCCTTCTCTTTCAGCCTCCACGGGGCCATCCAGCACCAGCACTAGCGTCACACTTCACCCGTCTGCACAGACCTCCGCACCAAGCGAGCCCGTACACCCGAACTCGCATGCCGCGATGCTGGCAAACCCATCGTCCTTCTCTACCTCGCCTGCCACACTCAAAGCACTCGAAGAGCATGGCTTGCTCCAGGCCCTAGTGTCCGCGGTAACTTCTCCTACTCCACACGGCGTGGACGGAGAACACGAGGGGGACGCGGACTTTGACGAGAAAGTGATGAGGTGCGTGTGCTGCTACCAACTGATGTGCGTGCTGTTCTTGCTCATATTCACGCATCGGCACCCGCAGGTCATTGCACACGTACACTACGACCTGCGACGGCAAGTTCTCCGACGACCAAAAACGCGCGCTGCACGCGTACATCGAGGGCGAGATCGCGAAGGCAGACACCGAGCAAGAGGCGGCGGAGCGATGGGGCCTGACGACAGACGAGCTGCGATCAATGAGGAGGGCTGTCGAGTAGTTGTGCTGCATCTAAGTATCGTATTGTCTTGGCATAATCGTAGCTGACCACGGGCACAACACACTTCCGGACGGCCCTTTGTTCTCCAATCGAGGCAAACGCTTGTTGATCGACGCAGTGCGCGGCATATATATAAGTAGCCAAGGGCCAACGAGCCGTCGTTGTACCTCTTTGATGACTTCTGACCGCGCGGACAAAGCCAACTGGGAACACTGGTGGAGGCGTCACCACTTGATGGCTTCCAGGATCAGTCAAAGCGACTTTCATCTCCACATAGTCTTCCGCGTGGACGACATCGGGAAATACATACACGAAGACCTCAGTCGCCGCATGCGCGATCGCATTACCTTGGGACTTGGCTGGTGGATTCAAATCGAAGCAAGAGAGATCGACGATGACGTCTTCCCTCGAGCTCTCCCTCGAGACCAAAGAGGATAATCACATCTCCCGCAAGATCCTCTTCAGCGCGGTGGGTGAGTCTCTCTGCGGGAAGCATCGCTATTTCGACGAATGGGTCTCTGGCTACTTTTCATGGGGGAGCGATTCTTTGGTGCTCTCGGGGCTGCTGTCTCTCCGTCAACATTGGGTCGAAGACGGGCCTTTGTATAGAGATAAGGCCGTCGTGATTCATGCCACAGTTCAATCGCCCCCAGGACCGAGCATATACTCGCAACAGACGCTCGGGGTTTTGACGGATACAATTGCAGGAGGCGAAGTGGTGAATCACGCGTTCGAGGCGTATTACCTATCTTCTGACACGTTGGTGAAGCAAACTTTCGCGGTCCGCATGGACGCGCTGCACGCCGAATGTCCGGCGCTCGAAGATTGTGAGTATGTGGCGTCTGCGGTGAAGTTGTGCACTGATGTTCGGCAGGGTGCGTGAATAGGAACACGTTGCTTGATTTGTTGGAGGACCCGGACGAAACAGAGCCCAATGAACTGCTCAGCATGCTCAAGGATAACCTGGGTGAGGACAGCGATTGGGAGGATGGAGTGAACAACAGACTTCGAAGCGGAGAAGAAGAGGATGAGGAAGGGGAAGAGGATGTACGTATGGCCGACGACGGAACTCCTACTCCCTCAAGAGGTCTGAGCGTATCAGAACAGTTGGACTACGCTTATGCCCACAATGCAGCAGACAGGCCCCGTACGCCGATTCTGGCCAGAGGCGCCATCGGTAGGCGTGTTTCACAAATCCAGCTATATGCAAAAATCTAATGCTCACTTCGTAGACATCCTGCGAACGCCAGTGAAGATGGAAGACGATATGCTCGAGGCATTCTAATTCCGAAACATAATGTCTCAGGCCCCTCAGTTGCCCGCCACAAGAGTGATCGGGGTGGCGGCGCATACGTAAGTTTCATGGAATGTGACCGCTGGTGTGAAGCTCTTGACATTGTGTACAACAGATGGCACGCCTTCCTCTTCTATATATATATACTGGCACGGTCGTTTTTGCGCCCCTCCGTAGCGAAGGGAATAGACGAGCTGTCTTCATCAAGGTTTATATCACTCAGTGGGAGCCGCGTAGACCAAGGCCATGTTCCTGCAAGTCTATGTACCGCTTGGCCCGCAAGGTGCGCGTCTCTCTTTCCTCGACTGGGCGCGACCCCGAGCACGCTCTGACACGACATGTCTAGCTCGGGATGACCGAGCTTCAGAAGCTTGCATTGGCTCACCTGAAGTCGCGGCTCACACCTGAGTGCGTTATGACCGAGATCCTCAGCCGATGTTCTGTTGAGTACGCGTCCTCCGCTTTGTGGAAACGAATTGTATCTCACGTATTATTACTATGGCTAGTTTTGAGGAAGTGCGCCAACTGGAGCTGGACTACCTCAAATCACAGTGGAATGCAGTGAAAACCTGCAGTACGACCAGTGAGATCGTATCCGACATAAGCAGCGGGAAATATTCATACGCTGGCTCGGTTGTATTTGAAATTATACGGGCGATTGGTGGATAATGGACATAGGACATCGTCGCGACGGTAATGGGACAGCTTTAGGAATACAGTAGGTCTTCTCTCGAAGTATATATGGTTTCACCACTACTCTCTAAGCCTCATGGCATGTGTGCATCAAATGTATAACTTCTACCAATATAGTCTTGCTTTTCTCATAGTTGTCGAGGCAGCGTCTACCGAAGGTACATGAGGCCTTTCATCAAAGCTAATACCATATCCGCAGGAGGGGCCCTCGCATCACGTTGGATGACTCCTTAACCATCGTCCTCGAAGTTGGTTGTCTCATCCACTTGGGAACAAGTGTAGTCGCACTGAGAGGTGTGTACTACCGGTGATAGGGCTCGCTGATTGACACAGGGCTCATGTTAAAGTTATAGCCTCCAATACCCAGGACGCAAGCACTCATTGTTCACATTCCATGTTGACCCTCAACCACGAGCGCGACACCAATCTATCTGGTGGTTCCCATCATGCAGGTCGCAGAGGGGACGCGGATGTTCTGGGCGGGATCGATGACCATGTTGCGGGATCGCCAAATGAGACCGTCCGGCCCATAATACCAACTGCCAATCGATGGGTTCCTTATAGCATTCCCCGATACAAGTCGCGTCTTGATGATGGCGATTCCATAGTCACGGAACGGAAAGTGCGCGGCTTGCTCAACAAGCTGGCTATGGAACGTTTCGATTCTATCGCTGGTCAGATCATTATGTGGGCGAACAAATCAGAAGGGGAGAGAGATGCACGGACCTTCGTACAAGTCTCTCGCCTTGTGTTCTACCACGCCATCGACGACCTCAAGTATACCGAGGTATACGCGCGCCTGTCTCGCAAGATGATGGAACAGATCAGCGCCAATGTTCAGGACGAGGGGATCAAGAACAACGAGGGAAGACCTATCGCAGGTGGCCAACTCTTCCGGAAGTACCTTCTCAACCGCTGCCAAGAAGACCTCGAGCGTGGGTGGGTCGCGAAGGAGGCGACGGCAGTTGCAGCCGCCACAAAGGCACCTGAGGACCGGGCTGCTGAGGCGGCGGCTGATACAAACCCCAACGCCGACGAGAGTGCCCTTTACTCTGAAGAGTACTACGCCGCGCAGAAGGCAAAGCGTCAGGGTCTTTGTCTCATCAAGTTCATCGGCGAGCTGTTCAAGCTGCAGATGCTTACGGAGCGTATCATGCATGAGTGTATCAAGAAGTTGCTCGGCAACGTCGAGAACCCTGAAGAGAAGGAGATTGAGAGCTTGCGCATGCTCCTGACTATTATTGGCCAGTCGCTCGACACTCCCAAGGCGCGCGCCCACATGGATGTGTATTTCTCCCGCATGAAGGAGTGGTGCAAGAACCCCAACGTCAAGTTGCGTATGCAATTCATGTTACAGGTATGTTCTATGTACTGGCTGTATTCTACACGAATCTGATTGTTTCCAAAGGATATCATTGAGCTGCGGGAACGCAAGTGGGTGCCACGCAATGAGGTTGCTGCCCCGACGACGATCGCTGCTATTCACGAGCAGGTATGTCAGATCCTCGGCTTTGTTCACATACTGGGTAAATGATGAGGCGTTGTAGGCTGCCAAAGAGAAGGCTGCACATGAGAAGGAAACCTACCGACGTACGCTCGGTATGTCCCGAGGCGGTTACAGACGTAGAGGCGAACGCGGTGATCACTCTCAGATCGGTCCCAACGGCTGGGCGGTTGCCGGCGACTTCGTGCCGCGAGCACCACCCCAGGCCGGCGACTTCGTGCCGCGAGCACCACCCCAGGCCGGCGACTTCGTGCCGCGAGCACCACCCAAGGCCGGCGACTTCGTGCCGCGAGCACCACCCAAGGCCTGCGACTTATCGAACTTCGGCAAGTTACGAAAGGCTGCACCCATGACATTCGGACCAACGAGCGTCTTCGCGGGCAAGAAGGAGAACAAGAGCCGCGAATCCACGATGACTCGCGCTGGTTCACAGAACATGTTCTCAAAGCTCATGGAGAATCCCGAACTCGCGACGGAGGCAGCGTCATCCAAGTCGAGTCGACCACCAAGCCGCAAGCCCAGCGTCGACTTTGGTGCGGCTGGCGCACCCGAAGCGCCGCGGACGCTTCCAAATTCGGACGAGACCAAGGCAGACTCTACGCCAACACCTTCAGAGGCTGGCGGGGATCCACCGAGTGCACCGCCAATGACCGAGGCAGAAGCCAATGTAATGATCAAAGAAGACTCGAAGGAGTTCTTCAGTATCCGAGACCTGAACGAAGCGGAGGTCTATTTCACGAAGTTGCCTTCGGAACACAGGTTCCGATTGGTAGACAAACTCGTCACGTCCGCTATCGAGTCGAAGGAAGCCGACGCCCAACTCGTTGCCAGCTTGTTCAGCCGCGCGCTCTCGAGGAATTCATGCTCACCGCACTCGTTCGAGGAGGGATTCATGCCGACGGCGGAGATTCTCGATGATATTGCCATCGACGCGCCGAAGGCCTTCGATCTGATGGCAATTATGATGAAGGGCGCTGGTCTGGACAAGGACGAAGAGCGTCGCGCACGGCTTGCCAGCAGTTCGATAGACAACGATAAACTACTCGTGCTTCTTTCATAGAAGAGATGCTGTTTGGTGCGTGTTTTTGCTGCATCTCGCTCTGTCGCTAGCGTCATCCGCATATAATACATCAAGGATGTACCTTTTTTCGTTTCCCCAATTCTCATATTTTCCTGAGGGTGTGATTCAGCTTGACAATGCCACGAGGGTCGACAGTGAATGCCTTCCCGCGATTGCAGAACAGCTTACCTCATCCATTCCCGCACACGTTAGTCACTTGTTGGTACTTGTCGGTAACGCGTAACGACTGGTAACGTCTGGGCGCCTCTCTGTTGCCAAACCGATGGGTCCAGAGTCCAGTTTGCATCTGCAAACCGTCCACAAACCCCACGGCATTGTAATAATCCTATGCGACGAGATTGTAAAGACCATAATAGGAAATGCGCTCCCCCAGCTACCACTCTCGAATTCGGTATACACCACGTTTGTCCTCTGAATAATTATATTTATCACATCAAAATGGTAGAACCTGGAAGCGGATCATTGCAATGTACAGTCTTCCAAATATTGCACCAACCGCAATGTGACGCAACGGCTATCAACGGAGTTTCAAGATAGCCCCGGAATTGTCCGACACATCGTCGGCGGTTAGGCCAGATCCTCTCTCTCTCTCTCTCTCTCTCTCTCTCTCTCTCTCTCTCTCTCCATGTCTGTCAGAGTCAGACCGCAGCAGCTTGACAGTCGGTATGCGATTATTCTGCCATTAGAAGACATACGGAGCTTCCTTGAGGCCCCAGGAGGTGTACAGAGTCATGCAATCGTTGGTCCTGGCTATCACATGGTCATTCAGATCGGTCCGCGAGAAAGACGACAACTACCTCGCAGTGTGGTTTTATCCTGGTGCTTCCAAGTTCACTAGACTTATCCACTGGTCTATCACGGGCAGGTCAACAAGGGGTACTGAGTATTTCAAAGCTTCCTCTACGTACTCATTCACCCCGCACACCATGCGGCGGGGATGGCGAAATCTTCTGTCTCGGAAGAAGCACTGGGAGGAGAGTCAAGAACTTCGTGAAGAAAACCGCATAATCCTGCACGCCGAATGTCACATATCGGGTCTTATCCGTCGCTTGTTGCACCACACAATAGTAAAGCAGGATTCCTGTGTGGATTTCAGATTTATCGTGTTTCCTCGCCGAAGCAAATCCGGAAATGATGTGGGTCGTCTTGTGGACCCCCAGGCATTAGGAGGGAACATGGATGACCTTCAGGGAGAATGTAGTACTTTGTACCACTGTGAGCGCATGGTCTCACCGCATGTATCTATGTTCAATCTGACCAAGCTTGTAGGGCTTACTAACTCCGATGCACCCCAGGACATCATGCAAGTCTCGGATGGTCTATCTACAGAAATCGATAGGTCTCATTCAATCGACGTATCTTACTTGGACGATGACAGCGATTTCGAGGACGAGGACGACTGCGAGGAGATCATGAACCCCTTCACGGTGGATCGCAAAGTTCGCGCTCTGCTAAACAAACTCACGGACACGCAATTTGTTCCCACATCTAACCAGCTCATCGCCTGGACGAACAAGTCTGAAATAGAAAGCGACGGGCGCACTTTGATCCAGATCATACGTCTCGTATTCGAGAAAGCGATGAACGAGCCGATGTACACTGGGTTATACGCGCGCCTATGCCGTACAATGATGGAACAGATTAGTCCTGGGGTACAAGATGAGCAAATACGGGACGCCGCAGGCGCGCCGGTTCCCGGTGGTCAGCTATTTCGGAAATACCTCCTGATTCGCTGCCAGGGGGACTTTGAACGTGGGTTCGAAACGCGAGACACGGGGAAAAGTGACCTCTTCTCGAGCACATATTATTCTGCAAAGCAACGGGGTCTTGGTCTCATCAAATTTATCGGCGAGCTGTTCAAGCTACAGATGCTTACGGAGCGTATTATGCACGAGTGTATTAAAAAGTTGCTCGGAAACGTTGAAGATCCAGACGAGAGAGATCTGGAGTCTCTGCATGCTCCTCACTACCGTCGGCCAGCTCATCGATACCCCACAAGCTCGGCCGCACATGGATGTTTACTTCGATCGCATGCAAGGTCTGTGCACAAACCCTAACGTCACACTGCGTATGCAGTTTATGTTGGAGGTATGTCCCATCCGCGTTGGCGTGCTCGGTGTCTGACATTAGGGCAGGACGTCATCGCGCTCCGTGAGCGGAAATGGGTGCCCTCCGAACGACCCTCGCCCCTGATGTCCTTTCTTGGACCGAGGGACACCACTAAGGTCTCGCCTCCGAGCCTCGGGCGCAACGCTGCTGCGATTCAGACCCATCAGACTACGCGGAATACGCACAAAAGCAGCGGCAACCTGCATTATACTGCATGGCGCAGGGCGACTGCATCTTCGACTCCCAAGTCGCCAGACCCGCCAGCGGCCAGTGGCTCACACATGAAAGACCCAGCGCGTCAGCCACCGCGCAATAGCGATAGCGAGGCGCCCAGTCCATCTTTAGACGTCTTCGTGAAGGGTGCTGCTGGTCCAACGTGAGTTTGTCCCTCTAGTGACTGCTGGGCCACATATGCTGAATTATTTTAAAGGTGGCATGCGTTCGTCTATTATCTGTGTCACGGAACAATCGTGTTTGCTCCCCTCCGGAGTGAGGGAGAAGTGTTGCGACGCGCCTTCATCGAGGATTATTGCACACGGAATCCACACCTACCGCCTCCTTGTTCGTCCAAATCGATCTATCGTCTCGCTGTCATGGTAAGCTCATGAATGCATCTTTACTCCGCTGGCAAATCCTGATGGCGCCATTCCCATGACACACGTAGTTAAATGTGCCCAAGTTGAAGGCGTTGGCGTTGGGTGATCTAGCCTCTCGCCTCAACGCTAGTAACGTTGTCGATGAATACTTCACGGCATTCACGCACAGGTGTGTTTTATCTGAGAAACCACCCGCATGCTAAAGTCTATATTAGATATCCCGAAATCACACAATTGGAAGAATCCATTCTGCGCAAGCACCAGTCGGACATTATAGCGAATATGCAATCCCTCGCAGCGAAAGGATATTTGACTGGCAGCCCAGAACCGCATTCTTTGAGTAAACATATAGGCGAGATGATAGTGACGTGGACCCCGGAACGCGCGCCTAAGAACAGCCAACATTTTCTGCGCTCCACACTAGGAAATCTTTTTCTTTGCTGCGCTATGTACGCACTGTGCATCAGATATTATCTCTATCTCCCACCCACCCAACGGACTGAACTCATACGAAAATGGCTTCCTGTAGACTCATTCACCCATACTAACGAATCTTGAATAGTACAGCGTTGCATTCATGCGGCTTGTCTGTACAATACAGCAATTGATACGAGGTCGTCTTGCTCCATTTTTAACAGTATTTAAATGCGAATGCTCTCCGGTGGGCCTAAGTAACTTGGCTGCACACCACCGGTGTCTGGAAGTACGACGTCAATTATTCGTCGCACTGACTAAGCGATCGAACATACCAATCACTATCTTCTGAACGATTACAGTGGGCTCAATCATCCAGAGCTTACATTGATAGCTCAGCATGCCGCATTAGGCTCGAGAACGTGGTAACTTACTGTCAGTGTGTGGGCCCCCGGCTCGGCTTCTAAGCTGAACGGGACGGTCACGATATTATTTGCAACCCAACCGTCCATGCCGTCCCACTGTGCTGGTAGATCTCCGGGAGTCGCGTTTGGAATGAAATAGCTAACCTGTGGCTCGCCGGAGTCCATCTGGACCCCGATTGCCAGAGGACGATCAGGACCTAGGGCGTTCAGTGACGGCGAGATATAAAGTGTGGCCGTGACATTTCCACTATCGTCGTACGTGTTGAAGTTGTAGAAGTCGTATTCACTGGCGTCATGCAGGGTATTTTGGTAAGATCGACTGAAAAATTTCGACGTTACTCACATGCTTGGCCCAGTCCCGACAGTGAAGTTAAGCTCGTCACCTCCGCGAGGCCAGGGTGTGACAGCAGATAGCGTTCGGCCGTAGCCAAGTAAAGCGGTCCATGTGATGCCATTGACGGACGTATTTCTCACTGAATGCACGGCCTCTATCGACACAGTGCCATCACCCTCAACAAAGCCTGTCGGGGCTAATAAGCCAAGCGAAAGACAAATGGGCTAGCCCGTACCTGTATATGAACTCGGCGCTTGGGAGTAGTTAGCATTGAGCGTCGCCGTGAATGACATTTCCGGTTGGCCAGGGATCGTCGCATTGAACGTGATCAGTGCAATCTCAGTTGCAGACAGCTGGCTCCAGTCCACAGTCGCGTAGACTCGAGTCTCAGGCGTCTCCGGGGAGATGTATGCTTCCGAGGGGGACAGAGTCAGCCACGAAGCGTTGCTAGTCGCTGTGAATGTGAAGGGGACTGGTCCTCCAGCGCCAATGTCAAAGTATCGGTTGCCTGCTGGTACATATGGGTCGATGGACAGCGTCGGATTAGGACAACTGTATCCCTGAGCGCATTGGTACATATTGTCTCCTGGCCTGACCGGGATGAGATCTTCAGCGGAAAAGTAAGTGTCTGTCTATGAGAAAGAAAGCGTACCATGCAGCCTGAGTGCCTTCAGGGGCGATCCTCATAGCACCTGATAGTGCCTGTTTCCGGGCTTGTACCTTCGTGACGAGTGGCATTCTGTGCGACAATTAGCCTTCGCACTAATGCCGCAAGCGTGAGTGTCCACATACGTGTTCGCCTGCGGTTCTTGCCAGTAATAGTACATGACATGTGTCTGGCTCATCATGTGAACCCTTTGAGAATATGTTTTAGGATTGTCCAATGTTTGCATATAGATCAGTTGCGCCTTACCATTTTCCTACGAAGAGATGAGTATCGGTAGGATCATTGATCCTGTTCACTAACCATCCAGTATAGAGTCATACTCGACCTCGAGCTCCCAATCTTGCTCGAATAGGGTTTCCACCTGGGTAGCATAATCGTTCGCGCTCAGGAACGCCTGGGAGGCTCTCAAATTGTTCATTCCGGCGGAGATCCACATGTTCGCAACCGTATAGCTAGCCTGTACAGGGTGATAGACAAGCTGAAAGTATGCGGGAAGCATATCGCCCGGGAGAGTGTCAAGGATGCGCGTCGCGGAGTCGTTTGTTGCCTGCCACATTGCGAGCATGTTTTCAGCCCTAAGACGGACTGAGCTATCGAAAGTGCAATGGAACAGCCCGAAATGACGCACTCTCGGTAATTGTAGAGGCTGTAGGTCGTTGAGTTTAACATCTCAGGTTTCCTGTTAGAGTTGAATCGAGAGACGTTGGCAATGATGCCTGCTACAGTGGTCGCGTCTTCGGTGGACAGGGAAAACTCGCGCTGTGCCCAGCCCGTAACGAAGCTATCAAGGTTGTTCGTGTTCCATAGCGACGTATCCCAGCCGTAGGTGATGAAAAATTCAATCTCCATTTCGTAAGGTTTGAGGTCGCCAACGTTGACGATCCAGATCCGGGTGGCATTTCGGGCGGTCGCAAGTGACATCTGCTCGTACGTCTGCGAACTTATATATCATAGAACGAAAAGTGCAGGAATAACTGATGCTCACTTTGGCTAGCTGACTGCTCTGTTGATCATGGTACGCTTAGTCAGCGAGAATCCAAGCTTCATGTGCCAGTTAAAACGTACTGCAATCCACTTGTAGTTACGTGGGTCTCCGACCTGTTACACCGGTAACTACAATATTTTGTTCGTGAGATGACACGACTCACATAATCGTACTACATGAGGATAATATTAGTTATGGTCCATCCTTCAGCCGAAAGCACAACGTACGTGGTAGTATACACCAGCGCCTCCAGACCTGTCGCGCTCAGCTGGTGTGGGGAGTCGCTCAATATTGCCGTAACTGAAGGAAATTCAGTAAAGGACTTGTTATGGCAATGAATATTGCTCACTTATCATCCGTCCATAAAAGCGCAATATCATCAGGTACTATCATTCCGTCTTCATAGTACCCGAGGACTTCCTTGTCTACATGCAAAGCGGGTCAGACTGCGAACGTTACCCGGACATGGTCAGAGCATACATAGACACCACATCTGCGGAATAGTGGTTACGTTCACGCCTAAAAAGGTGTTGCCCAGGATTGTCCGCTGGTTTGCAATTATTCCTTCGAGTAAAGAGATATCTTGTCCACCAGCGAGAGGCTCTGATAATGATTGTGGTCAAAATCGGCAGTCCGCATCGATAATCACGTCGTCCGACGTACCATCGCCTGTGAAATGAGCCGCTCGTCAATAATGAGTACACCTTTCGTACGACGTTACATACCATCACCGCGCATACCCACCGTGAACATGTTCTCGTACGGCTTCGCACGCTCAGCGCCTTCCACCCAGAAGTTGTAAATGTTCTGAGCATTGACGCTGTAATCCCAAGGGCCATCTCCAAAAAGGTCCCACTCGACAGGTATGGAGCGCATCATGGGCTCCTCATGACTGGTGCCCATGACAATGCCGTACCAGTTGGCCAACGGCTGATTCAGCAGATCATCAACGCCGAATGCACTGGAAGTGTGCGAAAGATCAGATCGTAAACAAGATAGAGCGAGCAAAATGTTATACACACCTGGCCCACATCGCTATGATGTAGGAGTCAATGAGTGCACGCAATGCCGGTTAGATACAACATACCTGGCCACAAGTAGTTCCCCTTCATCCGAAGTATCAACTCGAACCTGTGTTGGACAATATGAGCGCGCTGCATTCCACCTGCACATAACTACATACAGCTTTGTGTAGAAGAAGTGGTTGAATGGAGACCCTGTCAGTGCTGCACCAGTCCCATTCGTAAACCGAACCATGGCCCAATTCTGCAGCGCAGGTTGTTCATCGTTTAAAAATATACCACGATATTGCACAGTCGGAGATCCATGTGCGCATCCAGCCGAGTCGACGTACAATTCCGAATGTGCCTTCGTCGGTACATCAGCCCACCTACAAAGCGTCAGTCCGCGCCCAGGTCGTTATACCACTTTCTGAGTGCGATCGACCTACCAGTACCACGGGGAGACACCTAAACCAGGATGCAATTGGTAATCTGGGCCTCATTAGAAATAAGACGACATACCAAACTGTTCTGAGTGATCGTACAACGCGTAGATCGTCCCCCGCTTATCCGCGCCAATCATCACATATGCACTGCTGATCCCAGGCAGCGGATTCGACACCTCTTGGGTCATGAACGCCTCCCACTTGCCCTCCACCGCCGACACATCGAGGCCCGTCCGGCTCACCACCTCGTCAATCAGACTTGACTGCCCGAGTGTGCCCACGATGATTGCCTGTGCGCTCGCCAGGCTCAAATTTGCCGCGCTTGCGGACGCTGTCACGTTGAACAGGCCGGGCATCACACCCGTCACATTATGGATGTCCATAGCAAAGTCGGAGGCGGCGCGCTGCACGCCGCCCCATTCGTCTTCGGAGAGCAGGATGGGTGCTGCAATGCGGTTGCTGACGATGGAGAATGAGGATGTTGTGGGAGCGAATGAGACGCATGTCTGCTGCCCGATGGCGTGCGCGCCGCCGGCGAGTGCCAGCAACGCGACGGCACCCCAGCGTCGAGACATCGTAGGTGGTTTCGGAAGCGACTGGAACGGAGGCAACGGACTATGGCGGGGGCGCTCCACACGCGTTATATGTGTCTGTTGGCGGGCGCGTGCTCTGCACGGCTGCCGGGGCAGAGGAGGGCCTTGTGACCCCGGAGGGTCTCAGAATTTCGGCGGCCCATCGTGTGCGGGAGATCTTCGGCCCCAGGTGCGTGCCCTGGGTGGCTGCAGCATACGTTTTGTCTTTGCGTGGACGCGCTCGACGACGCTTCTGCTGTGTATGTGAGCGGCGACACGCCCGGGCCTGGCGGAGAAACTAGACGACGGCTGGGCGGGCGGGCCGGGAAACCTCACCTGCCTATGATGTGACGTCACGCGACTTGGGTTCTGGTCAAACAGTGTTCCTTGAGAGCGGCGAGAGTTCATTACGGCCTTGCGTGACCTCTCTACGCCAGAGATGTCTGTGATGGGACTGACCTCATGTAGCTAAGTCCGCGGCCGGAGACGGCGATGCGGTATTAGGCAGTGCAAATAGACGGCAGTCCCGCCACAAATCGGCGCCTTTCAGATATTTGGGGAGGTACCACGAGACGGATCACAAGATATAGAAGAGACGATGGGAATGGAACCTCTGCCTGGGATATCCGAATTGACTGTTGGAGACGAAATCAATGGTCAATGACCTTGCAATCTCCCCGTCGCGAACCCGCTCTTGTTCAATGTGATCCACAGGTTAGAATGGCATCGAGTGCAGCATCATGAGAAGTACCCAGCATCTTGAAAGACATTAGTCTCCGAGAACTACAGACCTTCTGACATTGGACGCAATCTGCCGAGTGGTGGATGCTTGCAGCTTTTCCAACGTCCACTGAGCGTCTTCCACTGCACAGCTACACCCATTGCGAGAACGTCTGGAAGCAGGACTAATAGAGTGGGAGACTAGACCATCGCTCTCAATTCAAATACCACTCAGTAGATGGTTCGACTCATGACTTGTAGATGCCTTAAAAGCAGTCAAATTAAGAAAGCCATTCCACGAATCGTATGACTGGGTGAAGCCACAAATAATGTATTTCGTGCAGGGACTATACCTGTTTCCTCGCCAGTATCACGACGAAGTTGCTGCTCCTGGTTCCTCTTCGAGGACATGCAGATGATACATAGCTGAAATATACGAGGGCTGACCAAGCATGTGGAAGAACAGAACGTGGACTTAAAGGGCACGAGTGAAAAGGGGTGACTCGGAGCACACAGTGGATAGATGAAGCTCATGGATGTCCTCCTTTCATATCGGAGTGTCTGACTCTGTTACACGTGCGCTTCTGTCGCAAGTATAGGGCGAATCCCAGATCCCTAAATCTCGAAAATAGCCCTCAATATGACCCACTTTTGGCAATATTTCAAAAATCATTTTATCAATCCTACAACTTTGGTAAGGGGAGTTCCCACACTTAGATTGTAAGAATCAGAAATGGTAACTTATCGACCCCGAAACTGGCCATTTTCGGACCTCCTTCGCCCAAGCTTGCTGAGCTGTTTCTACCGCCCGTATTTTACACAGTTGGCTTGCAACTTTTATGCCCAATAGATAACGTGGACAGAACAAGCCGCCAAACAACAAACTGCTGGAACGCGCAAACGCTAAGATTAGGTTAAAACAAGTTAGCACTCGCAATGTATTATGCTCAAACCCGACCGTGTCACCGCTCCATGGTTAATCAGAGGAGACAAGGCTCAGGCTCTCTTGACGAACTGCAACTTCAAAATGTCGCCAGGGGTAGTCTTGATTGCGACACTTGCCATCGCGAGCAGCCGCTGAATCTTACCGTTGACTTTATGACCCCTTCATGCATGCGAGCAATCCCTCTTCGCGACCGAAAACATAGAAGATGAACCAGCAAATTTCGGGCAAGCTTCAACAGTCCACTTTGAAGAATCGCCGAGATGAGAGAATTATCTGGCATTTGCACAAGCGTGCTCTAACCTTCGCAGGAGATTGCTGGTCACAACGCATAACATGCTTAGATCATAAGCTGTTGCCCTGGAATCTGACTAGATATGTAGGTCCGTTAGCGGCTTCAAGCAATCTTATTCCAATTCACCCCATCGAGACAAGAATGTTTTCAGATGTGATAGGGATTCGTCGCAAGTGCGTCTCAGAAAGGTTGTATCTGTATTCACGCAAAAACACATCACAGTACTGGCGGACAATCATCCGTCTCCGAAGTCCTCTTTTCCCCCTAGAGCCCAAACATCATACAATGTGTCAGCGACCCTGCTCTTGTCATTCGCACTGCATGTACGCACCTCTGCAGGCCATGCAGTCTACTTGCTCTTGGGCGGCTCCGCACAGTTGCATGCTGGGTAGGTGCAGGACCCGCCGTTGGCCTGGACGTTTGCGCACTGTACGGTGTCCTACGACAACCATAATGAGTCTCCAAAGTGTGAATGTATATGAGCAAGGAGATGTACTCACAGACATGATATTCGAGTGGTGTGTGTAGTCGATGACTTGGGGGATGGACGTACAGCAGGACTCCTTATATAGCTGGCCGGGGCCATTTTCACCGCGAAGGATGTGATACCCGTCTCCTGCCTTACTCACTGCCTCGAGTAATGTCGCGTCGGCGACTGGGTGCACAGCGCTATCCACGGAGCAGGATGGAAGCGACCGAGTGGTCGATTTACATCCGCGCGGCTGTCGATAAGGTCCAATGATAGCGTTGACAATACGTGCTCCTATATTCGTTGTCTTGAAATGCAGGGACGGATGATCTTCTGTGAGTCTGCTGATCGCATGAATTGACCCGGTTGAGGAAACAGTTCATTTCATTGGTTCTTCGCGGAGGTGATTCTGCTATGTTCCTCTCCCGGTGGCCGATGTGCGGATGAATTTTGTATGTCGTAGGTAAAATGTACGCCACTTGAAAGAACGGTTGACGTGGACTACAGAATGATGTCGATGTCGATAAATTACGTGCCATAGTCTAGTGAGATATGCCCTTCGTGCACCACTAACAGTACAGGTTTTACGTATCCGCCTAGCAGGGAGCTTGGACAGAGCACCTCAAAGGCGAAGCATGTTCAGTCTGTCATATGATCGCCGACCAGTCTCCGAAGCAATCAGCTTTGCTCTATTTGGGGTGTTGTAACACATTCGACAGCGGAAACCCGTTCACGACTAGATTCTGGGCAACCGAAAGGCGCCGCCTGCGAGAGATGGTACATTGCTCCTGGATACATTGGCTTTGCGCATCTCGTTTCGCAGCAACAAACGGGGCACAGTCGTCTTCTTGCGGCATAGACTACTCCACTTCACCTACTCAATGCTTGGAAGATGCACGCACAACTAGCAGCGCAGGTAGCGTCGCTGAGTTCATGGAAGTGCTCAGCACTCCGCAACAAATTACTACGCTGGTGAGTGCACTAGTGAGCGAGTGAGCCGTGGGCAAGATAAGCAGCTTACCATAGCTCCGATATCACGTATGTATGGACTCAAGAGACGACAGATTCGGGCCCTCCTGGGCGTTCTCATGTGCAGGCGATGGGTTTATATCGCTTGGGTCTCGCCTCAGCAAATGCTGTTCCGTGATTCGCTCGCGATCTTCGTCGAAATCGTCTTGGAGGAACTCATGCGCTGGAGGCCCGTCGTCGATCGAGAGGCGGATCTGCCCATCCTTCCGCGTCCATGTTGTCAATCTGACGATGGCATTGGTCGACGCATTCTATCAAGAACACATAACACGACTCACTTATGGGCAACAACAGTCCGTAGCGACGAGGCCCGCCGCCAGAGCAGGAAGAGCACGCAGCAGGTGCAAGTCGTGAATAGGATGATCAATGGAAAGTTACCCAGAGGCTGTGGTTTTGGAGCCTGGCGCGGTTCTGGCTTGACCAGATATGAGCCTCGCTGCGTTGCCCGTGTTTTGTGACATACCTCCTGGGTTCACCGTTGGGGCCATGACTGTGTTGAGGAAGTGAGAGCAAGGTGAGAGCGGTGGTTGTAACTACGCGTTTGCGGCGAGACCGCCGGTCGCACGCAGGCGCGGGCGGTGTGGCCGGCCCTGGCCGGCCGATAGTGACGATGACGTCGGGCGGACGTGTCTCGTGCAGTGCGCGCTGCGCAGACGGTGGCTACAAACACGACTTGCTCCTATACCACGTCTTTCTTCCCCTTACGACTGTGCACTTCCCTTTCTTCCACAGAAAATACAACGATTAAGACAAGATGACAATCTAGTACGCCTCGCTTTCGTTGCAGCGCGTCGCTCTGGACTGAACACGTCGATGCAGCTACACGCTCACCTTCATGCTCCTCGTCGCCGAGATGGTGACGTTCTGCGTCATCGTCTCACCTCTCCCGCACAGTGTCCGGAGGCGCTTCTTCCGCTTTCTTGCAGAGAGCCCCATTGTGGCGAAGCTAGCCTACGGTGTCAAAATAGCTTTCATGTGAGCCTTATTTTCGTCCAGTTAGTGGCGCTGGAGTATGTAATGTATATGCTGGTCACCAGTTTCGTAGGAATACTGTTCATAGATGCGGTCCAGCGCATGATGCGTGTCACTGCCGAAGCGGACGTCGCGAGGAACAATGGCCAGGGCATGCAGGACGTCAGAGCGGAATCCAACTTTGCTGCGCGCAAATTCTAGTGCGTATCCCGCTCATACGCGGCGATTTAGCTGCTCAAGGCACATATCATTTTCTAGCTCGCAACGCAATACCTACCTGACCGGTTTCTGCCTCTTCCTCTCGCTTGTCCTCACGTGCACGTTCTACATCCTCCTCGACCTCGTCCACACACAGGAAGAATATGCTAAATTGAAGCAGGAGGTATGTAGAGCGTTGCTCAGTGCTTACGATCATCACTGACGCGTGTGCTCCCACTAGACGGCAAAGTCGTCGCGCGGCGAGATTGGCGCCCAGGACCAGACGAAGCAAGTTGAGGAGCTCAAGAAGAAGCTGGCCGCTGCTGAGGAGAGAACGCGCGACTTTGGTATGTGCCTACCTTGTACCTGGAGCGGCTATTTGTGCAGTGTATCTGATGATGCGTGACTGCCGCAGAGATCGTGAAGAAGCAGGCGCAGCAGAACGCGAAGGAATACGACAGGCTCGCGACTGAGCTCAATGCGAAGAACGGGGACGTGTCGAACAAGAAGTCAGACTAATGGGATTTCAACGTGAGATTTACGCTCCGTTACCTCAATGTTAACGACTGTCTGTGCTGGATGAAACACGGAATATTTTCCGGTATACTATATGCACTCAACGAATGATGCAACTCGATTCATCTGCAAGACTGATGTTGTTTGAATGCACACAAAGGATGCGGCAGGCAACTACGACGCGATGCGTCTTTTGGGTCGTATTGGGGTCAGCCTTACTCTGAGCAACGAGTAAGTCACGATCGCGAATGCGACTTCGCGTATATGCGAAGATGTTCGCCGCCGCGGCGTGCAAAATGCACAACGTTGCAGAAAAAGGATGTTATCTGTTCATTGTGTCATGAAATCACGCATACATCGTGTACTCCGACCCGTCCTAGACGATCACAAGCTAAGCGATCACCATATGCGAGGCTATGCACGAAAGCATGCAAGTCAGCTATCATTACAAGGCACCAAAGTACAATGGGCTCGACATACCAGCTTGAGCGGCGTGCCGGACATCGCTCACTTGCTCTTGGGGGGCTCTGCGCAGTTGCAAGCGGGATAGGTGCAGGAGCCGCCGTTGGCCTGGACATTTGCGCACTTGACTGTGTCCTGCGAAGGACAGCCAGTGTTAGTCCTTTGCGCAGTAGCCCGGGAGCTGCAAGAGCGTCGCGAGTTGTTTACTCACAGACATGTTGGGGTAGTTGATTTTCAGGCGAATGTCGAATGGGGGGACAGACGTGAGACCGGGCGACTCTTATAGGCCACCTGCAGATGTGGTCCGATTTATGGCGTACACGCGCATGCAGCGTGATACGTGAACCTTGTACAATGTCTCATGACTGATTGGCTCCTGTAGCATATCGGACGCTCAATCCGGCGCCCTCAGAGCGACTGAAGACCATGAACCCATGGACCTCGTCGGCGAAGGAAAGCTACCTACCACCGATCTCTAACAGATAGCGACACGGAGGAAGGAACATTGCAGATTTGCCCTCGTAACGAACCAATGAAATGAACTCTATTCTCCTTCGGCCGGGTCAACTCCCACAATCAGCAGACGCACAGGAGGTTCGATCATCAGCCGCTGCTTGTAGAATTTCAAGACAAGGAATACAGGTGCACGCATTGCTAGTAATGTCATTGGACGGTATCGCTGGTCGCATGTCGTGGATATAAATGGACGACTCGGACGCATTCATCGTGCTCCGTGGAAAGCGCTGTGCACCCAGTCGCCGACGCGACATTACTCGAGGCAGTGAGTAAGGCAGGAGACGGGTATCACATCCTTCGCAATTTTCATGAGCCCCGGTCAGCTATATAAGCCGTCCCGTTGTACGTCCATCTCCCCAGTCATCGACTACACACACCACTCGAATATCATGTCTGTGAGTACATTTCCTTGCCCATGTCCATTCGCACTTTGAAGACTCACTACGATTATTGTAGGACACCGTAAAGTGCGCTAATGTCCAGGCCAACGGCGGGTCCTGCACCTACCCGGCATGCAACTGCGCGGAGCCACCCAAGAGCAAGTAGGCTGTATGGTCTGAAGAGGTGCGTGCATGAGTGCGAATGGCAGGAGCAGGGTCGCTGACACATTGTACGATGTCAGACTCGCTGGGCAAAATAGGGACTGAGAAGGAGATATTAGTGACGTGTTTTGTACGTGAATACAGGGACAGCCTTGTTGAGACGTACTTGTGATACATTTTCATCACATCTGAGTGAGGACAAGAATGAGGAAGTTGGTGACGTGCGGCACATTCAATTAAGTTTAGCCGCCAATAGCTCAGATCAGAGCGACTACGGCTGTACTCCAAGAAACGTCTGCCAATCTTCGCATGTAAAATCGCTTATATGTGAATTGAAAGAAGCGTACGAGCAAATTTGGTTGACTCGGGTGCTTGATAGGTTGAGATTCAGTGAATAAGTAGAACGTATTCTTGAGACAGCTATATGAAGTGTGCACTGTCACGCGGCATGTCGGCAAGACGCGTTCGGTCACAGACGCGTTTCCGTGACATAGTCAGTCGCTATCACCTTTGCGACTTCCCTCTCCCCAGCGCGTCCCCCGTTCGGTAACCGTGTGCCCCGAAAAGAGGGTATCTCTCTACTAGCTGGTGCAAAAAAGATATGTATATTTTGAAGGCCCAGGTCAAATTTCAAATGTATGGGGCAAGAGGTAGATGTCGACAGCCGTGATATTCACGATGATATTTAGTTGAGAGAACTTACAAGACTAGGTTGTGGCGGCACAGAAAATCCCGATCCGTCGATCCGCGCACTTGACGCATTAACGGACAATCAGCACGCAGTCTTGAACAGCGCCAGGCTAGGGGAACTATGCTGTTAATATGTCCTGGTATCATTACTAACACTTTCGCTATGGCACATCCAGGGTTGACGTACGCGTCGTGACGACAAATCCTCCATTCGTACTACTGAGGGTAAGAACTACGGCAGTAGTAGCACATGACTTGCTGAATAAGACGAGGAGGCATGGAGCTCTTATTCGCTCGCTTCATCGCGTGCGATCGGTCCGTTCTAGGCAAGAAGCGTCTTGCATTGACTGCCCCTCGCATTGGACGCATTAGTCTGCTGACTGATAATCCCTATTGCGCTAGACTATCAGAACACATATAGCATTTGCTTTGTATTATTGGTATACCATAGTTTGTCAGCGGCCCGTGTGGATTCCGAGCTCACGCGGTAGTCGCCGAGAACTGTGGATTGACATGGTCACACATGGCGACAATGTGGTGAAAGTGGTCGTAGACATGCAAGCCTGAGAATTCTGCACTGTGTTGGGCTGTTTTCGGGTTCGACCAGGGATGATTCATTACAACGTATATAAGGCGGTAGTGGTGAGCGGGTCGTTCCAAAGTTCACAAACGAAATTCACAAATCATGTCCACTGAGTCCAGCCGTGCACAACCCATCGTTGCCATCGTTGGTGCAACTGGTAACCTAGGTATGTGCCTCCTGCTATTGTTATGGGTTAATTGTGACGCTGTGATCATTATTTGTCTAATATAGGAACTGACATTTCCGAGGCATTCTTGAATCACTATCGTCCCCACTTCCCCCAGGTCATTGCTGTCGTAAGGGATCCGACGTCTGCCAATGCGCGCAAGCTCGCAGACGCTGGTGCTGAGCTGCGCCAAATTGACACAACAGACATTGTACTCTCCTTCGCACGTGCTTTCACTGGCGTCGATGTGGTCGTGAGCGCTGTCAGCATGGCTCCGGTGGAATATCATGATGCTTTATTCGATGGGGCACTCAAAGCTGGGGTAAAGGTCTACTTCCCATCGGAATTCGGAATGTGAGTACAGATTGAACGAGAGGGGTGGATCTCGCACTGGCTAATCCAGAACAGGAATTATCACCTCATTGAGTTTCGTGAATATAAGGAGCCTATTTGGGATGCGAAGGCTCAGCACGTTGCCCATGCGCGTGAGCTCGCTCAAGGCAAAATGAAAATAATCGTACTAGCAACCGGGCTCTTCACCGAGTATGTCTTAACCGTGAGTCAGCTGAGTTATGTCCACGCGTGTGCAGCTGATGCCACCATTGAACCAGCCATGGTGTTGGTTGCCTTATCTATCGCATATACTGCGAAGACTAATTGTTCGCTCTGACATCGCTCTCATAGTTGAATTTGATGCTGCAACTCTGACCTTTGCCTTCGCGGGCTCGCCGGACAGCAAGCTCGCGGTCACTGCGAAAGTGGACATCGCACGATCTGTGGCACAACTCACTTTACTGGCTCTCTCTCCAGACTCAGCTGTCCCGGACGTGGTGTACGTCGCGGGCCAGAATGTGAGTTATCGCGAAATCGGCCAGGCCATCGAAGGCGTCAGCGAGGAGTTTGGGTTAGAGCGAAAGAAGGTAACACTGAACGCCGCAGATTTGGAGTCATACAAGATTGCTGCTCGAGAGGAGGAAGTCAGGAGTGGAAAGCCAAATATTTTGAAGCACATCAAGTATGACATACGATTGCTTCTGAACATAGTTACTGATCCTCGCCTATGGCGTCGACAGGATCGCGCTCGGGGAGCACAAGATGGACTTCTCATATAACAACAATGAGCTTGTGAATCCCGGAGAGACATTGTGGAAATGGAAGCGGGTGGAGGATCATGTGCGTGAGCTGGGCGGTCGACTTTGAAACTCAGTACCAATTCGGGAACACAAAATACTGCTTCTATGAAGAGTGAGCGACGTGAATATGTACTCATTTCTAGGTCGAATATCAAATTATGCATCATGACTCTTCTGACATGTCATTCCAGAGTGGTTAAGCCCTGGGACACTGAGCACTTATCTGTATAGAACTTTCCCTGCGCTAAGGTAAACACCGGCATACTGCTGGCAGCGAATGCGACGAACGATGAAGGACATTCACGCAGTTGAAGTTCTTTATGTCTCTGCGTAGTGACTCCACGAGAATCCAACAACTCACAGGGCAATACATGCCTGGCTAGATCCTACCATGGGTTACCGCATCCGTATGCTGCACCCTATCAGTTACGCTAATATGCGCTGTTGAAACATCCTTCTATGATTCCAACAATTACAGTATGATCGCGGATTGTAATGCATTATGATTGTCGCATGGGAGCCTCGATGCAGCACCGTCAGTTATAGACAATGCTATAATGCTGGTAGACGTATAGGAGTCACACTGAGTGGAAAGAACCGCCAAAGACCAGTCTTTCTGCTCTTAGGAGGCTCCGCGCAGTTACAGGCTGGGGAGATGCATGAGCCGCCGGGGTAGAATTAGTGGTAAATGAGATCTTATTATGGAAGAAGACGAATGATATTATCGCCATAGCAAGATCGCATAGGTAACAATAAAGCTGTGGGTCTGTGGCCAGCGTTGTAGTTCGTACTAATAGACTAGTCTTACTATTCTTGAGTCTTGCGTGACCTGGGATCGTGCTTCAATATGATGCTGGGTAAGACAGCACGCATTTCTTACAGTAATACAAGGCCTTACACACGTTCAGATTGACCTGTCCAAATACACCGACTGAGGGAAATGCTCGCGTATGCCGGGCCTACTTCGATTGTGGCACAGACCATCGTCAACCTCGAGACCGTCTCGACGCGTCTCGTCACAAACGCGTGACCACACGTGAGCGCGATCATGGTTATCCCCGGGTGGCACAACACCCTTCTAGCTTGCTCGATGTGCCGCATTGTCATGCTCAACACCAATCCCCGTCTACTCGCCATGTGCAGAAAACATATTATCTCATCCATCCGTGAAGAACAGTGCCTACAATGCTGAGGATTGGGACGGAGAACCATGCTGCATGCCGCACCTCGCCGGATTGCAGTCGAGACCGACATGCAGACGTTCGACTTCCCCCGGTCGGCCTCCGAATATGTTCTCGGGGCTCTCCGGCGGTGGTTCAATCTCGGAGGCTGACCGTGGTGGACGCAACGCGGCGAGGCTGACAACAAACAACCGGGAACAAACAAACGCCACACTGTGTATAAAGCACCGACCTTCCTTGTTTCCTCCTTCCATCGCCTCTTCGACCTGACCTCCAGGACCCCCAGGTATGTCGACCCTCCATCATTCCCCTTCCTCGAGTCGCACTCACGTAGTATGCGGTCTTCCTTTCATCATTGTGCCTGTCCTTCGCCACTGTCTCCTCATCGCCACCATCGTCGTCGTCGGACATTCGTGGTCGTGGGACGTGTCGTCGATGTCACATATGCGGTGATGGTCATTGGTGAGCAGCCATCCACACGTCTGTACTCCCACCTCTCACCGCCGTTCGTCTCTTGTCTTCTGTCGTCGTTGTCGTCAACGCCACAATGCCCGGTTCGTACTATCGCTATCGTATGGTCAGCTGCCTGTCCAAAACAGTGTGATGTGTGAACGTATATACCTATGCCGACACTCGTCTTCCAGGTGAGTCCCGCGCCCGCCCTTGTGTTCATGATTGCGCCACATTCTAATAATGATGTCTGTTCGCCAGTCACTGCCGGCGTGCTGGTGCTCCTGGGACATCCACATTGCACGTCGTGGGTGGGGGCTGGCATCTATTCGACATGCACCCCGGCGAGCGGGCCAATGCCCTTGCACAGGAGTCCCGTAGGCCGATCGCTCTCAAGAGCTCTTCGGGGCATGGCGACACCGCGGGGCTCGGGCCAAACGCCCAACGAGTGCGGTCCTTACGGGGACTATCCGTGGCCGTCGAAGCTCCGCCAGCACCCCAATCGCAAGTCCTGATTGGGCCGAAAACCCTCGATCACGGAAGATGGTGGTCGAGGGCCGCAAGACCCCCGAGGTAAGGGTCGGCTCCTGTGGCCCGCGTTGCTGTTGCTGCACTAGTTGTGGCTGGCGGGGCGGGGGAGCTGGTCCTGGCGCAGGCCTTTTCGTGGCCCTCGGGATAAGTATCTGCTCGTGTCTTGGCCACTTTTGAGTGACCTAGCCACGAGCAGGGAAACTAGCATGCGCCGAATCCGATGGTTACGTTCGTCGTGCACGTTTACTTGGGAGCAGCAACTCGAATACGACCATGGCAAAGCATCGTTCCTCAGTTGTCATGATGGGCTTACGCGTGCGCAAGGTCTTTGGCTTTGCGCACGCGTATGCTCATCATGTTTGATGGCAGTGTCCGCTGGGGATATACGCAGGAGAAGGGTCTTGCGATTCATTTCGCAGCATGTGGCAACGTCAAAGAGCTTGATTCGAGTAGAGACTTTATGCTTACTGTGTATGAGACCTACTAGTATACCGCGTCCTCATTAATTAAATGCGTGTGCGAGATTGAGATATGCTTTGAACATGCAGTCATACCCTGCTTGCAGGTCATCAATATTGAGATTGTCGTATACAGCACTAGCTGGCTGGGCAATTGGGCGATGCAGGTTGGTCTAGACGCGAGCGCTACAAAACACGGCGCGCCGGCGCTTGTCGCAAGTTCAACTTCGCCCTCGCGCATCTTGTGCGAGTCCCTCTGTACGTTTCTTACGCGTTTGGCAGAGGTCCAACCAACACAATACTGCCGGTCGTTCTTGCTCGGAGTGTCAAACCAACTTCAACATAATCGGGAAGCTGTCAACGACAGAGATTTCACCATTCGTCGTCAGTGCCAGACGGCGAAGGAAAATATACCGGTTTGCACTCAGTGCAAACCGGTATATGGTTTTACGGCATTGTTATAGCACATCAAGCTTTGACGTATGCAACATTGTAGACCTCAATTTTCTGGCTGCTCGAGGGGGTTGACTATGCAATATGCACCTGACTTGCTGAGCAGAATGACAGCAGGGAAGTATTGAGTGGAAGTACCGCCCTCTGATTTGTTCTCCCCACCACGTTTGATCGATCATTTCGTGCCAACAGCCAGCGCTCGCTGTACCCCCTTTTGACCAAATTACGTGGCTCTTGGGCTTGTGGCGCAGCATGCTTTCCGTTGCAATCCGTATTATTGGTAACTACTCCTATCGGAATCTGCGTGGGTTGATGACAAACAGCGCCACAATATTACAAAGCAGTTAACTTCTGGATGCATATCGAATCAGTTTCATGCCCGATCGAGGATGATACCTCCGCATATCCCCCGTAGCGATTTGGACAGCCCTCGTCTTCGTCAGCCCAGCATCCTCTGGGTGCTCGGCATCCAACAGGTATATAAAGATCCATTTGAGTGCATATTTTTCCATCATACACAGGCGAAGTCTCAGCAGTCATGTCCACCGAGTCCAGCAGTGCACAACCTGTCGTTGCCATTGTTGGTGCAACGGGAAACCTGGGTGTGTGCATTTTGTTGATGACCGACGGTGGCCTGATCTTAATTTGATTGATGTACTACTTATAGGCAATGATATTGCTGAGGCATTCTTGAACCATTACCGCTCTCAATTTTCGAAGGTCATCGCCGTTGTAAGAGACCCGACGTCTGTCGCGTCGCGTAAGCTCGCAGAAGCTGGCGTAGGACTGCGTCAGGTCGACCAAATAGACACTGTACCTTCCTTCGCGCGGGCTTTCGCTGGTGCCGATGTGGTCGTGAGCGCCGTCAGCAATGCACCGTTGGAATACCACGATGCACTCTTCGATGCAGCGTTTCAAAACGGGGTGAAGGTCTATTTCCCCTCGGACTTCGGCGTGTGAGTATCCATTGAACAAGAGTGCTGTAGCTCGTGCTGAATGATTAACAATAGAGATTATCATGTGGCTGACTTTCCAGGATATGAAGAGCCCCTCTGGGTTGCGAAGGCTCAGCATGTCTCCCGCGCACGGGAGCTTAGTCACGGGAAAATCAAAATCATAGAATTGAATATAGGGATGTTCATTGAGTTCATCTTGATCGTGAGTCAAATGGATCATTGTGCGTATGCATCTAACATACGCTACCGAATCATTAGCCATGGTGTTCGTGGAAACTAGCTCTCCTATCTCGTTAGGACTAACCGTTTATTCTCATATGGCTTTTGCAGTTGGTTTTGATGCTGAAACTTTGACCTTCACGTTCGCTGGCTCCCCGGATAGCAGGCTCGCGGTCACAGCTAAAGCAGACATCGCACGCTCTTTGGCGCAGCTCGCGTTGCTAGCGCTCGTCTCAAGCTCTGTCCCGGATGTCGTACGCATTGCGGGCCAGAATGTCAGCTATCGCAAAATTGGCCAGGCTGCCGAACGCGTCAGGGAGGAGCGCGAGTTGAAGCCGAAGAACGTGACGCTGAAAGCCATAGATCTAGAAGCATACAAGGCCGCCACTCGAGAGGAACAGGTCAGGACTGGAGTCTCGGATCTTCATAAGCATATCAAGTACGGCATGCCACATCTCCTTCCTGAATGTGACGACTAATCGTGACTTGTCATATAACAGGATTGTCGTCGGTGAAGGAAAGGTGGACTTCTCACACAGCAATCACAATGAGCTCGTGAACCCCGGAGAGAAGTGGTGGAAATGGAAGCGTGTGGAGGATTATGCCCGCGAGCTGGGCGGTCGGCTTTGAGGCTTAATCTCATGCCGAAGACCCAGGGCGTCGGTTATACGAAGAGTTGGTGAAAAGAGTTTGTATTTGAGGCCCAGGAAGTTGAACATGTTCTCGTCATCAAGCATAGCTGAACCTTGTGTTCGGTAGCCAAATATACCCTCTACTCAAGCCTTCCCGTGCTCTGACGCTGAAACTTGGGATTGTGGCGAGCGCATGCCATCGTGTTTGTAGTACCCTACAGACTTTGCGCGAGCCTCTGTACGTTCCTTTAGTCTCCTGAGAGCAGAGTAGACAATTCTTTCAACCTGCGCCGGCTCTAGATATCCTTGTTTGACGTCTGCTATCCAAAGCGCTGACTTTACGGCAAGCTCAGTACTGACGGTCGATTGCTGTATTCCCGCCACCCGGCATATCACGCATTTGCATAAACACAGGCAAGCAACGCGCATTTCAGACGCGTCGCGCTCAGGCGCTTGATGCTATCCTGGGCGAGAGACCTTCGTCTTGATGCTATAGAAATCCCCTGCCTGCCTCCTTCTGACAATGTATTTATGGTCTGGTATTCAAAGAAACTAGACAGCTCTTATTGTGTCGTCTGTAGACCAGCTAGCTGCGCTACCATACGGCGTCCACTTGTATCATTGCGTCTGGCGTAATACTCCATCCATATGGGCAGTGCGAGATCGATCGAGAGGTAGGTGCCCAGGGTCGGAGGTCTCTGAAGTAAGGATTGCCATTCTATGAAGGATAGTGCGGCGATGAGGCGAGAGTACTACTATCCGTGCCGCACGATAGGTGCGATCAAATAGTTCGGCCTCCACCACTTCCTCGCACTCATACTTAGAGCGCCGCCCCAAAAAACCGACCTCACGGTAAGGCGATGCGTTTGATCATAGACTACGTTCCTTACGCGTATGACAGAGCTCAGACAGACACGATACATCTTCGTCGACTGTTCTCGCTTCAGGTTTCAGACGAACTTCAACAGACACAGGGTTGTTTCAATAGCGCACAGCGCAGTACATATCCAGCTAGATGCTACCGTGGGTCGTCATATCATCGTCTCAATGATGATCACACAAACATGCCTCGACGAAAATGACCTTGTATTCGTTTCAACGGCTACAATGCGTCCGCAGGCTGCAACACATGACGGTCGTCATACGGGAGCCTGAATATACTACCGTCAGCCATATGGCGTGGACAATGCCATACTGCTAGTGAACATACAGGTGTCACATTGAGCAGGACGCCGCCGGAGACCCGCCTATTTGCTCTTCGGCGGCTCCGCGCAATTGCAGGCTGGGTAGGTGCATGAGCCGCCGTTAGCCTGAACGTTAGCGCACTTGACTGTATCCTAAAGGGAAGGTCAGGATTTACTACTACGTGCAGTGAATGTAGCGAATCACTCACAGACATGGTGTTGCAGTGGATTGTGTGGTCGTAGACTGAAGGAATCCGGGTGGCCTGAGGGCCTTTATATGAGGTATGCGACCCCCAGGTTGTGGATAGCTCGTACCATACAAGAGATGCGTTATTTCTGGAGGCTGGTTGGCTCGTATACAGTTATCCGACAGCTGGGAATCCATTCGAAGACGCAATCTTCTACTGATACCATCGACCCACTCCAGCTGCCTCAGGCGTTCTACCAAACGCTAACGCGAGGAAGAACATCGTTTACGCACAATACGATCAGCAGACTCAGTAAATTCACCTATCACTGCGTTATCAGGCTATAAAGATAGGTACGCACAACATAAGCACTACCATTGGATGATGAGCAATCATATGACTCGGTCTCTTTCATTTCCTTTGCATCCTGACTGCATCGTCATGGAGCACTGTAACCAATCATTGGGAAGGGATTATGAGTGTTCTTGACGCATTGTTGAAGAGGCGTCGTGGCTCTTCACAGCCGAGTCTCGCAGCTGACTGGCTATAAAGGCGCCTCCTTGTACCTCAATTCACAGTCATCGACTACACAACACACCAATCGAATAACATGTCTGTGAGTAACGATCCTTACACATCAATTTGCTTGAGATACTTACTGCCTCGTACGTAGGAAACCGTGAAGTGCGCCAACGTCCAGGCCAACGGCGGCTCGTGCACCTACCCGGCGTGCAACTGCGCCGAGCCTCCGAAGAGCAAGTGAGGCTGCAGCGGATGCGATGAGTGCGTAGACTACGCGCAGCTATACGAGACTGATACCCGTGCTGACTACGGCTATTCTAGTGCACGTCCCTACAGGCTAGTGTCGAAACAATCTCGTGTATATCATAATGCACTAGCTGCTCGTCACAAAGGATTTCTCATGAAAATATTGTCGTGAATTCCATTTCCCGAACAATGAGAATACGAGATTGCCATTGATTCTGTGAAAACTCGGCTCCTAAGCGCATCATCTACGTACCTGACATTGCGCACTGAGGGGGTGCATGTCTGGCGAAGATACTACCGTCTGATTGTAATTCGGGTTGTTGTCGAGGACTTGCTGATATCCGAGCTCGTCAGCCATACGCGGTGCCAAAAGGTGAGGAGAGAATATATACGTGCAGTCGTGATCATCTGAGGGATCAGCGAAGAGCCCTTTGGCAAGAGGTTGTTGTGATATTTTGCATGAATTCGGACCTCCGAAAGCAGGGCTGAGGGGCTCACGAGGTTGTCCGCAGCCTAACGAAAAAATCATGAATGCGACGCGTGCTCGTGCATTAATCTAAACTTCAAGTATGTTCAGTGGTTGGTGTCCGAATATTTAAATTGTGAACGGACTGTGAACCGTCAAGGCTGAGAATCCTCCGAGCTGAACGAGAGGGAGAGGATGTTTCAAGCCGGCTGAAGCCAAATTGATATGATACGCGACCTCTTGTTTTCCGACTTCCTTATATGCTTTAGATTATTTCGTTTAGAGATCGTCTGTGGCATCAGCGTCAAAGGCACAATAAGTCTGAGTATGTCATCACTTCCGCGTGAGACTACTTATAGTACGACGCATTGATGTCCTACAATCACGCAACATTGCAGAAGGAGAGATTTACTATTCTGTCTGAACACGCTACATTGCGAGCTCCGATAGTGCATACCAACGCAATCGCCATGGGCTAACCTAATTGCAACATCGTCGGCTGAGTCACACATGCAAGGACGCCGAAGGACGTACAAAAGGCATGTTATACAGGATACTGCTAGGTACCGCCTACTTGCTCTTCGGTGGCTCGGCGCAGTTGCATGCGGGATAGGTGCATGAGCCGCCGTTGGCTTGGACGTTAGCGCACTTGACTGTGTCCTGGAGGCGAAGGTCAGTGTCATGCAGGCAATTAAAGGCATCACGGCGGACGGTCACTCACAGACATATTGTGTCAGTGGATTGAGCAGCAGAAGACTGAAGGAAACTCCGAAGCCTTAGCAGGGTTTTATACAACACTAGGTCAGTGAATGTATCTTCCGCTCATGCGATCTTTCGAACGTGAGTGGCTTGTATGGGCATGGGCTAAGCGGTGTGAAATGCCTCTGAGCTGATTGGTGCCTATTTTTCAGCTGGTAGCTGCACCGCCACAGGCAGATGAGCTCATTGATACACAATCATACACCCTTTTACTACATGTCGTGGACGCATGAGCACGCATGCATCTCTGATGAGCTGCAGTTATGATAGACAGCACACAGCAAGAAGAGCGTCATCTCTGTCCATGAGCAGCCAATGAGATCCACTGTGTTATCCTTCAGTCGGGACTATGGCCGCGATCAGCAGACCCTCCGAAGTCAGTTTATCGGATGAAGAAGATAGGTACTCACAACACAGACACCCCCATTGGATGAGATCATGGTGCGGGCGTTCCTTATGCCATATCGGAACGACCAAATCACTTGCAGCCTGTCCTGCGCACCCAGTCATCGGGGAGAGATTACGGTAACATCCTGTGGGACTTGGAGATCTCTCTCGTAAAACCTGGAATCATCGTCTAGTCAGCCAGCTATAAAGACCTCCCTCTCGCATCGTCACTTCCTTCAGTCATCGAACCCACACAATACTTGATTAACATGTCTGTGAGTGCTGCTCCTTCTCCGAAATTAATTGTGCCCGGGAGATTTACTACACTGAAACAGGACACCGTGAAGTGCGCAAACGTCCAGGCCAACGGAGGCTCCTGCACCTACCCCGCATGTAACTGCGCCGAGCCGCCAAAGAGCAAATAGATGTATGCGTACTTGATGCCGTGAGTGCCGTACGCTACATACAAGCAGCGAAGTCCGCGTTGTTGACCCCAAATTTATAGCAGTGCGCTTACGACAACCCAGATTTGTCGGGATGGAGCACGCGTGGAGAGCAGACCCACGAGTACTGTGATGTATCCTGTTAGCGAACCCAGTTCAGAGACGTACCTGGATAAACTATTCGCTGAATTGTTTCAAATGAGAACCATGAGATTTAGCCTCAATATGCTTCTCAACTACTGCACATCAGCATAGGCCGTTTTACACTTGAATTGTACCCATCATCTGGCAGACGAAAACACCCCTCTCTGCCAAAACCTAACACCGTGAGAATACCTTGAGACCATGACTTGTCACTGGCGGGGCGGGGGAGCTGGTCCTGGCGCAGGCCTTTTCGTGACCCTCGGGATAAGTATCTGCTCGTGTCTTGGCCACTTTTGACTGACCGAGCCGCGAGCAGAGAAACAAGCGTGCGCCGAATATCTATCAGTGCGTGCGTACTGCAACTAGATTGAGATGAGATATAAGTCTGCGTGGCGAGTCGCACATAGCATCGGTTTCTTATGCGGCAATGAGGCCCTCACGATGAGTGCACCACCGCCATCGCATGACGCTCATTGCATGTCGGTGACAGCATCACGCAAGGTGGAAGAAGGCTGTACCGTGGAAGCGACGACGCGACCAACAGTGGCCCTGAAAAAGAAGGAATCATTCGCAGTGCAATTTCCAATCGCCTCTTAGCACACCTGTTGTTAGCTTTTACCCTACGCTTTCTCTGTTCATGATGCATCCCACCTCTTGTATCCCACGAGTGCCGTCGCAGTGTTGACAGTAATCGATCGAGATGTCCAACTTGTAGACGATGTAGTGTGCGTTTATCCAGAGAGCAGCATCATAATACAAAGAACAACATGCCAAACTGAGCGGTGGGCATTTGTCTCGCATGTGGACTGACAAGCACGCATATATTGGCGCCCGGCTGCCGAGCCAGCGCTTATGCTGGCTGCTATTAAACCTCTCGTTTCCTGCTGAACTTCGGTGGCGCGTTCCCATGCGCAGATTCCTCAAACTTGACCTGTCGAAGGTATGCATGCGCTCGCGTCATTTGCAGGTCAACCTCTAGAGACGTAGGACTGCTTGCCTGAATGAATCCACCTCTCGGTCCACAGAGACGGCGCGATTTACTAATTGCCTCGATCATCACAACCACTCGCAAGAAAGCAGCTCTTCAAGTGAGATGCCCAAAATAATATCTGGCAACCAGGCGTCAGCATGATTCGACTAACACTGGCATGACAAGAAGGGTATCAACGTTCTGCCCGCCGAATCGCTTCAGTTTCTCTATCCGACAAATTGCCGCTCGAGAGTACAGAGTCTCGACAAACCTTCTCAGTCGATTGAAAGCGAATACAATCAATTCAGCTGCGCGCGTTCGCGAAGGCCCCGCAATGTCCGTTCTCCCATTGGATGACATCGCCGGCCCTAGGTACTATTAGAAGGCTATGATTTGAATACCGGGGAAGCCTATTCGACCAACTCTGTTCGCTACCATTGATACATCGCCCACTCGGAGACAATGCATTACGCATCGCCCCATTGGACGCAGACGCTGTTCTTGCTAGCTACGCCCATATAAAGCACCTTGCTCCCTTTTGCTTTTCCCCAGTCATCGACTACACACCTCCTTCGATCAACATGTCTGTGAGTAGCAGCGTCCGGTCCTACATCTGCGTTCGAGGCGAGAGGCTGACCTGAATTCTAGGACACCGTAAAGTGCGCAAACGTCCAGGCCAACGGCGGCTCCTGCACTTACCCCGCGTGCAACTGCGCCGAGCCCCCGAAGAGCAAGTAAGTGGTGGCTACAGCATGATGCCATAGATATGTACGTTCTATTCGAGCCGGTTAAAGAAGTCGCATCTAATTTATATCGTGTATTCAGCGCATGCGGGAGCGAGCCAAGGGCTGCTGAAATTCGTGTGGCCCCCTGCATATTGCAGTACTTTGTACCACCATTGTTCTTAGCGTTATCATTGCTCGTGAAAATTGCTAGTGTGATCCCATCGAGGCAATTCATCGCAGCCGTCCTCTGACTCTGAAAGGCTTTACGTTTCCGGTACCTCTCTTTGGCGACTACAACGTGCGGGGACTAGCTGAACGAGCCGAATGTCCGCCCAACTTCAGAGTCATCACTGCCGTCTATTCACACTGTTTGGTTGTCTGCTGATAGTCTTCGATGATCAAGCCTCAATACCGGCATAACCAATATTAAGTAATTCTCATATATATCCGGAGTCTGGACGTTGTTTGGGTGGTTTGGCTTTGAATCAAGTTGTTGATGTAGAGCACCCACGTCACTAGCATACTCCCAGTGACGTCATGTCTAGATCGCATCGGCCGCAACTTTGGGAACTGCTTAACCCGACAAGCAGCTTCCCTCATTCTTCCATAAACAAAGTTGTGTCGGCGGTGCTAAGTGGTTACGTCAATCCTTGATCGAGGTAGCTTCTGCAGACCTAGATCTATATAAAGCGGCTTTTGCGCGCGAGATAATTTCTTTCTTTCTCTCCTTCATATACTATCATGTCTCTGTCATTGGCGCTATCGATTCCACCAGTGAACGTTCGAACTTCGTCAAGGCGAGACGGTGATCGAAACCACGGCAAGTTCTCAATCAGGCGGGTGAAAGTCATTTATACAGTGCTGCCAGGTGGTAGAGCCGATACCTCAACCAGCTGGCAGTTGATACTGAGTGGCGAAAGCCACCGTTCAAATCACGCACTTGACTTGTCGCGACACAGGGTTAATTCTGTCCCTCCTCCAAAATAACGCTTCTGACATTCTCACATGTGCCAGTCGTTCAGTGTGCTGTCGCACTTCATGCCAGCCCAGCAATTATTTTCTGCACTGGATATCGCGGTAGCACCTGCATCGCGGATACTGTATGGGCACAAAAGTAGGCGCCCGCAAAGAGGTTCGGCAGCAACGGATGCCGAGCTGAACGGGGAGAGGTTTATCTAATCAGCGATGCATACGCGCCTACCGATCGTGACGAAACTTTGGCTTCGTCATGACTCCCGATCTCTCAGCAGCCTTATGTGCGGGTCGCCAAACCTCCGCGGCACAGTACAGTCAGCGGGAACACCGCTCGGGCAAAATAAGTACGGTCTCACGCAGGCACAAATCTTAAGTTCTTATCTCCATCCCTGGACAAGAGTGGGAACAAGCCTGTCTGCCTTTTCGACTCTTGCGCCGCGACCACCATGTGCACTCTCGCCACCCTGCCCCAGGAGGTGCTTGAGCACGTCGCGTTCTACACTGGAACCCTCTCGTTCGGTGGACCACCTGCAGACGTGTTACCCTTGCTGGTTGCAAACCGTTCCTTTTACGCCGCCCTCTCGATCACCTCGAATCCTCATCTCTGGACACGTATTTTCGCATGCAAGTTCGATCTGTCTCCTGTGCTCCGCCGTCTCGGACAGGAAAACGTCACTCCTACTGTCGTGGCGCACGAGTTCAAACGACGATGCGAGATCATGAAGCGCATTCGCACACGTGAGGGCACCCTAGCCAACGTTGTTGACGTCGACCATAACACAGTGAAGGAGATGTTATCCACTGCGTATGTAATGATGCTGGAGAATGACGGGAAAAACGAGAGGCAGCTGCGCGAGTATGCGCGGATAGAGGAGTGGCTCAAGCAGTTCCTGTGTCATCCGGACGGTGCGTCGCTCATCCGCCAATTGGTCATACGCGACCGCTGGCCCGATACAAAAGACGAGCGAATGATTCTGGCGATGTGGCTTATCTGGATGTTGCTAAGGCCCGGTGTGTTGCGCGCTGAACCATCGCTGCGGTATCACTGACTGCTGTCTCTAGTTGAGTACATGAGCGATGAGAACGCTTTCCATGTCGCGATTGATGTCGTGCTCAAGCTGGTTGCCCTTGGCGCGCATCAGGTGCGCTGCTACGCCTTTCCTTTTCTGTATGCTTCCCTTGACAAGTCTATTCGCAGTATGTCTTGTGCACGCCATCATGGACAGATTTCCTCCCTCCATATCCGATCGAGACCGGTACCTCGATTCCTTACTTTGGTACAGAGCTGCGGCTCACCCCTCCGGCACCCGCGGCGCCTGCTATCCTCGCCTACCTCACGCTACGCAACCTTTTACCCGTCTCATGGGACATGATCAATTACCTGAAGCGGCCAGACCCGACTGTACCGAGCGTCGCCGGTTGCACAAGCACGGAGTGGGATGCAGAATGGGCGCGCGCAGTGCATATAGTGGGTGCGACGAAACTAGTTTTGCCTACGCTGCCGGGTGCGTTCATCCCGGGCAGTCTAGAAGGGTCATGGGAAGGTTTGTTCACGGTGAGTCAGCCATAACAGTTTGCACTGCGCACTTAGTGATCGGGCATGAGGCTACAGTACACCGAATTCACTGCGTATGCCGCGCTACTATCTGGCGCCTCGCCCTCCGTTCTCGAGCGGAGCCTTGTTGCACAGCACCCACAATTGTGGAAGCTGCGAGAATATTACCTATATGCGGAAGACGACGAGCCGGACAGCGCCGGCGAATGTGCTATGTCCGTGGACGCGCGCATGCCGCTGTCGCCGGGCAATCCTTTACGGGCATATATCCCTGCCAATACGGAATTGCGTGAGACCGCGGAGGGACTCGAGGTGCTGGAGCCTGGACGGGCGCCACAGCGATATGAGAGCTGGGCGCGAGCAAGCAAGCGCGAGGGGACGCGGCGAGTACGGGATATGATCCTCAAGGGCGAGGTATGCAGACTCTATTACGGTCGTGTATGGCTCGCTGATTGTGTTTACGCAGGGGCATTCTGCGTGGGGGCAATTCAGTCTGCTTGGGCGAGTCCGACCCTGTGATGGGTTCATTAGTCTGTCGAAGGACTATGTAAGTTGCCATCGAGTTTCACTAGAGGATACACTAATAACCGAATGTTCGCTGAAGATGAACGGCGACCGTGGACGGTGGCTATACCGGTGCTATATGGTCGGGAATACGCATGGGAATCTGTCCGGCCGCTGGCGAGATACGTTGAGTCCTACGGACGTGCCTGGCTACGAGGGGTGTTTCTTGATGAGTCGGCGGAAGTGATGTATTCAAAGAGTATCTAATGCAAGGATTTAGCGGGCATGGGGCAGTACTTAAACAATGTAGTCCATCCCCAGGAGTCAAACTGGACCAATGTTTGTGCGCATGGAATGTGTTTCTTTATTTTATGTTTGCGAGAATATAGGTCTATGAGTTCAAGACAAGTGAGAGAAAAGAACATCAAATATCAATGATAGACTCTTTCAGAGTCGCTTTGCTTCGCGAAATCCGAGCAGAGAAATCAGAAGTAACCACTCGTGCGCCTTCTATATTTGGGCATATACGTCATCAATTTGGAGCGTCATCTTTATCCTCTTTATTCTCTTACCATCTGCATAAGCTTCAATCTCTTCTTACCTTTAGTTTATGTCCACAGTTCGCTCTATATTCAGACTCGGCGGCGCTAGCAGGACTGAGCCAGAACACCCGAATCACACGCCGCTTATTCCTGCATCTGATTTAATGCAGGAAGGCAATTCGTTATTGCGGAGGAACTCGTGGTGGCCATCGTCTACTCGAGAGCAGGTGAGACGGCAGGCATCTACCGACAACTCGGTGCAGTCTCGACAGAGCACACACGACGATGCCTCGGACAGGCAGCCAGTGGTGACCCAAGCTGCGCATGCCACACAGCGCACACCGAGACACCAAGCGCATGCCTCTAGGCAGAGGGCTCGACATTCTACGCCTCTTCTGTCTAACAACTCCAGCCCCGCCATCCCTGACAGCTTGTTTTTCGCATCGGACTTCATGCTCGGCGCGGGCATGGTCATCATCCAGCCGGCAACCGCAAATGTCGTGCTCATCCACGAGGCTGCGAAGAACTTTTGGTTCCTGCCAAAGGGGCGCAAGGACGTCGGCGAGAGTCTCGAGCAGGCCGTGCTGCGTGAGGCACACGAGGAGGTGCGTCACTTGTTCCTCGCTCTTCCCCTGAGAGTGTCGTTCTCGCCACTTACGAACCCATTGCCTAGCGCAGTCGGGCTACCACGCGAGCTTTCTGCCAGTGCGTATGCCTACCAACGCGCCCTCAGCACCCGCCACTCCACATGCGCGCTCCCTCCCATGTACAGAGCCGTTCTACGTGTCGACGCTGCACTGGCGCCCACAGCCCCACCGCGCCGACGTCGGCGGGGAATACTTCACCTTCTGGTACCTGGGGCAGATTGAGGCCGATGCGGTAAGTCCGAGCCGTTTCCGATCGCATAATCGCATACATCTAGCTATAGCCATGCTGCTGAGATCGGCGAAGACTACACAGTGTTCGCTCTTCTCGCTGGCTTCGACCATGCGAGACTTTGTATGGCTGCCGACAGTCATCCGAAGTCGGCATGAGTCGTCGATAAGCAGCAAGCAAAATTCATGCGAGAACTCGATCCGATTGCGAAGAACTCTGTTTCAGGGTTGTTACCAAAGCGATGTATCTTGCATAATCGTGGTTCGCTTCTTCCCGATATACCAAAGCTGCACCGGTCACTAGTTTGTTGACTACGAGCTGCTTTCCACGGAGCCTGGCGTCTGCCGTGCGATTTGAAAGCGTACATATGACTTGCTTTCGTTGTGCTTGCTGCCGATCATGAGCTTTAGCTTCGGGTTCACGGGCTACCGTAGTGCCATTCATCAGCGGACAGGTTTTTGCCGTGCCAGAGAGAACTCCTGAGCGTGGCTTTCACCCAATGATATACCGACCTGAAGCCAGCTAGAATAGCCACTATGGGCTCATTCGAGTGTCCATGTGGCCAATGCGTTCCGGGTGGTGAAGCGTAGGTATGTGTACGTCCGAACGGTATTACCATATTCCCGTGGCTGTTCACGGGCACCGTGGCTTGTGGAAGCCCCATTCAGCGTCCCGTAGGTTTGTCCGCCACGCCTGCTCAGTCAACTCAGACCCTTGATCGAAGGGGCGATGTTGCGCGGAACATCGTTGAGCACGCCAATCCATAGGGTCGGTTCTAAACTCTCCATGAAGGTTTTACGGGTAGCGCGTTACGGGTAGCGCGTTACGGGTAGCGCAGGGCCGGGTCGGCACACCGTGGTGTGCCACTATGGTTCTGTTTGTGATAAAATTTGGCTTAGACGAACCGGTAGCATTGAATGTCCTTTTCTGCTACCGTTTTCTCAGTACGAATAGTATCTTCCGCGTCATTGTATGTCTGCGCTCACCCTTCCCCACAATCCACCCATCCCAGCAGTCCGTGCTACGCGGCCCCCGTCCCACCATACCTTAGTAGGAACTAGGGGAATATCCTCGGGGAAGAGGAGCTTAGCATTTGGCCTCGCACATCGCTTGGCGTGTGTATATTGAGCCAACGCATTGCGGAAATACTCTTGACCCGTCTTACTCCACTGCTGCCCGATATTTCCCTCTTGAGGGACAGTGCATCTCCTCGAGCACGACCTCGGTCAGACAGCACTCCATAAAGAGGTCTTAAACCGATCTGCATCTCTAGCTTCCGGTAAACTTTGTGTGAATGGGATCCCTCCTGCTGTATCATCCATGCAATCTAACACAATTGCCCCTGCAGGTCCCCGAAAGGAAAACGGGTATGCCGGACGAGGCCCACTACCAGGCGCATGTCTTGAAGCTGCGGCAGGCGCTCGACCTGCTTGAAGGTTGTGGCATGAAAGACCTGGCGAGGATCCTTTTGGTGGGCTACACCTTGTGGGAGGAGACGAGGCAGTGGGAGCTTGCGCATGCAAGCAGCCGCGCAGAGGTGCAGGCAGGGCGGCAGCATGCTGGGAGACACGTACAGGGGTACAGGGGTAGCAACGGCCAACCGTAGGCTGTGTGCTGATCCAAGTATTCTGGCATGTCGACTCTGTGGCTGGTGCATATTGAGCTCGGACTTTTGCCGAGGACATTATGGAGGAATCTCGTTGACTGTTTCGGAGACGAACAAAGGTGCAGAGAATGGTGCAGCGTTATCGCCGAATCTTAACGTACTCTGTATTTGTGTCAGAGGATCGATACCCTGACAATGTATGATCGGCTTGTTGTCCTCTAATCTGTATGCCTTGGAGGACGATCTTGTCATATGTGTGCGTATTGCTCTGACAGGTCTTCGAACGTGTGTGGTCTAGTCCATTTGAACATGCTATTCAATCTCATGCCCGTGCTGCAAGCTCCGAACGTGGTGTCGTTATCACGTATCCTTGTCCCTCTTCGAGTTGCGTGCTGGTGCGGAACAGTGCACATGTGAGCGCGCGCGTCTCGCCCAGGAGTCAGACAGCAAATAGCCGGGTACGATCGGATGATCATTGGTGGAATGAGGAGATAGAGTTTGACGACTTCGGTAAGAGTAGCTTCGATTCCCTCTTAACCCGCTAGGAGCCCTACCTCGTGATCTCGTGCCACGGTCTGGGACGGCCGAACAGCGCCCATCTTGAATACAGTTATATGAGATCAATATCTGAGGTGAGCACAACTTCCTATGCATGCTCCTTAGCCCACCCAATGAGCTACATTGTTCTCAACGAGAAAGGCACAGAATAGTCCACAGGTCTCCCCGCGTTGACCGGCTGAAACTTTGTGTGCTTCAAGACGAAAGGTGACACGACCGCAGATCTATCGCTCATGGACCGCTCAGTGGACATAGTTGAGTACAGACGGTGGAGCGCCCTGACTGCTGACTGTGTGGCTCACATGAGAAGTCCACAGGTCCCACCAATGCCCGAGGGTACGCCTAAGTTACACATCTTCTCCAGCTGAATTTTTGATAAGTGGGAGCTGTGTATAATGGTATGTCGTCGAGCGAACTCCATTCGCTGTCGATAACATTATGACATAATGCACTTGACTGAATGATGCGTTCGACGAACCCCAAGCGGCGCAGTGCTTGCAATTGACTGACTAATGCTAATGTCTGGGCTATAGTCTATGACGTGCTCTATCCGGTGCCTGTTCGCCCGTTGTACTTTACCGTCGGGCGGCGTGGGCGGCGTAGACTGCGAAATGAAAGCCTTGCCTGTTTGCACGCTAACACCATAGGTCTAGGCCCTGGGTTCTGTTGGCGGCCATAGTTTAGACGCAGGCTGCGACACCGTACCACGATGGTTCCAGCTGGTGTGGAGTAACAATATAAGGACGCCTACAGGATGTCTTCACAAGTGTCCGTCGCATTTCTCTATACGCGTTCCTGCTCTTATTCTTCACTTTTGGACGCCCAGTGAGACTCTCGGGGCTGCCGACCAGCCATACACTCAGGTTCAGAGACGCTTTGTATTTCCTTATGATACTGACTTTTTGATGGCAATTGTGGGCCGGTACGACCTAACCGACATTTCCGGGCAACGTGTTCGCAGCGTGGACATACCAATTCATCGGAGCGGGTTCGTATCTCGCGACATCATCGGATGATCCGTGAAAAGGAAGTAAGCGTCCCGAATTACAGACTAGCACAGGCGAGCGAAATGACAACGACAGACGGTAGCATGGCACAGATTATTATGCATAGGAGTGTCCAGTGGTAGCATGTACCTTGCACGGTAGGGCAGGAGAGTTGGAACATATCAAATATAATCGAGTGGGACACAGTTATTTCTGTGCCGAGCTGCCCCGCGGCGCCGTTTTAAGTGCATCATGTCAGCGTGCATAGAGCGACCGATTGCACTCACACAGGTACGTAGTGGCATGGAATTCCACGGCGCTGACAGTTTGCACAGGTCGGCCGACCGTCGCATTTCAACTTGCGTCCTCGATAATTCGCTGCTGTGAGAAGATATGATCGATGACAGTTTGGAGACACAGATACCTCTGCAAAATTGACACGCCATAGGTGTCCTCTTAGGGATACGTTCAGCCACCGGCTCCCCTCCTTCGTGCCTCTGATCACTGCCGGAAGTTTCCCGTTTGCTACTAGCGGAATTCTGTAGACGGAGACATCAAGACACATTCATCGGTAGTGTGGGCCTAACGGACTTACATGCTCGGCGCTTGACATGGTCCCGATTGCTCGCTCGATAGCTAAAAAGCAAAAATCTCGATCGCCGGTTCGAGAAGGACAGAAGGCTGCTCAGCCCCGACCTGTCGTCGACTCTTTATAAGGGAAGGGGGACGGAGGATCTTGTGACCAAACCAAAATGCGTCGTCTGTATTGTGAGGCCACGCAAACGTTTGTGAACAGTGTCCAAGTCACGACGCGAGGCAGTGGACGCTCTACGAAACATTTGCCCGGATCATGGAACCGGAAATCTGCTGGAAATTAATTTCGTTGAATATGGAATGTGGAGAGACAACGATTGCTCATTCTGCATGGATCGATTATCAGCATTACCCCAACTGACGACAACCTCGGAATTTTCGCTGTAGATGGCGAAAACTGACCGTCCAATTCAACAGGACCGCCGGAGCTGCTTTTTCATGCGACGAGCAGAGCAATTGAGGCGAAAGACGAGCTTCGGAGATCTTTGTGCAGGCTCTTTTGCAAATTAACATATTCCGACCTCAGGGTCTTTTATGTCCTGAAACGGGTACGCAGTCACTGACGCATTATCATATCAGCGGCTAGCTCGCGGACTTACAACCTGACCACCTCGAAACGACCATGATTGTCATGTGCGATGTAAATTACAGGGTGCTGGATGCTGCCAAGTTAAGCTTATGCCTGTCGCGACGTGGTGTGAAAAAGTACCGCAAGTGTCGTATCTCAACACGAGGTTGCCGTGCCGCTCGAAGTGCGTCTCCTGCAGCATATCCCCTTCATCGTGAGCGCTGGATCTGTGAGCACGGGTATCAGATTTTGATGCAGTCATTGGGTATCTGACTTATCACGCCGTGATCTCGTTGTCGTCTCGAGCTAGGCAAACATGCTGGCGGTTACAGGCTATGATTTCCAAACTAACGGACTACCCGCCACGACGACGTTGAATGCTACAACGTCGACACCTTACTCAAAAGTCCGACGCATAGCGATGTGCACTAGCATTAGCTGCGGCGCGTGGCGTTGTGATAACCTATGCCGTGGGCGAATGCCTATCAACAACTCAGCGAACCTTCTGGCGGATGGGCGGACCAGGACCCTTACCAGAAGGTTTTTTAGCTCAAGCCATCGCCCAAGTGGGCTGGACATCGCTGCACCTGCCCCAGGTCGTGCATATTAGATCATTCAGCGCCCAATGGCGCCATCATCATCATTGAGCCTCCTGTACGACTTCATTTCCGTCCATTGAAGCTCCTTTCTCACGCATTTGCCTCATGACAATTCAGTTTTCAGTGCCTTTGCATCGTGTCATCGAGACAACGCGAGTTTAAGCATTTACACACCGGAGTCAGGTCCACAGCCATAATGAACTATTGGTGATACATGGCTGGCAGCGTGAGGAGAAACGCCACCAAGTAAGGATACAGGGAAGCTACACTTAAACAAGGTTCGACCATGGTAGTTGTAAGGTGTCCTTGAGGTTCAGAGGGTGAGGGTGTCCTTATGACCCTTCTCGCTATCCACATCCCCTGGAATATCATCGAGCTGATAAGAGTCAGAAGGGCCTGAAACAAAAACTAGAAGAGGATTACCTTGTCCAGATCTATAAGAGCGGACTCGATCACTTTGACAACCTTCATGAGGTCTTGCTCAGAGATCACGAGGGGTGGGGCAAAGCGGATGCTATAACCAAGATAAGTGCATAGCACGGGAGCCAGCTGAGTTACGACTGACATGTTAACATGTGTAGGCTTTGCCAACACTCCCCTGCTCTTCAAGAGGAGGCAGAACTGCCACGCAGTTCGGCCCCGAGAACTTGCTTCTTCGTCAATTACCAAGGCATTGAGAAGACCCCTCCCACGGACAGCCTTGATCAATGGAGATCTGATAGCCTCTACAGCTACGCGAAATTTCTCTCCAAGGACACTGGCACGTTGCGCAAGGTTCTCTTCAACTAGAACGTCCAATGCGGTCATGGCAACAGCACATCCAAGTGGGTTACTATCACCACGCGGGAAAATAAGCGCAAATTAATTAAGGACGTAAGAACGGAGCCGCGTACCCGCCATACGTGCTTCCGTGCTCTCCGGGCTGAATACAAAGCATAACATCTCGATCCGCTAGCACCGCCGACACAGGGTATACTGCATGCTCCGGTGAGCAGGTCGCTGCGAATAGGAACGAGTACATTACTGACCACCCCCGGAAAGCGCTTTGCCTAGAAGAACAATATCTGGTCTGATATCATCATGTTCATAGCACATCATCTTTCCAGTGCGGCAGAGACCCTGAATATACAGTCAAAAATGGACTAGACTGCGTTGAGGCCCATTCACTTGCCGTCTGAATCTCGTCGCAAATGAGGAGGACGTTGTGCTTCGTGCACAACTCGCGCACTCGAGCAAGGTAGCCTGCAGGGGGGACGACAATACTGCAAGGCGCGCATCAGACGCAGAGCGAACGCGCTACCAAACGCTGCGTACCCGGCTTCACCTTGGATGGGTTCAACGAGGAACGCAGCCACATTCTTGCCGTGCAGCTCGAGGGCGCGCTCCAAGTCAGAGATCTCGCCATAGCGTATCGTTCTCAGATTGCTGCCGTCTTCGAAGCTCGGACCGACGGCCTGGAGATAAGGACCGAATCCCCTACGGCTCTCCGGATCCGTGCTCATGCTGGAAGGGAACTCAAAATGAACTCAAAAGCTTACCTCCCGGCGGATAATACACCCACCTGATCACTCCGATAGTCCTTCCATGGAAGTTGCCTTCCGCACTGAAAACGATGGCCTCGCCATCTGCAACGCCTTTCTTCTCGTATGCCCACTTCCGTGCTAGCTTGATGGCAGTTTCAACGGCCTCGGCACCCGTATTCATCGGGAGGACCATGTCGTATCCGAACATCTGCGTAATCTTCTGCGCGAAGCTCCCGAATACTGAGTTGTAGAAGGCGCGCGAAGATAGTGTGAGTTTCTGGGCCTGCTGTACTAGGGCGTTGACGATTTTCGGGTGACAGTGTCCCTAATATGGTGCAATTATCAATACGCTGATATCGGGCGACATACAATGGCTGTAGCGGAACATTTGGTCTACGACGATGCGAGATCTACGTGGGCGATTATAGCGCATGGGCGCTAAATCACAGCGGAGACGACGAGCATCTCCTTTGCTGCAACAGCACCCCGGCATCTCGTAACACACGGTAGTCATGCTTGTCTGAGTCACCGCATTGAATGGCATCCTGTGAGCACGTCTGCCCAGACCTCGCCGCCTCGGTTTGCATGAGAATGGGGTCGGACATATTACTCCCGAGGGTCGTCATTGGAAGGCTTTGGGGGAGGGGGCAGACTAACCTGGTTGACAGCACTGTGATCGGGCATAAGCATACGCCGGTGTTACTCGAGCATTATCAAGAGCACACTCACGAGTACGCCGACAGCATGTCGATGTATTCCCTGCCTTCCGGATCCCATACTCTGTTATCTGGCGTCAGTAAAGCATGTCCATAGCACGAGACGCGGTTGGTGTACTCACTTGGCGCCCTGCGCGCGTTCAAAGACCACGGGGAGAGGGTGATAGCTACATGAAGACAACGTCAGTACAGAGCCTCGACCGCGCAGAAAGGCGACTTGGCGAACTGTCTCCGGAGTAAAAATTACGAGCGATCATCGCTTCCCGCAGCTGCATTTCCCAGAAGAAGCCTCGGCGACAGTCTAGGGACATGAGTACATGACCAGAGGCTGCAACTCACTTGTGTGCGCCATGTTCATGCTCCAGCCTGATAACGTCGGCTGAGGATAGGTGGATCTGACCTCCGTTTGATTTCTTCACGACATGATGCTTGCCGTTCGTGGAATCAGTCCCATTTGTGCTGTGCTCGTTGTTCGAGAGCGCTGACGGAGCCATTACGAGTGAGATTGCAGACGAAGAGTGCGTGAAGGAGGTGTAGAAGCAGCAAGGGGTCGTGGTCACGGTTCAAGCTTCAAGAACGGTCTGGAGCTTCATTCAGTCTGGGTCACCTTCTCTCCTCGCTGCAAAAGGAAACGTCGGAGCGGATCTCATTTCACGCTCACTGGCCCCTCTGCTCAATATATCAGCTCGCCATTAAATTGTAGAATGTTGCGAGCATCTACTATATATTATGATTCTAAGTTGTAGCACGGTAAACGAGTCCGATAAAATTATCCGTCCGTGTGCACGACAAATATGCTAAAGTATGATGTCAGGTCCAGGCACAAAACCCATCGGGACTTGTGTTCGAACGCATAAATACGCCTAAATCCAGGGGGGCGCCACCACATCGGCAAACCTACCATCAGGACGAAGAGAAAGTGATTCAAGTTGCATCAGCGCGTTTCGCCAGCAAGAGCGAGAAAACGGGCACCCACCGACGCCCCTGTGCTATCGCAGCTCCGGCAGCCACTCGCTCCGCGGCCGCCAACGGCCCTCAGCATCAAACCGAGGGTTCTCCGGATACGAGAGGCCATCAAGGGGACTCCGCCCGATCGGTACTGCACCCCGAGCCGTACTATCAGTGATGAGATCCACAAGTACGCGCGCAGACGCGTCAAACAAAACACCACGCACGGAACCACTCCCAGACGTGATGTCCCATCACGGCCTCCCAGTTCGCCCGGTAGCTCCCGAGCCACCACAGATTCCCCTCGCAGCCTATCCGGCCCCATTCCTCGTCCCATTGCTTCCGAGTCCGGCGCTTCGCGCTGCCACGGAGCGCACGGTGAGCGGGAGCGGGGAACGGAGGCGGAGGGGTGCACGGCTTACCCAAACTCGTACCACGCGTGCATGCGCGCGAGCACACCCTTCTCGCGCTCCTTCATGCGCTGCGAGTTCATGGTCTCGACCGTCGTCTGATTGTGCACGATGAGATTGACATGTGTCCCCAGCAGCGCTGCCGTAAAGAATGCGAAGAGTCCAGACCTGCATGATCACGCTTCTTCAGCCAAAGTTCGACCGCATGTCGAGACCAAAACTCACAGAACGATGATGACAATCATTTCAGGGTCGATATCGTCGCCTCTCGTCCCCGATCGAATGACATTCGCAGTCAGCGTCGCGAATGTCCAGACGCAGAATAGCCACGTCCATTCGAGGAAGATAACAAAGAACTACGTAAACTGTCAGCCACAATCCCGTGGTCCTCGTAGTCCGTGACAATTCCCCACCTTGTGATTGCGCGCTCCCACACACTGTCCTATCCCTAGGCGGCCAGGTGAGCATTACAGGGTCCAGACAGAGCGTCAAAATTGTACTCACATGGACAGTGGTGATCATATCGCAAGACACACTATACTCGGGATCAGCTCAGCCCCAATCAGATCCGGGGAACACGCCCTACGGTACCACAGGCACGACAGTGGTGCGCCCTTGGAGGCTTGAGGAAGCCATCCTTGTAACAGTACCGATGTTCTGGACGCAGAAGGGGGGTGGCAGACGGCTTGCGCGTATACATCATCGGTAGCTGAGCACGGGGGCTGCTGCCGTTTGGCGCTGAGGGTAAGGGTTTGCCTGAACCATTGGGCTGCGCGGTGCGCGCCTCAGTAACCGGTGGGATCGCATCCAACATGCCGGCGTTATCGTCGTCTGTGCAATTGAGTTCTCAGATTAACGCCACAGCAATGAAGAGAACAAGACGTACAATTGACATCCCTAGGAGGCGCGGGTCCACTATGCCCATGAAGCCCGGCTGATGCTGGGGCGGCTCCATTCGCATCCGGCGGTGGTACATATTGGTAAGGTGTACCTGCGAGGTCCCGTGTTGAATCCCACCATGAGGGGACAGCATTGTTAACCTCAGGTGGTGGGGACTTTTGGACATGCTGCATACTTGTCACTATCCATTGATGTACGCTAAAGGTATTTGGTGACCAACCTCCTTTGCCAGACCCGGCGATGTGAAGACGATCTGCGTTTCATAATCAGTATAAATACGCAGGCGCAGCAGATCGTGCGCGCCTTCTCATATGCCCATATCATCATGAGTCCAAGCACGCAGAATACAACGAGGAATCCGACTGACGGTATAGCATATCAATGAACATCAAGTGCGTATGGATCAGCACCAAAGGACACTTACTCCCTGTCGCACGACCACCTATTGCGCCGGAATCCCTCCGAATCAAAGGTACGCACAGCCTGCCGATGTACACGTAAAACGCGTAGGCGATAATGCCGGCTGTCACCACGACGGTGAGCTTGAGCAGGATCCATGGCATCGGCTTCCGTTTCCGCTTCTCGCGTCGCTCCCTAGAGCGCATGGCCGCCTCTTCCACAACGCCGCAGCATTTGGCTTCTTGGACGGGTTGCTTCCCTTCATGTGTGGACATGAGAGCGCAGGATGCCGCGCAAAGAGATAAAGGCAATCACGCAGGACGAGGCGCTCCACGCTCGAACAAGAATCGGGCGTAGAGAGCTACCAAGCAGAAGTGTCGCGCAACCAGGAGGCTACAGCCAGAGAGCACAGTGGGTTGTCCAGCAGGTCGTCGAGATTGATCGTCAGGTAATGGGCTGCGCCTTCAAGACTTCGTAAAACTCAAAACCTGGCGTTTCGAAGACAACTGATCTTTGTGCCTCGCTGCGTTGTAACAAGATCTCCTCGTGGGATGTAGCCTTTCGTGAGTGAGAGACTTTGAGCTTTGAGTGCTGATCAACCACCCCGTTGATGAAGACCCGTAGGTTGTCGCGGTCGCGGGATGAGGAGTAAACCGGTCAGTCAGTCGAGTGGGTGAGACCTGCGGGCAACGGACGCGTCATCTCGATTATGGACACCACGTGGCGTGCATCTGTGGGCGCCTAAGACCCGGCGGCAAAGTCAAGAGGTAGGTACTTGTTCCAAGTTCTTTAAGACTCAACGGCAACTCATGTCCTCACGTCCTCTGCCGTCGTCCTACCACTATGTCCGCTTCACAGCTACACCCTCATGCACAGATGCCGTGACAGTCCGCAAGTCCATCCAAGATGCGCTAGGGCAGACTTTTGGAATGCTATACGCGAACACCTACGTCGACATCTTGTGGATCGCGGATGACGGATCGGAGACGGTTGTGAGGGTTGCGGCAAGGTGCGCTGTTCTGCTGACTTATTTGCGCGGTTGCTGGGCTAATGCCGGTCTGTATATGCTGCAGTGAAGCTGCCAAATTGATGGCCTCCGTCGCAGTTTATCAGGGTTCACCTCGGCTTTCTGTGGTCAAGGAGTCTCCGTTTCTTCCTTCCCTGCTGTCTGCTTCATCGCCTCTATGAATACGCTCAGGGAGCATGAACATACTCACCGACACGCTTTCACCACACGACGTTGGAGATCGACAAGAATCGTCGTGACATCCCAGGCCAAACAGATCAATTAACACATCCTCGGAGTCTTCAACAGCCGTGCCTAGTCAAGAGCGACATGAAAACGTCCCTCCGGCCCGCTCATACCGTAGTTAAAGGAGATTGGGACTATCGCATACGATTTTGCATCGCGATTGTGTTCATTAGAATGCGGCAGCCGGAGAGGGAAGCCAGACGTCGCGGCGTCGGCTGCCCTCCGCTGTACACATAGATTGACAACGTCTAACGATACAATGTCTCGGTGGCAACATTAATGATGTACAATGGACTTGATATAGCGCTCGCGATTGCAACCGCGACCCGAACAGAACCCACCAGCGCGGTCAGGCCCCGCCCGAGGCTAGTCGTCCTTTCGCATAGTCGACGAAATCGTCCAGCGTTGATGGCCATGCAGCTGAGGGTCGTGGCGGCGATGGCATCGGCATCGGCATCAGTTTCAATCCAATCCACCACTGAGATGGGGCACACACCTTCCGCATCGTACGTCTCGAACCTCGCGTCGATCGTACGCACAAACTCCAGAAACTGGCACAAGCGAGTCCCCGTCAGCAACCAGTCAGTATCACAACCACACGCCCGCCGCCGCCACGGGGGGCAGGCCCTCGGCGATACGATGCTGCGATACGAGACGACGACACGCACCATCTGCCACGTATCCTTGCTGACGCCCTTCCCGCCCTTCTCGTTCAGAAAGTCGAACCACCACTGCGTGTACGCCTCCTTCCAGCCCTCACCCGTGCCCGTCATGTCCACGTCGTCCTCCTCGGCCTGCGCGGACGCGATGTGCGTGATCGCGCCGCCCTCCAGCCCGTGCGGGATCAGCAGGCCCCAGAAGCCCTGCGCCATGTCGAGTGCTGCGTGCGGCGTTGAGCATCAGAGTCGGTGCCAGACAGGACGTACGGAGCACGCACCTAAGCTCCGCTGCCCCGCCGGCCGCGAGAAATCGAATGTGTAATTATACACCTGCTGAAAGTACGCGCTGTCCGAGCCGAGCCTCTCGCGCAGTCGTGTCAGGGATGCCTGCATCGCGGGTATCGTATCCGCCCTGCTCCCGCGGAGACCGTGAGCCCTCCCGGGTCTGAGAGACACAGCACAGGCGAACGACGCACCCGAGGGCCTTCCACCCCTCCAGCCAGCCCTTGCGCGACCACTCGCCCATCCGCGGCGACTTCAGGTCGTACGCGACCGCGAGCAGCACGACGTCCTCGGGGTCCACGCGCAGGTCCTCGCACAGCTTGATCGTGCCATCGACCGTGATCTCCTCGCTATCCGGGTCTGCGGGCGGCGTCCGTCACGCGCGATGCACCACGAGCAGCACACGCAACGCACCCTTGTACTGATCGAACAGCTGGTTCAGCTTCGTCGTCGAGACCGCCGCCGGGCGCGGCGGCGCGGCGGCGTTCGGGTCGTTGTAGTACGCATCGATCGCGATGTCCACGCGCTTGTACTTGTCCAGGAACCGCCGCGCATCGCGGTGTCTGCGCGCACCGCGGCGGGCCCGCGCCCCAGCCTCAGCGTCCGGCTGTGCACGCGATCGGATGCGGGACTCACGAAACACCCGTCACGCCGACAAACTGCTCAATCTTCGGATCCATCGCGACTTTAGATTTGGACACTCTCGACTGCGCAGGGGGGTGGGGGGACAACGAGTGATTATCGGTGCGGTGCGGTGCAGACGTGGGGGGAGCGGGCGATGATGATTGGGTTCACAGCATGAATCAGCCTCCGTCCGGATGCGGCACGCGCGGAATTCTCGGGTGCACTGACCATGATGTAGACGGTGAATAGGGCGGCGGCGAGGGTGCAAAATACAGCGAGCAGCGTCGTCGTTGCGCTGGGTGGTTGTGCCAGGATTCCGGAGCTTAGCATGTGTGAGGCGATGCATCAGCAATCGAGTCCTCGCCGGCTCGTCGGATATTGCCGAAGTGATTGGATACGACCATATCCGGTAAGTAAAAAAGCAAGCGGGGCGAGCAATGCACATTCTATGGCCAACCTCGCCAACCCCGAAAGGTCGTTTTCCTGGCTTACCATACAGTATGAGCCGGAGTGAACAGCCTTACTAGTTCATCTCTTCCGGCGGATGCGATGACAGCATGGGCACCTTACTACGCTTGGCGGCATCAGTAAGTGCAAATTCATCGCAGGTCGGTACGCGCATGCTTACACTACTCAAATCACAGGAGAACGCCGATTACGATGTGCTCCTTCATGTTCTCTACAACAGCTTGGGCCTAACCACCAGCTCATGCACCGAACTTCTATCGGTGTTTCGGCTCGTCCGCTGTGCTTGCGAGCAGCTGCAGCTACATACATTTCTCCCATCTCTCTGGAACCCAATATGCGAAACCCTCAATGTCTGCGTTCTCGCAGCGTCAGGCTGACCTTTCGCGTTCAGCATGACAAGACGCACCAACGCCGCGACGAACGTGAAGCGCATCGCGTGACATACCTATCTCGTACGCAAGGACGACTTCTTTTCTTCTCTTCGTTTCCCCGATCCTTATTCTCCCACTATTGTCTCGTGCGCACATTCGTTTCCTCTCCGTTTCGACGATTTGCAAAGAACGTGTGGCGAAGGGGACGACCTAGAGGGTGCCGGCGGCTGACATGTCGAGTCCAGCCTGCTTGTGCAGAAGAAACGATCTCCATCCGTGTTTAGAAGGTATCTACATTATCGTATATGATCGGATGCCTGAAATGATTTTGATGACATCTGTCAATGTGTTTCCTGTATGTCTTGTGGTGCGTGAACCGACCTTCTGGATCTCTCATCCAAAATTCCGTGGGTTCTATGTAGAACTCGGCTCTTCAGCTGTTTACTCCCGTGGCTTTACGCCAAAGACACAATGTGAGCTCTGCGCGATGTCTCTCCGCTGAGGCGACGGGGCCATCCGGTTATGAGTCCAGAACAAGTCGATGAAACCACATCCCTGTTACCCTCGAACTTCCATTTCTCGGTGTGGACGAGCGACCCGACTGTCGCACGTACCAGGTGAGTGGTCGTGATTCGTGCCATCGTGCACGTGCCATCGCTTCTGTGTCAAATTCGGTGTCCAGTGGTCGGTCTCGTACATTGTCGCGATCATAACTTGGAGGCGCACGTGTATTGACATCGTCAGATCACTGCGGTCATACACCCTTTGGGTTGTTTTATTCTAGCTAGCCCAACCTTTCTCGTCAACGTTCAAACATTCAAAGGCCATGCCACAACGACATTTCATAGCAACCGGGCATTTGCACACGTTACACACTAGTACCGTCTTGTACCAGCCTTTTCCGGAGAACGCCGATGACATGCCACGGTTAATATCTGCTCTTTGTATGGAATGGCGCAATTTGGGCATCGCAGGTGTGCGCATCGTGTCCCCGGAGCTGGGTGTCGCCGACTCTATCTAACCTCCCGGCGGTACTGCATCTTCCATAGTGCTTGTCACTACTCTATCGCCGCAGGGAATTCGAAGACAGACAAGGGACTCGCCGAGATAACCTCGAGCTCGCTTGCGGTTCGATCGAAAAAACGCCGGTGTGCTTTCTTTCCTGGTTTACGCCCGAGGACGATACATTAGCTCCATCAAGAGACCCATCTCGTTCGCCACCGACGTCGGGCGAGCGGCTCTCGGAAGCCTGTCCACGATCGCCGATTTACTTCCCGAAGTGTCTTTGTCCGGGCACCACCCTCCGGGATGCACCTACGCCAAAAGGCAGCTGACAACAGCTCAGCTTCACGAGCGCCATAGCACATTGTACGTCACAATCAATCAAAGCGCACATCCCCGGGGGCGACATGTAGGTTCCATGCATGGTTCCGCCCGCAATTAATGAGTCTCGCAGCAGTATATGTCATAGCGATCTTCTTCCGCAGAACAGAAGACAGAAGAGTCGGCCTCGTGTATGTATGGAAGGAAAGTTTACTCCGCGTGCGGCGGAAGCCCCTCCCTTGAGCTTGAGCCTTGCCCTCAACGTGTGCGCCTCCAGTGATCTGGCACCCAATAAACGGCTATGGGCAGCAGTGCATTCATCCCCGACCAGCAGCACCGGTGCCGTAATAGGCTGTCCGCGCGACGCATCCTTGGCGGACGAAGCTGCCTCTATTTGGACATATGAGCTCGAATACACCGTAATCGCTCGCGTCCACCGTGCCCTGGGCTCGCCTGCCGCCGGGCGCATCAAGCCCAACATCTTCGCGAACGACTCGTGTCTCCGTCCATCGCCTCGCCCGCTCTGACCGGCACAGACCTGAGCGCCGGGCACCGCGTCCCTTGTGCGCCGGTGCTCACGGCGACCACGATGGCGCCGCGGATCACCAGCGGGCGCACGCGCGGTTTGGGTGCGCCTCGCGCTGCCCCGGCCAATCACACGTTGCGAGCTCCCAGCGCACCCCGCTGGCCACTCAATGCGAGAAGGCCCGGGCATGATAGCGAGACGCGCTGTGGGTCCACCATGACCGCGCCCCGCGCTCCAGCCTGCGACGGCCTCTCGCGATCGGCAGGGCCTAGACGGGCATCTCCGGCCGTCCGCGCGCCGCACTAACGCATTTGAATTTCGCATCGACGCCAGCTTCCGGGATGGCCGCAAGCGGGCAGCACGCGCCGGCCGTGTCAGGGTCAGAGCGCGCAGGGCTGGCATGATGCCGCCGGTCATGCGCATGAGCACGGGCACGGGCATGGGCATGGGCATGGGCATGAACCTATCCGCCAGACACCAGATAGCGGCTGTCGACTCCGCCCGTGGCGCGAGCTCCGCTGTATGGGCGGTGTGTCACCTGGCCTCTACGCTTTATATGTGCCCTCCGCGTGCCGTGATGCTGACGAGGTGATGGGAGCTTGACGTAAGTGCACGACCGAGGATCCAGAGGTCGCGCGTCGCGCGTCGGAGCACCGCAGGACACTGCGTCTGCATTCCTGCCCTCGACGAGGGGCGCGCGGCGGAATGCAGAATGCAGAACGTAAGAATCGCCCTGATTGATCGCTCGCCGCCCGCGCGCACAGGCGGGGTCCGGGGACCACGCCTCGTCGTTGTGCCAGTGCGGCCGCTCCCAGGGTAAGAGTATGCGGATCCCTTGGAGCGCGAAGCAGCGAGCTCCGGCTGATCTGTCTGTCTCCTGACTCGGACACCGCGCACCTTCCTGCATCGTGGTTCGCGCGCCGAACAACCCCTCGCGCCCCTCTTGGTCGCCCCGCCGTCGGGTCGGGCGGTATGTGTGCGTGTGCGCCATCAGCGGAGTCCGAAACGCCCACAAATGCAGAAGCAGGCCTAAGTAGCAGCTGCTGCCACGGCACATCCACAGCGAGCTGCAGCGCCCGGGCGTCGGCGTCCCAGCGTCTCAACATATCGGCGTCTCAGCAACGTCTCAACGTCTCAACGTCTCAACGTCAACGTCGCAGCGGCGCGCGCCTCGTCGCTGCATTAGCATTATCGTGGATCGCGGCGCCACGCAGCCCCGCAGACCCTGCAGATCGCGATGGCGGCGCACGGCCCCACGACCCCCGCTGCCATAATGGCGATGGCGGCGCCGCCACGCAGCGTCCGCGGCCCTCGGTATCCGCCTGCCTGGACGGGGCACTGCGCGCACCACCGGAGCTGGGAGCTGGGAGTGCGCACGCTATGCCTCCTCAGCTGATGGAGACGGGGATGGGGGGGGGGGG